TGTTTTTAGTGTGTTCTATCCTTCGCCAGAGGTTCTTTTAACTTTGGTTTAGTAACCGTTTTTCTTTTAATTTTGCAGGGTTTATATATCTTGGAAGTCATCTTCGTGGAAGTCAACTATGAGTTCTGGCGTTTATGCAAAAAGGTACCCACGAGTATATCGATGGCTTGATTTGTTATAGTATGCTTTTCTTTTGTTTACAAATCTAATCTTCGATTACAATGGTTTATGTGACAGGAAGATATGATTCAAACCTCTGTAAAACAGAGTTTGGTTAAAAAGTTCAAAAAAGAATTGAAAGAAGGATCATTGTCGTGATATCACGAATTTTGAAGTTTTGACGATTACCAGGGAACCGCAAACTCACAATCGTTAAGCTAATGTTGATGATGTTTTCATTGGTATGGTACTTTTCTTATATAGATATATATATGTTTTTTAACCATTACTGCAATCAATTTTGATCAAATTGGAGACACAAAACCTTATTTGGGTCAAATTCAAAATATTAAAGCTCCATTTTATCTAATACCCATATATATACTTTGTTTTAATGTTACAATTTATTTTGGTTTTATGCTGAGTTCATACAGATCAGATCACTTAAATTGGTGTGCAAATGAAAATCATGTCAAAATAAGTTTGACGATGTGTTTTTTTTTGTTTTTTAGGTTCTTGGAAACTATCAACACACGATTATAGAACAACGCAAGGGCTCATCAAACTTTCTCTATTTCTAAACGAATGGTATTCTACATTTCCTGCTTTCTTTTCCTGTGACAATTTTAATCGTTGGTGTTTCGCATTTTTGATCTTTGGGATTTGAATTAAGCTGTTGCAGAAAGCTTTAAAAACATATCAGTACAAGTTCTTCTTCTTTCTATTATTGTGATACTACCAAGAAAACAATTTTTTGCCCTAAATACAAAAGTCTGTTTTTTTTGTAGTCTTGAGTATCGTTAGCTGGTCTTCGTTTCCCAGTTCAAGGGTTGAGATTACCTTGGTGGTTTTCTTTTGATAACGTGGTTTATTGATTTGTCTGCAGGTCATGAACGAAAATGGTCTTTCATTATCATGACAGCGATATACCCAACTCGGAACTACCGTAAAAAAGAGAAGTTTTGCCCGAGTTATATCAAATCATAATTTGTTCTTTGTCTCTTTAAACAGTTTACCTTTTCACCATCAATATTCTGCTATTTCCTCTTCTTGATTTTTTACTGTGCATCTTTTTCTATTTATTGTATGTTCATTTCATCACCGAAAAAGTTGTAAATGTTTCCTTTTTTTCACGTGAACTCAAGTTTTTATCTTTGGATCAATACCATACCACCCAAGTTTTTATCGTTGCTCAATCCATATATTGTTATGTTATTTTCTATTTCTAAGTTTCCTTTCAGCATTAAGCCTTAATTAGTTGATGTTTGCGTTGATGACTTGATGCATGAAAGGTTTTATTTAGTTTTCTACAATCTAAACTTTTGTCATTTTACAATTAAAAGAGATTAGGTGTATCAGATTTTTAACTCTTCTTCTTTGTATAGAATGTGTTGTAGTTTTCTTGGAAAGGTATTTATGGATTGAAACACTTTATTATCTCCCTTACAAAAAAATCAATTGTGCTAAAACTACTATTTGGTTGAAGAAATACAATAAAATTAAATAATTTTTTCGGTGCATAGCACCGGGCAGAATACTAGTTGACAATAAAATAAACGCGAATGATGGATAAGCGTTAGAGGGTAGGACCCACTAACGGATGGCAGAGAGCGAATGAGGGTAGAAATGTGGGGTCATGTGGAGACACCCGTGACTACGGTGGTCTTTATTACAGACAATAACTTCTCCTGTCTCACATGCCTTTTAGAAAACGTAAAATTGATTTGTGGTGTTTCACTTCTTTTGTCCTCCTAATTTCGCATTCTTTTGTTTTTCCATTTTAAACGCCAACGAGAAGTAAATGTTACTAATATATCACTAACTATTTCATTTTAAGATGACTTATAAAAATATAAAACACTATGCCAGTGTTCATAATTTTGTTTAAACACACAATTACTAATCGAAAAGCTAACGATCAGTAAAAAGTTAAAACTAATGTGGAAACTGGAAAGTGACGGTAAATAAGCGAGTGAGAAAATTGCGGGACATATCGGATAGCTGATAGGAACAAAGGGACTAAAATAAACAAATAAATCGATTGGCTTACGCAACTCAACATCTTTCTTTAAACATCACGCGTTTTTCGTGGGCTTTAATGGGCCCTATGAAACCGACATTTAAACTTTTTATTTTAAAATAATACGCCTAAATTGCATCATCTGCCACGTTCCCCTTTTGTACGTATAACATAATCTCGCACGTCTCACGTGTGACAAATGCCAACGCAAAGTTAAATACATATGCTAATTAATATTTCGTTTTTTACGAAAGCAAGAATGCCACGTTTATATTTATGTGGACTTATTAATCTACAAATGTTTTTGCGGAAATTTGAAGAGTAAGAGTATCGTTTGAAACTAGACTAGCTAGGCAAGTGAGGGTGGACACTACCAAGATCATGTACTAAGGCCGATCCTCCGGAAGCTTTGTCCCAATCAACTTTTGCGCAATTAGCTGGAGATAAAAAAAAATATTGATATAAGAAATAAGAAAATTAATTATGAGATGTGGACTAATTATATAGATGAAAATGATAAGAGTTTAGCACAGTTTTTGTTGTTGTTGTTGTGTTCTTATTTTGGTAAACATAAGGAGGACCATTCTAAGAACACATTCAATTGCAATAGACCACTGGCTCTACGAGTCCAAATTCACCGTTCATCAAACGTCCTTGATTATCTATCTTTCTAGAATTGTTGTGTGATACAAACAGAGAAAAACAAAAACAGAAAAAGAATGAGAGTGAAATAGATTTGCAGATCGTACGAGTGAGAGAGAGAGAGAGAGATAATCAAATTTTAAGAATATAATTAGAGAGAAAGAACAGGAAATGGTACAGACAGTAGGGAGAGTTTTGTCAGAACCCCGTATATGTACGGACTGCTGTCAGATTAATGGGGAGAGTTTTGAGCATTTCCATTTAATTGTCTTTCCAGCAACTAATCCATTTTTTTATTTTCTCCATCAGTCACTGCATTGTCTCTGTTTCAAACTGCAACGATCGCTCTTCTTCTAATCGCGTTTCTTCAAAACGCTGCGGCTGAGAAAAGAATTCAACGTATCGTCAAGCATCACGGCGCGGTTGCCACCGATGATGGTCGGTGTTCCGACGCCGGAGTGATGACACTTCGCGGGGGAGAAAACGCAGTTGACGCGGCGGTTGCTGCTGCGTTCTGTCTGGGAGTTTTGAGCCCCGCATCAAGCGGTATAGGCGGCGGAGCGTTTATGCTCGTGAAAGAGGCTGGTGGAAAGGAAATTGCTAATGACTCGAGAGAAACAGCTCCTCTCAAAGCAACCGAGGTAATGTGTTCTTGCTCTCCTACTGTCAAAAGCGTTACTTGAAAACACGTTTGCTTTTAGATAAGCGTTTTGAACAAAAATATTGAGGTGAAGTAGCTTTTTCTTAACGTTTTCTCCTACCAAGTGATGATTTGTTTTGAGCGGTTTTGAGCTTAATCAGCGGTTTTCTTTTTTCTTTAAACTCTTGGTCCTGTTAATATAAGCTTGTATAGTATTCTCCTTAACATTTTATGAATCATTATGTTGCTGTTTTTATTTTATGTAGAACATGAATGGAGGCAAGGATGATCTAAAGAAGCAAGGAGGCTTATCAGTAGTGTCCGGGCTATTCGCCGCATGGAAACGGCACGGGAAGCTGCCGTGGAAGAAGTTGATCAAACCGGCGGAGAAACTTGCGTCTAAAGGTTTCGAGATATCGAGATACCTCCACATGCAGATGAACGCAACTCGCGGGGCCATCTTAGCGGACAAAGGTCTCTCTGACCTGTTGGTTTCAAACGGGGAGCTCAAGAAACCCGAAATTGGCTTCTAACCTTGAGGCAAATCGGAGAGCATGGTCCTAAGGCTTTTTACAACGGCACCGTTGGGTTAAACCTTGTGAGGGACATCAGTGAATCCGGGGGGATTATAACGATGGAGGATTTGTTGAGCTATAGGGTTAGGGTTAAAGAACCTTTATCCACACGCATTCTCGGATACAGACTTCTCGGTATGCCTCCTCCTTCATCCGGTGGTGCTGCGATGATGTTGGTAAGTTTGGTTAATACATTTGAATTTGATCGAATATTAGGGTTTTTATTAAGTTGCTTGTGTTGCAAGGTATTGAGGATTCTTTCTCTTTATGGGATTCCATCCGGAGTTTCAGGGCCTCTCGGGGCTCATCGGCTAGCCGAGGCCTTGAAACACGCTTTTGCGGTGAGGATGAACCTAGGGGATCCGGATTTCGTCGATGTTACTAAGGTTGTTTCGGATATGTTGTCTCCAAAGTTTGCAAAAGGCTTGAAGAAAAAGATAAACGACGAGAAAACCTTTGATCCAAAACATTACGGCGGCAAGTAAGCTTTTAGCCAGTGATGACAATCGCAGATGATTCCTCAAAGTTTGAATTTATAGATCTTTCTTTGTCCAATTCGTAGGTGGAATCAGATTGAAGATCATGGGACAAGCCATATGTCGATCATAGATAGCGAGAGGAATGCTGTTTCGATGACTAGTACAATAAACGGTTACTTTGGGGCATTGTTCTATCTCCACGCACCGGAATTGTTCTGAACAACGAAATGGATGAGAACCAATGGTAATCAAACTGTGCCGCCACCGGCACCTGCTAACTTCATCCGTCCCGGGAAACGACCTTTGTCCTCTATGACCCCCACCATTGTACTCCAGGTTAGAAAAAACCCTATTACTTGTGATACACGAAACTCTTAATTGGGGTTTTTTCATGCGTGGTTAATGCAGGATGGTAAAGTGAAAGCCGCGGTGGGTGCGAGCGGAGGAGTGAACATCATCGCCGGGACAATCGAGGTTTATTTTTTCCTCAAGATGGATCCTCTTTCTGCAGTCTTGGCTCCAAGAATCTACCATCAGGTTTTTTTTTTGCGCTTCCTTTTGTTTCTCTCCCTTGCAACACTTTTTGTTCTTACTTAAAGATTGCTTTTTGTAATTTCATTTTCAGCTGATACCAAACGTAGTCTCGTATGAAAATTGGACAACAGTGTTCAATGATCATTTCGAGATTACCAAAGAGACGAGAGTTGTGTTGGAGAAGAAAGCTCATGTACTAATGCCGATCGTCGGAGGGACTATTTCTCAGTTTGTAGTTCAAGAATCCGGAATGAGTGAGCTTGTGGCGGTAAGTGATCCAAGAAAAGGAGGAACCCCATCAGGATATTGAGATTGGATGTGTTTATTGCGTCGAGCTTTATAGAGCTTCGTATCATTAAAACGATAAATAAATGTTCTGAAATGCTAGTCAAACGTTTAAGAACATATCTCTACACTTTTCCGTTTTCTCTTGTTTGTAAGAATCGTGGATTTAAACCGTTTGACCAAAAAAGAAAAGACTAATAGAAAACCAAAACCAAAGTAGTACTGCTTCTTGAAAAGATCTTATGTTTTGGGAAGTAACACCAGACATAAATTTTATTTTTAATTTCAAAATCTTAAAATGTCATTTGTGTTCATAAGAATTCAACAAAATAAGTTTTGATTTTGTTCTATAGAATGTGTTTTGTTTATTTATAAAACTATGTGACAATATTTATTTTCTTATAGAAATTTATATCAAGTTTGGAGATTTCTTGCTTTGAGATATTTGTAAGGAATACAAGAAAATAGCATTTGTTGTAAAATTTTGCAACAAACGGCCATGAATTGTTTTCATAAAATTAAACTACCGGTAATATTTAGTTTGGTCATTGTAAGATCATATCGATCGAAACTGAATTTCACTGATCATGCTCTAACTGACATAAACAAGTATCCAAGAGAAGATAATCAGATACATGTTTACATATGAGAAGAGATTTAAATCAGTGACATGTTTGTTTATCCTTCATAACATTCGCACATATAATGACCGGTGTAGCCTTGACAAGAGCCACCGAGAAAACCTTGACCACTACAGTAAATAGCACATTCACTTTTTATGTCCTTGCTATTTGGATCCGGGCATGGTCTCCCCGTTGGGTTTTGTGCTTCTCCAAACTCTATAGTTTATGTCAAAATGTCTGATTGTTGAGAAATGATCATTCACGTAAGAAAACAGATACTCCGTAAGTGATAATGTGTTCGAGTTCATGGAACGTGAAAGTTTTGGTCATTGTGTTAAAATTTTGTTGTGATTGAGCGTGTGTTGAGTTGTTCTTTTGTGTTTGGAAGTGTGTTTGTGTTTTGTGTATTTTGAGCGTGTGTTTTACTGTCGCGAAAACTGTAACTGGTCCTAGAGAGAAGCTAAACCAGAAGCTAAACTGTAACTGGGCATTCCATTGAAAACTGATTTCCTGTAACCAGTTTCAAATTTTGGATCACGGTTGAAACATATGATGTGATATTGTGATACTGCTCGTTAAGAGAACTTTGAGCATGGACTCATGAGTTATATATATCATGAAAACTTATAACATATATATATATATATATATATATATATAATTGTATGACATGAAAATGTTCATAATCGTTTGGAAGTTTTAACATTTGTGTAAACTGTTTAGCTTTTTAATTTAACTAACATGAATAGTCACTTTTTTTGGTTACATAATTCAATTATAATTTGGATCATTCTGTTCGAATTTATTTTGTAGACACATGATGTCTCCATTCTGTTCTTGAGAACAAAATGGTATTGTAAGTTTGTAACCAAGGTAGCATCTGAACAATATAATTTAAATATGTAATACAAAACTATTATTATTATAGGTTGATGGTAAAACATACAATAATACAAACACAATTTTATATTGTCATGTATTATTATATATAGTTTTAGAAGCGTTTGATATTAGAAAAAGAAACATCTGAGTTTTTATGGGTGGAATCTTGGATTTGCTGGAGGATACCAAGATTCGGTTGTACCATCTTGGTTAGATTTCATTGAGAAAACTTGTGGTTTATGGATTGGTTTAGAATCTGATTGGAAATCTGGACTTGGTGGAGGATACCAAGAGTCGGTCCCAACACCTTGGTTAGATTTCGTTGAGAAAATGTGTGGTTTATGGATTGGTTTAGAATTGGATTGGAAATCTGGACTTGGTGGAGGATACAAAGAGTCGGTCCCAACACCTTGGTTAGATTTTGTTGAGAACACTTGTGGTTTATGGATTGGTTTAGAATTGGATTGGAAGTTTGGACTTGGTGGAGGAAAATAAGAAGCGTAGGCAAGACCATCTGCAAGGAGAAGCAAAGTGAACAACATCGTTATTGCATAGTGGTTCATGATATTGGTCATCTTAATTTCTGTGTGTGACTGAATATGCTGATCCTTGTTTCCTTATTTATACTGTTGTGAACTTCTGACCCAAAAGAGAAAGCAAAATAGTATTTATTAAAAAAAAAATTGTTTACATTTGTCAGAAAAAAAGGAGATATTAATACTCTTTTTGTTTTTTTAATGAATATTCTGAGATTTACTAAACAGTTTTTTATAAATTTAAACCAATAAGAATTCAAAAAGTATAATAAATGTCTCTTGAAAAATGAAAAAGTTTATCAAAAAGTTAAAACATTTATCTGTATGAAACAATAAAAAATGGCTAGAAAATTCATTAAAAAGAAACAGAGAGAATGTCATTTGTCATGCTACCAAAAATTGCAAATACTTTATCAAAAAAAAAAATGGTATCTCATATTTTTGTGCATGTTAGAGAGAATCTCGTGCATGGACTCATGAGGACTATGTGTCACCAAAAGTTAATAGATATATATATATATAGGAAATGTTCATAAAAGCTTATAGGAGTTGTGACATTGTGTATACTGTTGTGTTTTTATTTTATATTAAAAATGATGATATGAATTAATCTATTACTCTTTGTTTCACAATATAAAGGGTTTTAGATTTTTTTTTTTTTCATTTTAAAGTGTTTTCAAGTTTTCATGTAAAATTAAATATGTTTTTGTTGCTTTTTGAATTTTTGAGTTTTGAAAATTATTTTTTTATTGGTTGAACTATTTTGTAATTGATGATAAAGCATATTATATTTTTTAAAATACAATAATTAAATGAGTTATTAATTTGTGTACAAAATCCTTAAACCTCTTAATTTTTTTTATTGGTACAATAGACCTAGGTTTACCGGGTTTTTCTTTTGAAGTGTATATATAAGGTTCATAAGGGTTTGTAAAATTTAACAAGTTAATAAGAAACCCTAACATGGTATATTGCCTCAATCTCTTTTCTCGATCGTTTTGGTCGCTCTAAATCACAACATCTAGGGAAGAGAAAGAGGTCTCATACTAGAACACGCTAATCCCATTATGTTGAGTGTAGAGACATGCAAGACTGAGATGTAGTATCACAAAATATACCAGTGTTCTCATCACAACTCCGCAAGCTAAACAAGTCTCAAATACTTGCATACACATACGCACTGGATCTAGTTACAATAGTTCAGAAAACTTGAATATCATCTATACATACACAATGAGACAAATAGATTAAACTTTTAACACTTCGGTACATACATAGATCATTATGCATTTTGAACATCCTAGGATCTAGACAACTTCGAATTGGTTCCTTAACATTTTAGAGATTAAAAATGGAAGTAAAAAACTAAGGTGGCTAACAGAATTTCCACTGATGGCTGCAATCTAAATTACCAAAATAAATCATTAAAACAGAGAATGCTGCAGAACGTATTGCCACCATTTAAAATCTTGATTAGTGGCCTGAAGGAAAACAAAGATATCAAGATTAGTGGTTTCAAAATTTGAATCTCATTGAGATGACCGTAAAGTCTTGAACGGCCGGGAATAAATATTGTTTATAATCACGGAGGTGAACGTCGTCGCCGGATTATGATCGACGGCCGTGATGCACGCTAAGTAAGGACCGGTCTCATACAGTCATACGCAGTAAACGAGAACTGCCCAGCCTCCACGTTATCGGCTTCGTGCAGCAACGACTCCCCTTTTGGCGGCATCACCTATAAAAAAACAGAATCACAACAATTCACAAGAGACGAAATTAAACTCGATCTGGTAATCAAGGTGAAATTTTCCGACGTGTAATGTAAGTACCTTGACGGTGATTTTGTGGGAAGCAGAAAGAGGATCGTTTTCGTTAGGGTTTACGACGAAGTATTTCCCGACGGACATGGTTTTCTCATGGAGATCCTCCGCGAAGCATTTCGTTTCCGCATAACGAATCTCGTACCGCATCGATAGTGTTCCGGGAATTAATAAGGATCAAAAGCAAAACCGAGCTCATACGAAGATCCATGGCGGCTCTAGAGAGAGAGACCTTGGGGGACTTGAGGTATAACCGTATAAGCTTGAGCCTAGTATTCCGAAACTCGTCATCACCATCAACAAATCGTTGGAAGAGAGAGATCCAGGTACGAGTTCTTTTGCCACGAAATAAAACACCATATTGTAGTGTGTAACGTGTTGTTCAAGTAACCTACCAAAATTCTGGTTTTTAAACATGGATATTAAGCTGCTTTTCTACATTGTAGTTGGCGGGAAAAACTTACTTGAACGTTAACTACCAATGAGAAAAGACCCTTCTCTGCAGCAACCTGAACAAATTATCAAGTGATGAAGAAGATACCTCAAAGATGGGATATACATATAATATCTCCCTTAAGACTAACTAGGAACTTTAAGTAAGACGAACTAATTAAGGTGATTGTCTCTCTTACTTGTGAAGCACGGCCCTTGCGTCTAACCACATGATCCATTCTTCTAGTGTCTTTGTAAAATCTTTTTACCTGTTTTCTTGGAGACGGTCTCAGGCTGAAATAGTTAAATGTTTATAAAGAGCTAACTCGATGAAATCTTTAGTTCAAAAGATTATGCTTTGATAGGCCAACCTCTTGTTCTGATTCAGCTATCTGAAACTCGTCATCATCGTCCGAGTCTTCATCCATTAGCACAGAGTTTCTGCTGGCTACATTTTCTTGGTCAATACAAAGGGAAGACTTACGCTGATGCTGCCCACCTTTACCCATGGCTAATGAAGAAGATGCCGTATTCACCATAACAGGGATCCTGATTGGATGCACAGAGAACCACTAACATCCTAAATTTAATACAAAATTAAATATCCTTAACTAAAGAAATACAAAATTAAACGTGGGCCCATAGGCCAGTGTTTCAATTTTTATCAAGTGGGCACGGCCCTTTAAGAGAGGTAGTCTTGATTACTCCAAAGTCACCTTGTGTTAATGTTCTAAGTTTGATTGGTGTCCATTGAGACCTCTATATCACGTAGCCTACGAATCTACGATCGTAGAATGGAATCTGATTACTGAATATAGTAATGAAACTTCACGTAAGCTGATGTGGGCCCTCTAAGGCTCCAAAGATCGATTCAATTCTAGTTTCCGCCAACCTTCACCGCCTAACTAAAAACCATCATCTTAGTAACTACTCTAAGACAAGCAACACATACACAAGCCTAGGAACTGGGAACGACTGAGGAGGTAAGAAGAACACAATGCACTCAAGGAGTAGTGAATATGTGGAGAGGACTCACCGGAGGTAGAGGCAGAGCTCTCGCCGCCACCGCCATAAAACACCTCAACGAACCTAAATAGTAACAACCCTCAGATACCGGCAGCCTTAAACATGGAAAGCAGCCCACCAAACAACAAAAACCCTCCTCATAAATAGGCCATGCACACTAGTTGAAAGCAAACCCCAAGTCACTAGTTTTTTAAATTGTATATCAATGACTAATATAAATTGACAATAAACTAGCCGCAATCAACAAGATTAAACAATACGTAAATATTTGATTAGAAAGTAAAAGATGAATGATTAACAGTTTTTTGGTGACGATAATATTAAACCACGAAAACAAATGTTAATATAAACAAGCAATATACATTTCTGCGCATTGGTCATCACTGATAGTCTTTTAAAGTAATTGTTAGCTTTGTTTGAGACCAGCGCATGAAACATTAGATTTAGACCACACTTATATTTAATGTTTTCTAGGGCCACCAATACATATGCATACAATTGCATGCTAGTCATAGACAATGCTTATTTACTTTCTTTGCATGTGTTCGACTAGACAGAAATTATGTGGGGCCGGTCCTGTTTGAGAGTTGTGTAAAAGACCATCCGTTTCTTTGAAGACCGCTTTATCAAATCTTAAAATCACATATGTTCTTTAGTATATATATATATATGGCATTGCGGCTCCTTGCATAATTTAATCGATCAATGAGAGTCTTCTCACCCACGGAGGACCATCAAGTGTTCTTCAATTACCGGGGAGAGCAACTGCGATACAACTTCATTAGCCACCTCACTGATGCCTTTGAGAGGCACGAGGTTAACTTCTTCGTAGACAAAAACGAGCAGAGAGGCAAAGATCTCAAAAATCTCTTTGTAAGAATCGAAGAGTCGAGGATCGCGCTGGCCATCTTCTCTACCAGGTGTTGTGTATATTCCTCTTACTTGTTAAGTATATAGTTTCAGAATATTCAAGAATCATTCATCATCATTTTAATTATAGGTATGCGGAATCGAGTTGGTGCATGGACGAGTTAGTGAAGATGAAGAAGCTTGCGGATCAAGGAAAGCTCCAAATCATTCCAATCTTCTACAAAGTGACTGCAGGAGACGTGAGAAAACAGACAGGTGAATTTGGTGACAACTTCTGGACTCTGGCGACAGCTTCTAGTGGAGATCAGATCAAGAAGTGGAAGGAAGCCTTGGAATGTATCTCCGACAAGATGGGTTTGTCCTTAAAAGACAAGAGGTACGTACTTCCACTCACACTCATTCTTCTTCTAATTAAAACCAAAGAGTTATGAGCTTTTCTTAAGTCCAAAATTAACGTGAAGGAAGGTCTATTCTTATGGCAGCTCTGAAGCCGATTTTATCAAGGAGATTGTTAAGGAGGTGAAGAGAGTTATAGCATCAATTGGATTCGAATAAGAAGAACAAAATATTTTGGGGGAAAAAGTGAGAAAGCTTGAGAATTGCAATCTCCATGTATTTTTGTTTCATCTTAATAACCAAATATTGGGACGTACGTAGACATGAACCAGAAGCTGTCCTTCCTGGAGATCCTCAAGAAGATTGAGAAGATAAAATGGGGTTTGTTCACTTTCATATAACAACTAAAATCTCAAATGAGAGATCATCAAAAACCATCACAAAAAAGTCTTTGTTGTATACTCAAAAGTTTATATATAGCTTATTTCTAACGGAATAGTAGTCTTAACACAACATGAGTATGAATGTCTACCACAACATATTAGATGAGTTTCTTTTTCTCGAAGAAATTTTTCAAGTGCCAAAACTGCAGACCAGCCACAGATAAACAAACCCCAAGCGACAAGAAACTCAACCACGCCATCTTCGTGTTTGTGGATCTGTTCACGTCCTGATTTTCTTCTTCACTGATTCACACCAAACCAGAAGATATAATTGGATTAAGCTCATCATCATATCTCTTTTCTTCATACCAACAAAAAAAAAACTGGTAAAAATGGTTGGTCCTTTGTCTATTTACCTAAGACGGAGATAAAACATCTCATCGTGGATGTCCTTAACAGTGTCGAACAATCTCTCAACCTGTAACTCCATCATCTGTCGGAAACAACATACAAGATCCAACCACAACCACAATCAGTTTAGTTAAACAAACCCTTAAAAAACACAATCTACACTATGAGTATCATAAACCATACAAATCCTAAACCAAATGTAAGCCTTGCATACTCAATTTCACCAAAACTAACACACTAACAAACCCTTTAAAAACCAAGATTACAGAGGAATTGATATTATCTTATATCGTGGAATTTAGTTGACTAACTAGGACTTAGGGTTTACTTACTTTGACTTGGCTTTGCTTGGCGACTTTGGACCAATCCTTGGAGTGAACAGAGTGAACACCAGACCTCCAATCAAAATCAACGGTGAACGTCGTCGCCGGATTATGATCGACGGCCGTGATGCACGCTAAGTAATGCCCGGTCTCATACGCAGTAAACGAGAACTGCCCAGCCTCCACGTTATCGGCTTCGTGCAGCAACGACTCCCCTTTTGGCGGCATCAGCTATAAGAAAACAGAATCACATCAATTCACAAGAGACGAAATTAAGAACTCGATCTGGTAATCAAGGTGAAATTTTCCGATGTGTAAGTACCTTGACGGTGATTTTGTGGGAAGCAGAAAGATGATGCTTTTCGTTAGGGTTTACGACGAAGTATTTCCCAACGGACATGGTGTTCTCACGGAGATCCTCCGCGAAGCATTTCGTTTCCCCGGAGCGAATCTCGTATCGCATCGATAGAATTCTGGGGGTTAAAAATGTAAGGATCAAAAGCAAAACCGAGCTCATGCGAAGATCCATGGCGGCTCTAGAGAGAGAGAGGGGGAGAGAGAGAGATCTTTGCAGCAGTATTCAAAGTTTTTGGCCGTTTCGTGAAGATGGGATTGAGACAAAGAGAGTCAAAAGTCATGACGTTTTAGGACACGTGTGTTTTTTTAATTCGTGGAAACACGTGAACAGTTCTTATGCATATGCATATTGTTGTTTTCCATTGCTGCCGCGAGTAATTTATGGGCTCTCGGGCCCAAAATAATGGCCCAATTAAGTTTCATATGTGAATAAATATACTTTCATACAACAAAAGATAAAAAGTTCCGCTGTAGCACACAAGCTTAATCGTTGCAACTAATGCTGCAATCTTCCACAATTCCGGGTTCGAAGCCCGGCAGCGGAATATATTTTTATATCTTTCGATGGCTTTCTACAACACCACTAGGCCCAAATTAATTATTTGTTAGGTAAGTTAAAGGATTATTTGTAAATAAATATCATTTACATACACCACAATTAACAAATTCCGCTGTAGCACACAGGCTAATTCCCTTTGCAAAAGGTTCAGACTGGAGAAATCCGGGTTCTTTGTTTATATCGAAATCGTAGTATTGTGGAAGAGTGTTTTGAACCATCACCTCTTCTCCCGCCTATCCTCAAGCGTTAAGGATTCACGGAATGAGTAGAAAAGCTTTGGTCTTTGTGTAGCATTAATTGGTTGATATTTTGGTCATCTTTGCAAAAGTATGTTTCTTGGATATTTACAAGAGAAGAGAGCATTGGTACAATACAATGTACGACGAGCACTTGAGGCGTACATATGCTCTGTCTGATATCGTAGGGTAAGTATAAGTGAGCCGGTTCAATAAGAATCTAAAGGAAAGATCAACCCAATAGTCTCACAAGGAGGATCATCATCAGTCTTAGTGTTTGAGTCTGTCGATCAAGTCAAGGGACATACCAAGACATTTAACCGAACAAACATATTTGTTGAAGGGATTTGGCTTCCAGTTTCTACCGACTTCAACTTATGTATATTGCTTTATCCAAAAAGAAAAGAGAAACAGTTTGTATATTGGCTTCATTTACCGTTAGTGTCACGAGTTTGGAATTGAACACATCCTCGCGCTTAGGAGAGTTTATACTGTGAAATTCTGTTTTGTTTTAGGGTCTAGAATCTTCTTACTTGAATGATTTAGGGCCTGATTGGTTCTCCCGCTACCACCCGCAAACGCAGCGTTTGCGGTTCGTAGCGGTTTTCGGCGGTTTATAACAATCACGACAACCACTTTGAAATACCACTCTGTACCGCTCTATATCGCTGAAAATCAAAAGCTCCTTTCCGCAAGCGTTTGCGGTTGCGGGCGGTTGCGGGTGGATAATTAAAAAAAAAAAAAAAACACAAACTTATATAAAATCCGAAAATAAATAATAATATTTATTAAAAAATAAGATTTGGATAATAAAATCACAATATAAATAAAAAATTAGTACTTTTAGTCAATATTCATTAAAATCATATAATACTTATATATTTATAAGTTCTACAAATCAAAATTCTCTTGATAAATATTCTTTTCATACTAATACATATATATCTAATAAATAAAATTGTAAAATAAATTTAATTTTCACATTAAATATATATTTTGAAAATAAAATCACATTTTTATTTAAATTATAGAAATTAAAAGATAGACGTAAGTATTATACACATATTATTCTTTATAAAAAAATTATTTTTAATTATGTTGAACCATAAATTTAAAATTTTCATTATAATATAGTTTTGATATTTTTATAATTATATAATGTGTTTATATTATTAATTTATTGTTTAACCGCTATTGCATCCGCAAGTGAACCAGTCATAAGTAACCCGCAAACGCATCCATTTTCAATTGTTATGCCAGTCGTACAAACCGCTTAATAACGCTACTAATCACAACCGCCCGCTTCCGCAAACTCCCGCACCCGCAACCGCAACCGCAGCGGTTAAACCAGTCAGACCCTTAGAGTCTTGGCTTAGTGATGTTCAAAAAAAAAAAAAAAAAATCTTGGCTTAGTAGAACTACTTATCTAATTTGTAGATTGAGCTGTAACATGGTTTTGCACTTTACAACAACGATGGCAAGGTTCAAATCAATTTAATTTTATGTTGGTTATGACAGCTTATGATGTTGAATTATAGCCTCATGTTTTCGTGAAACCCACCAAGCTTAGCCACGTGTGCAGCCATGCCATGGACGTCGAGGTTCCATGTTTTTATTTAGACTCGATGCATATATAATTTGGCAAAGCGTTGAGTCTGCTCCACGACAAGACAACAATACTAAAGTAGTACTAGTACTTGTGTTGCTGCACACTCGAATAGTTAAATAATAAGATGACTTTAAAATTTTTAATTAACCAGCAGAGATGATGAGACCTGAGAGAGCATAAGAGAAGAAAAACAAATTCGATCGGTCTGTTCGGATTTTACAAGTTTTCTCTTTAAAATTTTTTCCTGATTTGCGAATATGGGAATTTTTTTGAACATCTTCTTCCATGGTAGGTCATTTTCTCGGGAAAATTTCGAGTTTTGAACGGTCGTCATATCTGTTTTTTTTGGTCCACATTTGTTTTGCATTCATTTTCCCACCGTTTCCTCCCTCGTGACTCGTGTGATCCTTGGCTCTCCTCGTAACCTTTTTGGGATCTCTCTGTAATTTTCTTAGTTTCCGAGAATATTCCCCAGAAAATTCGAACACTCGAGGAGCAAAATTAAGCTCGATATCATATCACAGTAATTCAAAAATATCTCCGATGAAGCGGCGATGATGGTAGTCGGAGATAGATGGAAACTAGATCGGAGATTACTCAGACGCGGAGCGATACTAAGCCTCCGGTTCTATCAATTCCCAAAATTCGGTTAAAAGTTTGGTTCGTCAGCGTCTGCTCGAGCATTTTGGTTTGGACTTGCTTGATTCAGCTCTTCGCCACCGGCGAGCTTTGGCATTCCCAGATATCCACCGGTTCGGTTTCCCGATTTCCCCTCCCCGTCGAGCTGATTCGATTGCAGCCTCGCCGTCATCCTCCCCGAAGTCAGTTTTCTCTTCTCTGGTTGATTTAGGGTTTAGGGTTTACAGATTACGCAATTGATTTGTATTTGGGTTTGTTTTGGTGTTTGAGAGTTTAAAGCAAATGATGAACATTTGCAGGGAACTATACAAGCAATGGATTCTTAAAGGTATCCTGTAACGGCGGTCTGAATCAAATGCGTGCAGCGGTTCGTCACTCTCTTTTATCTCTCTCTCTCTCTCTCTCTGATTTGCTGATTTAAAGGTTTCAATATCTTAGACACTTGGACTTGTTTCAGATTTGTGATATGGTGACTGTTGCTCGTCTGTTGAACTTGACTCTTGTCGTTCCAGAGCTTGATAAGAAATCATTCTGGGCTGATCCAAGGTATGTAGCTGTAGCTGTTGTTTTAGGCAATTTTAGCTGATGTAGCGATTGAAACCATTTGTAGGTTTTTACTTTTGCAGTGACTTTGAGGACATATTTGATGTGAAGCATTTCATTGATTCGTTAAGAGATGAAGTTCGGATCTTGAAGAGGCTTCCTAAACGTTATAGCAAGAAGTATGGACACAAATTGTTCGAGATGCCGCCTGTGAGCTGGTCAAGTGACAAGTATTACTTGCAGCAGGTGAATTTGCAGTTTTCTTGATTATCTGCTTATGATCTGCGTTTATGATTGATTGAATTTCTTTGTTTCAGGTGTTGCCGCTATTTAGAAAACATAAAGTTATACACTTCATTAGGAGTGATAGCCGATTAGCGAACAATGGTCTTTCTCTCGAACTCCAAAGGCTGAGATGCCGAGTGAATTTCCAAGGACTGAAGTTCACTCCACGGATCGAGGCTTTGGGGTCGAAGTTAGTTCGGATTTTACAACAAAGAGGGTCTTTTGTGGCTCTGCATTTGAGATATGAGATGGATATGTTGGCTTTCTCTGGTTGTACTCATGGCTGCTCTGAGGAAGAAGCTCAAGAACTCAAAAAGATGAGGTTAAAAATGGTTGTAGTTTTGATGCTTTGTTTTTTTTTTATAAGTAAAACCTTTGATTTCTCATAGTTCTCTTCTGTGTTGTAGGTATACATATCCTTGGTGGAGAGAGAAAGAGATAATCTCTGAGGAGAGAAGAGCACAAGGTCTTTGTCCTTTGACACCTGAAGAGACGGTTTTGGTCCTAAAAGCATTAGGTTTCCAGAAGGATACACAGATGTACATTGCAGCTGGTGAGATTTATGGTGGTGCGAGGAGATTAGCCCTTTTAAAGGAATCATTTCCAAGAATTGTGAGTTTTTTTTTGTCACACTTTCGTACTTTCACTTTGATAATGATCAATCGTTTGGTGGTGATGATGATGACATGACATGTGGGTTTCTTCAGGTGAAAAAGGAAATGCTACTAGATCCAACGGAAATGCAACAGTTTCAGAACCATTCATCTCAAATGGCAGCTCTAGATTTTATAGTGTCTGTAGCTAGTAACACTTTTATCCCTACCTACTATGGAAACATGGCAAAAGTCGTTGAAGGTCATCGAAGGTAAATTATTCTGTAAATCAAAATCCAATTCAAGCTTTACTAAGATTCTCATTTCCCCCTCTTTGAATTTCATTTCTTTGCAGATATCTCGGGTTTAAGAAAACAATCCTGCTAAACCGGAAGAGACTCGTGGAGCTTTTAGAGTTGCATAACAACAAGACGCTCTCTTGGGATCAGTTTGCAGAAGCTGTCAAGGAAGCCCATCAAGGACAAAGGATGGGAGAACCAACACATCGAAAAGTAATCTCTGATAAACCAAAGGAAGAAGATTACTTCTATGCCAATCCTCAAGAATGTATCTCTCACAATTACATTAGAACCTCCAACTTCTCTCTAAAAGCATAGAGCACAAACTCTGATTAGTTTCTAACTCTGACTTTTAATTTCATTCTTTGTTTATAGACCTTTTTCGGTTTTGTAAGGTAAATAATGTAACTAGCTAAAAGAAAGTTGTATCATCTTTACACAACCATCTGTTTTAGCTAAATAATCACTTGGTTCCCCAGAAGATGATTTCTTCTTGCTAAGCCAACCAAACCAATATCTTTGAACCTCTCTTATCCCATGAAGATCTTGATGATTTGTTGCAGAACACTCGAGATTAATTTCCTTCTCACAGTAACTTGTTATTCTGCAAAAATATAATGCAAATATAGTAAGATGAAACATATCTATCAATTGGCCTGAGGTTTTAAGGAACTTTGCGCCTTACCAGTTGGTATACTCAGAGGCGCTGAGATACTCGCCGTGCTCTTCAAAGTATTCGACCATACGTTTAAGAAACGCATCGCTGCTCACTGTCTCCGTATCGCAAACAACACAACACTGTCTTCTGGCGCGAGTAACAGCCACATTCATTCTCCTCTGGTCTTTCAAAAACCCAACCTCGTTCTTCGAGTTCGACCGAACCATGGAAATAATAATAGCTTCTTTCTCTCGGCCTTGGAAACCATCCACCGTAGAGATCTCCAGATCCTTCAGCTTCTCCTCTTTCCCTCTAAGAATCCTAAGCACCATAACCTGAGCAGCGTAAGGCGTAATGATTCCGATATCACAAGGCTTGACTCCACTCATGATCAGTCTCTTGGCATGTGCCATTGCAACCTCTGCTTCACCTTCGTTGTAAGTGCTCTCTTCCTCGTCTTTCTTCTCTTCCATGTCGCACCCAGCGGTATCTACCAACAGCAGAGTCGCCTCCGTTGCAGAAGATTTCTCCACATTCTCCAAGTCGAAAAGCGTGTGCGAGGCAACACTCGAATGCGCGCTTATCTTCCCATCGTAAAGCTCCTCCGATGACCAGTTCATGATAAGCTCATGCATACGGTACTGTACAGTAAGCATAGACTTGATCTCATCTCCGTAAAGATCCGCTAGCCGCTCAAAAAGCGTTCTCCCTAACCCTTTCCTCTCGGCTTCAGCGCTTTGAATCGTCGGCGGGAGCTGGAGATGGTCTCCTGCTAGTATACATCTCGAACCCTTTAACAGAGCAATCCAACATGCTACCTCAAGAGCCTGTGCTCCTTCGTCAATAATCACCAAGTCAAAAGTTGTATGATCAAGCTTTCGAGTCAATGCACCAGTCAGAGTTGTGAGGATCACATCAGCGTTCTTAATCACGTCTGTTACAGCTAACTGCTGCCTCTTACGCTCTTCCTTCCCAAGAACACGAAGATCCTTCTGTAGTCCTCTCCTTGTGTTCTTATCTTTCGTCTTCAACAACTTCCCGTTCAAGGCCTTCATTTCTTTTCTGATGTCGTTCGCTAAACCGCTATTATCTCCTTTAAGAACCTGAGCGTCGAGAGCACTATCAAGAACCTGAGGTAAGAGCCGAGCAGGATGTCCAACTCTCACCAGCTTCACCTTGTGAGGAACGAGCCTCTCGACAATGTTATCAACCGCGATATTCGAAGCCGCGCAAGCGAGAATCTTTGATCCGCGTTTCACTTCTTGCAAGACTATCTCCACCACCGTTGTAGTCTTCCCAGTACCAGGAGGTCCGTGTAGCAAGAACACATCTTTCGAAGATAACGCCTTTGTGATCGCATCTCTCTGCGACTGATCAAGGTTCTTGTTAAAAGGCGTAAACTCAGCTTCCTTCTTCGTCACCGATGGTTGTCTCTCGCCGAACAAGACCGGGACTAGATCAGAAGCAGGTCCTCTCAACACGCCTTTGCTCAGCTGAATCAACGTATCTTTCATTCTCCGATACGTTACCTCGTTCGCGAGCTTCTCCAATCGGAGAGAAGTGTTTAGCCCTTCCTCCGGGATCTCGTCGAAAACGACGGTGATCGAAGAGTCCTTTAGCCGATACACCACTCCTTGCGCGAGAGGAGAGGAGCCGAGATCGGATTTGTTCAGCTTCAGAACGACGACGTCGTGGTTGCCGAACTTGTGAGCAGGAAGAACATCTCCTTTGTTTGATTGGAATTCGATTAGAGATTTCCCCATTAGACCTGTTTGAACATCGACGCATTTCAGATTGAGGATCGTCGTGCCTTTCTTCTGAGCTGTTTCGATGTTTCTCGAAGCGCCCGTGGTTAGAGACATTGATATCTCGGCTTCTTTCTCCATGTCTATAAGTGGAGCCATTGTTGACACGAAAGCTTCGAGAGACATCGCCGATCCTCGATTCTTCGCCATTTTTTTCAGGGTTGTGGATTCTCTGAAAATGAATTTAGTAAACATTTGAGATTAATCAGCTAACATGATGAATCACGGAAGTTTCTAGACCCTAAATTACGAAATCTCAGCATAAAATTCAGATTGATGAATCCAGATATATAAATTCTGTCTAGCGAAACAAATCCAGATAGCTGGAGCGAGAAATTGAATATTGTACCTAGAAGAAGGAAGATTTGTTCCTCTCCGATGAGTTCTCCTCTGCGTATCACGAATTGGCAGCGATAGAGATGAGGAAGAAGAAAAAGAGACGACGATTCTGAGAATGGTGGAAGGTAACTGTGAAGATTTGAAGAAGTAAGAAGATGATGATACCGAGGGTTTTTGTTTACAGAGTTCAGAAGAGTAACGCATTTTCTCAAGTGACAATTTTAAATGGGCTTAGATTATCTACCTTATTGGGCGTTTGACGGCCCGTTACCATTTTAATATTTTATGTAACGTAAATACGCGGGTGATTGAAAAAGCTGTTTGAATATTTAAACAAGGATGGAAAAGTAACGTAAGAATTAATACAAATGATTTGTTTCTTTGTAAAAAAGGCTATTTAAGAAAACTCATAATTTTTTTTTGGTCGGTTTCATCCTTTGGACTACCACACTGTCTATCCTAAGTTTCGAGTGTCTTCCGACTAATGTCAGAGTGTAATCAGATCGTCTGCATTTCTGATTATCAAATAAACCAACTGGGCCTAAGTCCAACTGACAGACTTTCCACATAAATGAGATTTTGTTTCCAGGGAGGATCGAACCCGGGTCTGGGAGTTTCACCCTTCACCAAGGTTTCCCCTTACCATTGGACCACAAGAGTGTGGGCAAAACTCATAATTTATTTATTCATAATTTCATAAGATGAACATGTTTTGAGTTTGACATTTCCAAAAAAATTATAAAGAAATATTTGTACATAAATCATTTCCTTATATGACGATTTCGTCCTTCACCTCCAGTCAACAATGTGGTATTTCTTTCCCCGGCTAGCAATAGGCAATAGCATGACAAATGGATTGATGGTGTATTCGATATGTCATATGTAGACATTCGAACAATGGGAAACGACTACATCTACGGTGACTTATAACATTTTTTATAACATTGATTAATTAAAGATAGCGATATTCCACTGAGCTATGACTTTGTAAACGTCCACATGTATACTAGAATCGAGACAATTTAACAGTTATGTGGTTAAATAAATCTTGAGAGTTTAAACTGTTTAAAAAGAATATATGACACTGACGTGACACATAAGAAGGGGTTATTCCATAGAAATGTCAATGCAAAAATGTAAAGAACCAAGCTTTTATAGAGTCATTTGGATAGAATTGATTAAAAAGATTCATCTATCCTCTAACCATATCTCACATTTATATAATACTGAGATGATTGAATTTAATCTAAAACATAAAGCTGTATTTTGTAAAAATTACAACCAATTGTATAAAACAAAAGAGAACAATTCTAATAATTGTATAAAATATTACAACTTGCTTAATCAAGGAATGTAATTAACACCAATGGATTTATCATGTTTTTATGTTTTTTTCTCTAAGTTTTCAAATAATATCAGAGATTCCACATTATGTATATGTATATTTAGAAATGGTAAGCCGTACATAGTCATAATTTAAAAACACATAAGTTGCTATCACCCCAACTAACAGTCTACAAATTGCTTAGTTTATAGGAACAGTTAGTTGACGTTTACTTTTGCAGCTTAGCTCTACAAAAAGATAAGACTGTTGAAAACATTGGTCATAACAATTTGCTTCGTCTTTGTCCATTTACATTTCCTCTTTTATCACTTTCAGAGAAAACAAAAAATTGTTACACGACAAAGAGAATGAAGTTCGGTAAAGAGTTGTCCTCACAAATGGTACCAGAGTGGCAAGAAGCTTACATACGCTACGATTATCTCAAAACGCTTCTCAAAGAAATCATCAAACTCAAACAAAAAACCAACCCTCCTCCTCCTCTACATCATGCTGTCTCCGGCGAAGGACTTAGCCGGAAAATGACTTTATACCGAGCATTTAGCGGTCTTGTTCAAACACCGGGAAAGAAAAGACAAAGCTCCGGTCAAATCAGGTCTTCTTCAGAAACCGACATTGAAGAAGGTAATGTTATGTATTACGAACTTCTTGGTAATATCTGCATAGACTTCATGGGCCATATCTTTATATATTAATATAGGTTTTTCTATATTCCGATGTGGTGTTCCTAATAGGTAAAGCTCCGATACTTGTTAACAAAGCGAGTCATGGATTAGAGACAATGTTTTTGATGACGGCAGAGGAAGGAGGAGAATATGAGTTGGTGTTTTTCCGACGACTCGACGATGAGTTTAACAGAATTGAGAAGTTTTATAAAGAGAAAGTGGAAGAAGTAGTGAAAGATGCGATTATGCTGAATAAGCAAATGGATGCTCTAATTGCTTTCCGGGTTAAGGTTGAGAATCCTGTTGGGTGGGGATGGGAGGAACGAACGGTGGAGATGACTCGCTTGGCCTCCAACGTCGCCACTTCCACGGCGGCGATCGCTGCTTCTACACCCGCCAGAACTCGAACTAGTAAGATAACTAACCAAATTAAATGCAGTTAAATTATGTTTCTTTTTCATCACGCAATAATTTATTGGAATAACTTATTCAACGAAAATTATGTCTTTCTTTGAACGAGGCAACATTTTTGTTTTACAAGAAAGCAACGTAAATTGAAATGAACTAAAGATATAAAACAAGGTATTTAATCATATAATATATTCTTATAATATATTCTTTAATATAATGTATTATTTCTTTAACAAACATCTTATTACAAGAAACGGTCGCAAAGAGACAATTATAATTAAGTTCGATTCTACTTAAAATATTAAACCAAAAATCGAACAAAGACATCAACTCAATTCAAAATTTACGACCTTAACATTTTTTTTCATCGACCTAATTAAATACATGTACCTAGGTTAGATCATTCTTATTTTTCGTGTGAGATTCCTTATGGTGTATGCTAATCATAATTTCTCTAAAATCAAAATTTATAACGTATATAACATTATGATATTTGTTCTTGCATCAAAATTTAGGTACCATTTATACTATTTTTTGCGGACTTCTTGTAGAGATTATTTTTTTAAATCCATATAAATTGTTAACTAAAATAACAGAGAAACTATACATTTCTATGAGTAAACCTGATCTCCCAGTACTGAAATTCGATTTATTTTCTGTCTCAACGAAACCAAATCGCCAATTTCAAATTTCTCAGTGAAGCCTCAAGCTCAAGGTCGCATGGAGGCGATACAAGAAGGAGGATCCAGCAGAGCTTATCAATCCGAAGAAGATGAATATCACGGCGGAGAAACCGGTGACGCGAGAACAAGCAGCTTGAGCAAAATGGGAGCTGCGAGGCCAGCACCAATCGAGGTTCTCGAACACATCAAGATCAACAACACTAAGGAAACGCCTATGTCCACCATTAAAGGCGTTCTCCATACCTCGAACCAGGATGAGATCATATTCAATAGAAACAATCTGAGGGACGTCGAGGAAAAGCTCAAATTCGCATTCGTCGAGTTTTACCAGAAGCTTCGGCTCCTCAAGAGCTACAGGTGCGTGTATGTTGGTTTTGGATTATCAAACATTGAATTTGTTGAAATGTGATTAATATTTGATGGATTTAAACTATATGCAGCTTTCTAAATGTGTTGGCGTTCTCAAAGATATTGAAGAAGTATGATAAGGTAGGGATTTGGTCAGAATAGAGATCTTGATCTTTAGGGCTTTTGAAATATTTATGCTCTTGAGATTGAAACGTGTGTTCCACGAAATTGCAATCACAGATAACTTCAAGAAATGCTTCAAAGGCTTACATGAAGATGGTTGACAACTCGTATCTCGGAAGCTCTGATGAGGTGAGCTTTGACGAGAGATTTTTCAAACTAGATTATATATGAATAATCTCCATCGATTCCTCAGTTTTGATCCTTGTATTGATGTATCTTCTCTTATGTCACAGCTTATGAAACTCATACAGCGTGTTGAAGCTACGTTCATAAAGCATTTCGCAAATGGCAACAGAAGAAAAGGAATGAACATTTTGAGACCTCAAATGAAAAGAGAGAGACATCGACTTACATTCTATACAGGTAGAAAGAGAAAAAAAAAATCATATACACAATACCATGCGTATGCTCTAATTTGATGTTCTTGAATGTTTTTTATTGTCAATTTGTTCCTTTGGTTTCAGGTTTCTCTGCTGGATGCGTGTTTTCTCTTATGGTGGCTCTTGTCTCCATCATACGCGCCAGGAAAATCCTTCAAAAGGAAGGCCACAAAGATTACATGATTTCTATGTTCCCTCTTTATAGGTACAAAAATACTTACTCTGCATCCTCAACAATAATTTTTTTGATTTTAATGTGAAACTTGCTTTTTTTTTTGTTCTTGCAGCTTGTTTGGGTTCATTGTACTTCACATGATTATGTATGCTATTAACATATACTATTGGAAGCGTTATCGAGTAAATTATGCCTTCATATTTGGGTTCAAGCAAGGAACAGAACTTGGATACAGACAAGTTCTATTTGTGAGCTTCAGCATTGCAGCTTTTGTGCTGCTTTGTATTCTTGGAAATCTTGATCTGCAAGCAGATCCCAATACCAGAAGGTTTCAAGCAGTAACCGAACTTCTTCCTCTTTTTCTTCTTATTGTAAGTCTCCGAAAATAAATGAGTTTTTTTATTGATGCAAGCAAACACAGATATATATATATATATATATATATATATATATATATTATATATATATATATATATATATATATGATGGCACTAAGTTTATATATATGATGTTTGTTTTAGGCTATCTTTGTAGTTTTAATGTTACCATTCAACATTCTCTACCGTTCGAGTCGCTTCTTCTTCCTCACATGTTTATTTCACTGCCTTGCTGCTCCTCTTTACAAGGTTAAAAACATAAAACATTCAATGGCTTACATATCTATGCTGACAAATATCATATTTATTGTTATTGATGCCTCTTATCAATACAGGTAACGTTACCAGATTTCTTCTTAGGAGATCAATTAACTAGCCAAGTGCAAGCTCTTAGAAGTGTCCAGTTTTACATATGTTACTACGGTTGGGGAGACTTCAAACAAAGACAAAACACTTGCCAAAACTCGGAAATCTACAAAATCTTCTTATACATTGTTGCTGCCATCCCATATCTATCTCGCCTCCTTCAGGTATACAACAAAGTTTCTTCAAAAACACATATCCAACATTGATCTAGCATTCATTAGTTTTCTTGGTTGTTTCATTGATTTCAGTGCATGAGACGTATGGTTGAAGAAAGAAGCTTAGAGCAAGGATACAATGGAGTCAAGTACTTGTTGACAGTCGTAGCCGTTTGTTTAAGAACAGCTTATGATTTTGAAGGAAACAAGAATCATATACATATCCTCAAAGTGTTAGCTGGTGCTGCATCGGTTCTTGCTGCTGTTTTCTGTACGTACTGGGACTTTGTACATGACTGGGGACTTTTGAACAGAACGTCCAAAAACAGATGGCTTCGAGATAAACTTCTTGTCCCAAATAAGAAAGTATACTTCATCGCAATGGTAAAAACGATTACAATTATTTATCATATAACTTCGATTATCTTGCAACTAATTAAATTAGTTCTTGAAAACAAAACTGCAGATCTTGAACGTTGTGTTGAGGTTCGCTTGGTTACAAACGGTATTAAATTTTCAATTCAAGACGCTTCACGTGCAGACGATGATTGCGGTTATGGCTAGTCTTGAGATTATTCGCCGTGGGATGTGGAATTTCTTCAGGTTGGAAAACGAGCATTTGAATAATGTTGGGAAGTACAGAGCTTTCAAGTCTGTTCCATTACCATTCAACTACGACGAGGACGATGAGAAAGACGACTAGATGTTCGCAGAAGAACGTTAAAACTTTCTTATACTACGTCTACGTGTTTAACAAAAAATGAAGTTTGTACAAATGCAGTCCATACCGGATTTTATTATGGTTAAGAGGTACAACAGTGTTTACTATATTGGTATATATGTAACATACTTGGGGGCCCAATATAACGGCCCAATTAAGTTGCATATGTGATTAAATATATTATATAAAGTTGGATGCACGTGGCTGTGACACGATTTTTATAAAATTTAGGATTGCGACATGTGTCACTTTTAATGTCTGTTAAGATCGTGACATGTGTCTTAGAAAAAAAGAAAAAAAATAATAATTAAAAAAACATAGATAAAGGAAAAAAACGAAATTTTAATTTTTATAGTTAAAAGAAAAAAAAATATATATTTGTCATATCCTAATAGAAAAAGGTTTCCCATTCATCAAATTTATATTATCCAAACACATATAAATTCAAATTAATGAAATAAATAAAATCCTATTAGTACATGAAATAGGTTATGTAAACTAAATTTCCTATACTGCATGGAATAAGTTACATGAACCCCTATAAAAAGAGAGTTAAAGTAGTCTTTTTTTTCTCATTCACAAACTCATCAAAGCAAACAACATGATAGCAATACGTATGATTTTTATAACTCACAAAATTGTGATATCTGTTTATATTCCCATTATGAACAGAAAAATAAACAATATGTCAATATGGCTCTGTATATTTTTAAAATCATGTCAATATGTCAATATGTAAAATAAACAGGAAAATAAAATTGCGATATGTCGTTAGATGTATTTGATCCGGTGAAGACATGTTAATTGGAAAAATGTTAAACAGATATAAAAACTAGAAAAAAAAAAACTAACTAATAATGAAAATGAAAATTTATAATGGTCTGAGTCAAAAACAAAATTGAGAAAGAAACAATATAAATAGAAAACTAACAAATTAATTATCAAGCAACTAACTAATATTAAGAAAATATAATGAACCGATATTCTAATTTTAAATAGTTTAATTTTCAATATTGTTAGGTAAAAAATTATTAAATAAAGATTTCATCAATTGAAATCTCTTGAATGGAATAATAAAGTTTTGTTGAATTAATTAATCAGTTGATCATATTTAGACATATATAAGTCTTTCTATATTGGATAAAAATAAAAATAAAACAAATTAATTCATTTTTCATATCATGAATTCAAAAAAATATCAATTACAATAAAAACGTAAAAAGGTTACCGATCTTATTTTATTTAAATATTTTTATCGGGTTTTTAATATGATCAAATTTGGTTTAATACTTTTCCATGATTTTATTACAAAATCTTAAAATAAACCCGCGTATACTCGGGTCTTAATCTAGTTGTTCATACATGAGGATATCAAGTTCTATTGTAGGCTTGTAGCACATATTTCCCTTGCAAAAAATACTGCAAACCTCCTGAAATCCTGGTTCGAAGCCCGGCAGCGAGATATTTTTTTAGATTTTTCGTTGGGCCAATCTGAGTTTACAGTAGCAAATAAATTAAAGTTTATTTAACTCAATATCAACTAGATCCGTCGTAGCACACAGGCTAAATTCAACTTGATAATTCTTCGTCTCTAATTCTTCGTCTCACCCTTTGGATTACCGGGTTCGACTCCCGGCAGCGGAATTTATTTTCAGTTTTTTATTTTTCTACAAACAATAATTTGTGGGCTTTATACAACACCACTCGGCCCAAATTATTTGTAAGATAAATTAAAGGATTATTTGTAAAGTCTTGAGTGGCTCAATTGACTTGCATTAGTGGATAAATATTAGTTACATATACCACAATCAACAAGTTCCGCTGTAGCACATAGGCTAATTCCCTTGAAAAGTTTCAAACTCTTGAAATCTGGGTTCGAAGCTCGGCAGCGGATTACCTTCTTTTATATTTTTTTGTTTTTTTCTCTCCTAATTTGTTCTTTGTGATTTTATATCGATTTTTTGTTTTGTCTTTCTCTCCTACTGCTTAGGAGAGTTTATATTGTGAAATTTTGTTTTGTTTAGGGTCTACTTAGGTGAATTTTTGAATGATTTTAGAGTCTTGGCTTAGTAGAACTTATCTAATTTTTAGATTTGAGGAGCGGTAACATGGTTTTGCACTTTACAACAACGATGGCAAGGTTCAAATAAATTTTAATTTAGTGTTGGTTATGACAACTTATGATGTTGAATTATAGCTTCATATGTTCATGAAAACCAACCAAGTTTAGCCACGTGTGCAGCCATGCCATGGACGTCGAGGTTCCATGTTTTTATTTAGACTCGATGCTTATATGAATTACCAAGCTTTTGGCAAAGTGTTTGACTCTGCTCCACGAGTCAAAGGTTTGTAATATGTATGACCAAGGTTTGTAATCGAGTGGTTTGTGTCACTAATCACTATGATGCGTCACTATCAGGATTCAAATTCAGCATAATGCATATCAGCATATGTTTGTTGATAAAAAGGAATAAATGCAGCATAGACGTTTAATATATGTTTGTCGAATGACTTAAGTGACAAGTCTTATAGATAGGTCCGATATAATGTAACCTACTTTTTGAGAAAAAAAAAACTTATAAACATTAATTTTAAAAAAAAAATTAAGTTTGGTTCATCTTTGATTTTACTTTGGACCAAACATGATTTACAATGAACTTAAAATTCACCCAGTCAACGGCACATATAACGTATTGGTAATCAACTATGAAATTAAACACATGCAGCAGCAAGTTTTTTAGTACAAAATGAGCTGAAGGCTCAAGTTTTGGACAACCAAAACAGTAAAAATTGCTGGATTTTTTCGAGTGAGTATAATAGAGAGAGAGAGGCTTACATTTTTTCACTAAGAAAAATGGAGAGAAATTATTAAGAAAGTAATAGGGTTTATTAGGGTTTAATCCATTATAGCTAAACATTTGATTTGGTCTAATATACACTAATACAATTTGATTATAAATAACTTTTATAAAGTTCCTAAACCTAATAACACTTTTCAAAGTACCTAATAATACTTGATAAAAATACCTAAAACAGTGAAAATTTTAAGCAACATGGTCTTTAAAATAATAAACTCTTCTAAATATATCTAAACCTACCTGAACCTTTTTAAACTACCTAAACCAAATAACGGGTAGATCTCAAAAACAAGTGGTCAAAAATATTGTGGACTCGATTTGATCTGTGTTGGAAATGTTTGGTATTCGAGGCTTTTAATTAGATCCCAAAGCTTGACCACTAAATTCTGTAAATATATCTTATTTTTTCTTTTTCTTAAAGGAATGTTCCACTCATATAATATTCGTATACATTAGGCGCATATTCTCTTAACACAATAATCAAAATGCTCACCTTGTAGTAGTAATATGCTATATTTATTAATCTTATGGACAGTATAACGTTTAGCAACTGCTTTGTCTTAACTGCTTTACTAGGCCTGGGCGTTCGGGTTTCGGTTCGGGTTCGGGTCGGTTCTATTCGGGTTGCTAAATTTTAGACCCGTTCGGGTTTAGGAAAATTTCGGTTCGGTTTCGGTTCGGTTCCTGTCGGGTTCGGGTCGGTTCGGGGCTAAATTTTATGGACCCGTTCGGGTTTATACAAATTTTGGTTCTTATTGGGATCTCATTCGGTTCTGATTCGGGTCGGTTTTTATCGGTTTTTTTAACCGAATATCCAAAATCCTACAAAATAACCGATAAAATCTTGTTATAATCCATCTTCTACTAAATATTTTTGGACTTTTCGAATATTTTGTTATTTTGTTCTAAATATAACTATTATATTAGATTTATAATTGTAATTTTAGTTATTTTTAGTATTATAAGCTATTATAAGTCTAAAAAATAACTAATATTTTGGATATATAATTATATTTTGGATATTTCGGGTACCCATTCGGTTCTCGGTTCGGTTCGGATTCGGGTTCGGTTTTTCGGGTATAAATTTTTTGGACCCATCGGGTATTTGTCTTGGTTCCGGTTCGGTTCGGTTCCATCTTTTTCGGGTCGGGTTCGGTTCGGGTCTTTCGGGTCCGGGTAAAATGCCCAGGCCTATGCTTTACAGTGCCTCAAACGTTAAACGACATTATAATGTTTGACAACGACAGATTAAAACTGTCCAGAAAAGAGTTTCGTACCGTACGTTGAATCTAGATATTAATTACTCCCTACGGAATCAAAACTTTGGGTTCTTAAGTAACGTAAGCATTAATTTTAATTTTGGGAAATTTATTCGTATACATTGACTCGAATTTTCTTCATAGTCATTTCTCCCACTAATAGCATTTCAATTTCTTTTGTGTTCCTTTAGTTAGGTTTCCTAATTTTGCTATTAGATTATCTGACATCTTTTTTTTTGAATGGTCTATAAATATATCATACCTGGTCAGTGGTCATGAGTGTTCATAAATAAACTCTTTCACTACTTGAAATCGAAAACAGAGAGGAAGAGAAATAAAATGAAATTCGGAAAAGAATTTTCTTCACAAATGGTGCCAGAGTGGCAACAAGCTTACGTGGACTACAAGTACCTCAAAACCCTTATCAAAGATATCAGCCGCTTCAAACGCAAAACCGATCCTCACCGCGATGGGATGACCACGACCCTGCACCGCACATTCAGCGGTCAAAGGAGACACGGCCATGGTGGCGGTTGCGGTCAAAGCAGCCCTTCTTCAACGGTGGTTGACATTGAGGAAGGAACAACGGCGTCACCGATTCAGGTGAGTACTACGGCGACTCACTTGTACGAGACAACGTTTTTTATGACAGAGGAGAAAGGAGGAGAGTATGAGTTGGTGTTTTTCCGCCGACTCGATGATGAGTTTAACAAAGTGGAGAAATTCTATAGAGAGAAAGTGGAAGAAGTGGTGAAAGAAGCGGTGGTGCTTAACAAACAGATGGATGCTTTAATCACGTTTCGGTTGAAGATGGAAGAGGGGCGTGCGGAGGAGATGGTTCGCTTGCCCACCCATGTCGCTGTTTCTCCGGCCGAGGTCGCTAAAGATACATCAAGTAAGTAATACTTATTCAATTTATTAAGACCATGAATGGATGCAGATTTTTATTTTATTCATTTGGTTTTCATTTTTTAGTTTTAGTTTTTGTCATAGGATTTATCTTTTTCAAAAAACTAAATAAAATAGTTTTAAATTGCTTTTCTATTCAATTCCCATCTTGCTTTTATCTCGCTCCAAAATTTAATATGAAAAATATAATCATGTAATGTTTTGCACTCGCTCTAGTTTGAATTATATTCAGTTGTGCCCTATGTCAATATAGACTCAATACTTGTTTGGTTGCAGTGAAAGTTCAAGCTCAAGCTCACATAAAGGTCGTAGAGGAAGGAGGCTCTAGTAGAGCTGGTCGATCCGACGAAGATGACAATTCCGCAGAAGAAGAAGAAGATAATGCTATAAAAACGAGTAACTTGAGCAAGATGAAAGCTACGAGCCTAATTACTCCTATCGAGGTTCTAAATCTTGTCAAGATCTACAACACTAAAGAAACGCCTAGGTCCATCATCAAAAGCGTTCTCAAAGTCTCGAACCATACGGAGCTCAAATTCAGTAGAGATAACCTTAGGAAAATCGAGGAGAAGCTAAGCTGTGCCTTCGTTGAGTTCCATCGGAAGCTTTGGTTCCTCAAGAGCTATAGGTGCGTTTTTTTATTTTTATTTTTGGGTGAGTTTGAGTTTTAAAATTAATGGATTTGAGATTTAAATTAATAATATATGCAGCTTTTTGAACGTGTTGGCGCTTTCGAAGATATTGAAAAAGTATGATAAGGTGAGTTTAGTTAGAGAAGACTTTTTATTTTTAGAGTTTGTGTAAATATATATTTTGTTAATGTGTTCGACAAACTACTTCCAGATCAGTTTGAGGGATGCTACTGAGTCTTACATGACAATGGTTGATAACTCTTGCCTTGGAAGCTCTAGTGAGGTAAGCTTAGTTAGTTTTAATATATGTTGATAATAATTTTCTTGAAAAATGTGTTGAATGTATAATCGATCGATGAATTTGCTTCAACACATACGAACAGTGTTTTGTGTTTCAGTCAAAAGTTAGTTTTTTTTTTCTCTCTACAGAAAACATGGTAAGCATTTCTTGGGGGGAGGGGGGGGTCAGAACATGGTAAACATAGAGAAAGAAATGGTTATATATTTATAACATACGATTTGATTTGACATCAAAATTTATCTATCTTCTAACATTGATTTTATGTTGGTCCTCTTTTGTCATAGGTTACGAGACTCCTGGATCATGTTAGAACCACATTCATAAAGCATTTTACGAATGGTAACAGAACAAAAGGAATGAACATCTTGCGACCAAAAGCTAAACGAGAGAGACACCGACTTACGTTTTCCACAGGTAGAAACGTAATACTTATACTCTCGATCTTCTGACTTTGTTTGTGAATTTCTTCTCTGTGCTTATGAGAAGTTATGTTTCAGCTGGCTTCTTGAGTGGATGCATGTTATCTCTCATAGTGGCTCTTGTCGCTATCAAACGCACCCGAAACATATTACAAGACGATGGCCAGAGACAGTACATGAACACTATGTTCCCTCTTTATAGGTAAGACATGCTTCAGTCATTTGTTTGCATTTACATTCAATATAAGGGAATGCGTTTTTTAATTGAATCCACCAACCTTAAGAGCATCCGCATTGCAGAACAGCTTATGGAGCTCTTTAAATTTTTTTAATACTAAATATATTAATTAATTAATTGTAGAGCTTGTGTTGAAAGTTTAGGAGCTTTATCTCCACATTGCAGAACTGAAAAAGGGTTCTAAAAGTTTGATTTTTTTTTCATACTGTTATTGAAACACAATTACATAGAGTTTATACCGTTTGTTTGTCTCTTTAAATGCTTACTGTTACATCTTCAAAAATCAGAGTATTATGAGTAAAATGAGTAACAAGAGAGAACTGTGAAGCAATGTGTATAACAACTTTCAATTAGCTCTTATAACGTTGCAGAAGTGAGACTCCATAGGCATCGCATAGCATCGATATATTGTTCATAGAGTGAAAACAGAAAATTAAGCAAATGCAAAGACTTTTCCATTTGCTATTGCTCTCTCTAAGAATTACTATGCCAAGAACAAAAGTGACAGGACAAAGATCAACGATGAGTAACATAATGATGTGAACAACTAAAGATTGCAAAACATTCCAGCAACATATAATATGAAGACGGAGAGATAATCAAATTGAGCTGCACAAGATCAACATTTTCAACACAAGAAACCTATTGATTTACCTTTGGAGTAGAGTCATTGATATCTCAAGAAGGTGTTTTATAGCCTAGTGCCTTCTCTAGAGAGCCACGAACATCAAACTGGTTTTGTAATCTTTCTCAAGCTCTTGAATCTACAATGTAACCAAAGATAATGAAGAAACCAATCATGAGAGTGTGAAACAAATCATACTTGGAGTAGAGAGAGAGCTACACAGAAGTTTAAACACAAACCTCTTGCTTCAGAGAGCTCTGGACTTTAACATCAGGCGATAGATTCTTCTTCGTTTCAACAGATTTCTCGCAGCAACGAGGTAAGTCCTGTGAAGAAACAGTTAAAGGAAAGTAAGAATCAGCTGTTTTTCTAAAGTTTTGAAAATCATAAATCATAAGGAAGTTGTTGTGTTTCACTCACGAGCTTGAAGCGTTGAGAAGCATTAAGAGAAGGATCAGTGCTACTATCCTCTTCAAGCTTTTTCTTTTCAGGAATGTCCCAGCTAAAACAAGTGATCAAGATGCTAAGAATCAATCAAAAACAGTTGAAAGTTGAAACCCAGAAAAGATAAAGCACAGATTTTGAGTAAAACTAGAACATAAACCAAACATTGTATCAGATGTACATAAAGCTTCAATCTTTTAGTCCTAAAACCTAAATTCGACAATAAAAGACCCAAACTTTGACACATCTAGCATCGAAATTACTTTAATTTTATCTACCCAAGTTCTCGAATTTGAGAACGACCCAAATTTTTTGAAACAGAGCTAAAGAAGAAAGTGGTAAAATTGACTAACCTGTTCAAACGATTGTGTCTCTGTTTCTACATTTTCTTGTCTTCAAATCCCAGTTTTGAAACCAAGTTAAGAAAATCGTTGATCAATTGAAGCAAGGAGGTTTTAAAATCAGGAAAATGCAAGAAATTGGAGCTTAGAAGAAGAACTCTCGGCGGTGGCGAAGAAGAAGAAGAGAAACGTTGTGCGAAGGAGAAAGGAGACCAATGAGAAGGTGAAGAACAAGAACGACGTCGAAGAATCAAGAGAAAAAATAACCGGGATCGAAGAAGTAGGAATTCGAGGAGCCGCTCAGATCGGAGAGAAGACGGAGCGATCTCTCCGAGGAAAACTCATTTTCTTCAACGAACAAGAAAAAAAAAACATAACGAGAAAAAAAATATGGCGGGGCTCTCTTGTATCGACGCGTGTCAAGTAGAGCCGACTCTACAAGCTCCTCCACCAGAGATGGCTCTCAAAAAATTTCATGCCATGTGTATAAATTTTTCATTTTTTCTTTATTTTTTTTTCCCAGAACCGATGTAAAGTTGTGCAATGCGGATGCTCTTAGAAAGGTTAAGAAAAACAATATTTGCTATCTTCACATTTTGCTATCTGCGTTAGCGTTTATGTTTGCATTTTTCAAAAATATTTGTGATAAAGTAAAATAAATTATTTGTATAATTGGAAAAGTTAAATTTTCATGTAAAATTCAAGCATGCACATAGGATCTATGCATTTCTATGATTATATTGGGGTAGTATTTTTTTTTTATAGACATTTGTGTTCTTTTTATTTTTTGGTTGCTGCAGTTTGTTCGGATTCATTGTGTTGCACATGACTATGTATGCTGCTAATATTTATTTTTGGAGGCGATTCCGAGTAAATTACTCCTTCATATTTGGATTCAAACAAGGAACTGAGCTTGGCTACAAACAAGTTCTATTTGTGGGATTCAGCATTGGCGCGCTTGCTCTTCTTTGTGTTCTTGCCAATCTTGACATGGAAACAGACCCCAAAACCAAAGACTACCAAGCACTAACCGAACTTCTTCCTCTTTTCCTCCTTACTGTAAGTCCAGAAATCCAAGATCAGCTTTTAAAATCCAATTTTTTTTTAGATATTCGACGATCATGGATCATAACTTTGTGATGATTCAGGCTATGTTTATAGTTCTAATCCTACCATTCAACATCTTCTACCGATCGAGTCGCTTCTTCTTCCTTAACTGCATGTTTCGCATTTTTGCTGCTCCTCTTTATAAGGTAAAATATATATAATTTCAGCAGCTCATCAGTGTAAATGTGAATGTATTAATTCTTTTGACAAACATATTACTATATATATTTTTCTTCATGCAGGTGACACTACCCGATTTCTTCTTGGCAGATCAATTATGCAGCCAAGCGCAATCTCTTCGGAGCATAGAGTTCTACATTTGCTATTATGGTTGGGGAGACTTCAAACAAAGACAAAACACTTGTAAGGAGTCACAAGTCTTCAACACTTTCTTATTCATTGTTGCTGCCTTCCCATTCGTTTCTCGCTTCCTTCAGGTACAAAAATAAACAAATAAAAAGCTTTTACCTACCTTCTCAATATATATATATATATATATATATATATATATATATATTTTGACATTTTCATATTCTTGCATGCAGTGTATGAGGCGAGTGTTGGAAGAGAGAAACATAGAACAAGGGTATAATGGTTTTAAGTACTGTCTTATAGTAGTTGCTGTTTGCTTAGGGATGGCTTATGAAGTCGATCGTCAAAAAGATCGTCAGATTATTTGGAGACTGTTAGGTGGTATTGCCTCAGCTATGGCTGTGGTTTTTTGTACATATTGGGACTTAGTCTATGATTGGGGACTTCTTAACCGAACCTCCAAGAATCCATGGCTACGCGATGAACTCCTCGTACCATACAAGGAAGTTTACTTCATTGCCATGGTGAGCGTTTAACCATTATTCAAGACCACATCATTAATTCCTAGGCATTAATTAAACGTATATATCAAAATTTAAAGAGAAAACACTGATTCTTGAAGTAAACGCAGATCTTGAACGTGGTGCTGAGATTTGCGTGGATGCAGACGGTGCTAGATTTCAAATTCGGGTCAATGCACACACAGACGGTGATTGCCATCGTTGCAAGTCTTGAGATCATTCGTCGTGGCATATGGAATTTCTTCAGGTTAGTGACTACATGAAATTAATTTACTCATGTTATTTTCAGTCACGTTAAATAAACTTATCTAGGTTTTGTTTTGGTTCGGAAAATATTAAACAGATTAGAGAACGAACATTTAAACAATGTCGGGAAGTACAGAGCTTTCAAGACGGTTTCATTACCATTCGACTACGACGAGGACCTATAAATGATTGATTGTTGGAGACATCGTAGCCATCTTTATTTGGCCTTATAGTAGTAATTTAATAGGCTTTAATTAGCTGATTTGTATATATGAGACAGGACACTAGTCAAATTACGTACAAATCCACATAAGGGACAAGTCTCACGAATTAGTCAACAAAATTCAACTGCGGTATTCGTGTAGACATTTTAAATTTCTTGCATAATCATACTTTCCATGTAAAGTATCGATCGAGTCGTAAAGTGTATGACTGACTATACTGTGTGTGTGTACAGAATAAACCTTTTTTTTTGTGGTCCTCGTGAACTAAAATAGCTTTTCTCAATCTTTAGTGTATTAGTTGGAAAAAAACGACCTAATGTCCACAAAGAAAGAGGATATGTACATTCACAAAAGGTGGATAAAAGCTTTTAAAGGGTTTGATAAAATAAGCACTCTTTAGAAAAAGAGTCAGTCACATCAATTCAGGTGAACACGATAACCAAAGGGAAAGCTAATAAAATAAAACTAAATATGAAAAACGTACAAAATGATAAGCATCCAAAAGAAACATAAAGTAAGAAACACACCCAAAAATGAGACTTGTAAAGCGAGATTCTCACGCGCCAATTAACAACTAACAACGTATATATTAACTTTAACATGATAAAAGTGTTATTCAATTTATTATTTTATTCGTTTTCGTTAAAAGTGTTATTTCCATATTGACAAAAGAAAGTGGTCATAGATTATAGGGTGCATGAGAAACATGTTATTCAAAATAATTGTTATCGTTTTTTTTGTTAAAGTAATAATTGTTATCGTTAGATTCTTGATTACAATGAAAGTTAAGTAAGATATATGTACATAAGTATTCAAAATAAATTTATATGTACACAATTTTTAACATCTAAACATCATATTGATTTAATTTCACGTGAAAAGATAAATTTTTTTTGTTGAAACGACCCTTTCGTTTGAAAGCCAAATAATCAATCAAATGCTATGACTCACAATGGGGATGAAATTCCTAAAATTTCAACTTGCGTTCATTAAGTCGTTCACTAAAGATTGTTTTCAAAACAATCGTCAGTGGATTGGTCGATAACAAATAGATCATTCTGAGAGATGAGATATACTCCATAAAAATAAATATATGTCTGAGTTTATACTTAAAACTTGTACTTTCCACAAATATATATAAAAAAAAAAAACTTTTGAATTTAACGAAGTGGATAGTTTCTCGTCAGGTTAAATTTTTTTTATGGTTAAAGCATGTGCCCTTTTGTTCGTTTGGTAGAAGAACAAAAGAAACGTGTTATATTGACAGATGCCTATTCAAGTCAAATAGATAGGACTCGACCTCTATATATCACAAGAATGTATGAAGGTGGTCAAACCAAGACCAGTGATTTATATGAAAATTAATTAATTTACCGTCAAGATCGAAGATTGAGATCTTCATCAAAAGATTTTGTCGAAGTACATACTTTAAACTATAACATGATATATACAAGTAGTTTCTTGACTTGAGAAAAGCAAGTGGGAACCGTATAATCTTTATTATCTATGTAAGATTTAATTAACTAATGATTTAATTACATGGTACTATAGTATAGGTAAGACAAAAATTAATCTAAGGCGATAGAATCGGTGTATGAAAAAGAGCCCAAATGCAGACGATGTACTTGATGGTAAATAGTTAATTGTACTTGATGGTAAATAGTCAATGATTGTTCAGTACTTTGGAGATGCTGTCAAAAAACAAAAATTGTAGATTTATGGGGGATGTACTGAAAGGGATTTAGAATGATTTAGGGTGATTTGATTTTTAGAGAGTTTTTAGATGATTTTGTGTGAATTATATAATTTCATTTTAGTTAAATCATTCTAAAATCATATCTAAAATCATGTGATTTGAAATCTCTTATTTTTAATAAGGAAATCTCACCAAATCACTCTAAAATTAAATCTGTTATTTAAAATTTATTTTTAAAAATATTTCTAATAAGAGTGGCTTTGAAGCAAGAACACTAGGAATTAGACAAGAAGATAATAACACTAGATTTTAGAAGGGTTCTAAGAATTCAAGTTTGAATATTAGTGGATTTGTCATTTTAATACAAATCACCCTAAATCACTCCAAATCTCAGTTTCAGTGCACCCCCTTAATTTGATAAAAAAATATTAAATTATATTTCTTCTGTTTCTTTTTAATGAATTTTTTGAGATTTTTACACAGTTACTCTTTCTGTTTCTAAAAGATGAATTTTCTAACAATTTTTGATGTTTCACAAAGATAAAATTTCTAATTTTTTTGATACAATTTTTCAGATTTCAAGAAATATTTGTTAGATTTGTTAGATTTTTATTGGTTTAAAAATTATAGAAAATTGATTTATTGGAAAAATCTACTGATTGTAAATCAATTTTTTCTTAATCAATTTATCTTTAATGGACGAAAGGAGTACTTTTTAACCATAGATATCTAGATTTTTACAATTAAAAAGTTTACAATAAATTTAAACCAATAAGAATTTAAATTGTATAATAAATATTTCTTGAAAAATGAAAAAGTGTATCAAAAAATTAAAACATTTATCTTTATGAAATAACAAAAATTGGCTAGAAAATTCATTAAAAAGATACGGAAGGAGTATTAGAATTTTTATAAAAGAAAACATTTGAAATAACCTTGGACGGAAGTTTTTCTTTTGCCCGCCTCATGTAGTGGCAGTGCTATGCACCTCATCTCTTTATTCTCGTAGATATCTTTCTTGGTCGATCATCATAACTTACATAGAGAAATAAAACAATCTTATGCAAATTAACAACAAAATTTTATATAATAAACAAGGTTGGTGTACACTATTCTATAATAAAAGAAGTTGGTTGAAAAAAATTAAGAATAAAAAGGCATTATAAAAAAGGCTACACACTTATATTTCTTTTGTATTTTTTATTTATATAGTTTGGATTGGTATCTTAATTTTTTTAATAAACAGCTGTGCTTGTGCTATTCGTTTCTAATTATAAATGTCAGTAGGGCAGTCCACACGCGCTTTGGTTTGCCCTTTCTAAACAACACATCGGAAAATGGGTCTCAAATTTTCAACAAGACTCAATTTAAATAATCAAAATTGACACACATGGAGTCCTTGCTTTGTAATTTTCTCCGACTAGTCACTGTTTAGTCTGTTTTATTACATCCCTATAAGTTCTCATGTCTTCTTCACTCTTCAGACACAAACCAAAAAAGCAGCAGTGAACATCAAGATTAGATTTCAGACAAGGAAAAAATGAAGTTCGGGAAAGAGTTCTCGTCGCAGATGGTACCTGAATGGCATGAAGCTTACATGGATTATGACTATCTCAAATCCCTTCTTAAAGATATCATCAAACACAATCGCAAAACCAATCCTCACGGTCACGATCATCATCACGGCGAAGGCTTGCACCGGAAATTGACTCTCTACCGGACATTCAGCGGTTTGCTCTCAACGCCCAGACGAAAGAGACATCATCACGGGCACGGACACGGCAATGGTCAGATCGGTCATTTTTCAGATTCCGATGACGATATCGAGGAAGGATTGAAGTCGGCGACTGCGCCGATTCTGGTGAATTCGGTGAGTCACGGGTACGAGACGACGTTTCTGATGGCGACTGAGGAAGGTGGAGAGTACGAGACGGTGTTTTTCCGGCGATTAGACGACGAATTCAACAAAGTTGAAAAATTTTATAAGGGGAAAGTCGATGAAGTGATGAAAGAAGCAGCGATGCTTAATAAGCAAATGGATGCTCTGATCGCGTTTCGTGTGAAAGTGGAGCATCCTGACGGCTGGCCATGGGAGGAACGCACGGTGGAGATGACTCGATTAGCTTCGGATGTCGCCGATTCCGCCGCCGCCGTCGCTGCTTCCACTCCCGCCGGAGCTAGATCCAGTAAGTAACCCAACCTAACTCAGTGTGAGCCTTTCCGGTTTAATTTAATGATCTACTCCGGTTTTATCAAATGATTTGTAATCTCTTCGGTTTGATTAATTACTAATTGCGGTTTTATCGAACCGTGATTGTACCGAGTCGCGAAACTGGAATTTGAAATTTAAATTACGGTTGGGTTTGCAGTGAAGGTTGGAGCTCAAGCTCACATGGAGGCGATACAGGAAGGAGGATCGAGCAAAGCTGGTAAATCCGACGAAGATGATGATAACGACGATGAAGATGTGGAGAAAGAAGGAGATAACGTCGTTTCCGACGAAGCGGCCGGTGACGTAAGCAGATTAAAAGCGAAGAGACCATCTCCGATCGAGGTTTTGGATCGTGTGAAGATCAACCATACGAAGGAAACGCCTCGGTCCACCATTAAAGGCGTTCTCTCGAAGTCGACGGAGCTTAAGTTTAGCAGAGATAACCTTAGGAAAATCGAGGAGAAGCTCAAACGCGCCTTCGTCGAGTTTTACCAGAAGCTTCGGCTACTCAAGAGCTACAGGTGCGTACTCGTAAATCTTTCGAATTCTGGGATTTTGTGAATGATGGATTCGTGATTCGATTGAAACATATGCAGCTTTCTGAATGTGTTGGCGTTTTCGAAGATTATGAAGAAGTATGATAAGGTGAGATTTGCTTAGAGATGAGCTTTTGAAGTTTTTTTTTTTTTTTTGGGGGTTCGCATGACTAAAAGGTGTTCGACGAAATGACTCTGAACAGATAACTTCAAGGCATGCGACAAAGTCTTACATGAAAATGGTTGATAACTCTTACCTTGGAAGCTCTGATGAGGTATGATATTTTTTCCGATTGAATTGGTTGATGATTTTTGTGTTTTCTTCTCAAATTGATCTTGTATTTGCTTCTCTTTCGTTGTCACAAGGTTATGAGACTCGTGGAGCGTGTCGAAGCTACGTTCATAAAGCATTTCGCGAATGCTAACAGATCAAAAGGAATGAACATCTTGAGACCCAAAGCTCAAAGAGAGAGACATCGAATTACATTCTCCACAGGTGTGACTTCATTTCTACATTTTTCCCACTCCTTCAAATCTTTTGCCTTTTCAGGTTTTGAATTCGGAATCCGGTTTCAGGTTTTATGGGTGGATGCGTGTTTTCTCTAGTAGTGGCTCTATTCGCCATCATACGCACCCGAAACATTTTGCAGGAGGAAGGCCAACACCAGTACATGAACACTATGTTCCCTCTTTACAGGTAAACCTAAATTTACCTCTCTTCATCCTTATATACAAGGCAAAGCATTAAAGGTGGGAACTTTTGTTGTCTTTTGTTGTTCTTGTAGCTTATTTGGGTTCGTGGTGCTGCACATACTCATGTATGCTGGGAATATTTACTATTGGAGGCGGTATCGAGTGAATTACTCTTTCATATTTGGTTTCAAACAAGGAAGTGAACTTGGCTATAGACAAGTCCTACTTGTGGGATTCAGCATTGGAGTCCTTGCGCTTCTTTGTGTTATTGCTAATCTTGACATGGAGGTTGACCCCGAAACGAAAAATTACGAAGCATTTACCGAACTTCTTCCTCTTATCCTGCTCATTGTAAGTCCTTAAAACCCAAAAAACCCAGCTCTTTTGAATGCGGAAACACAGCTATGTGACAAACAATAACGGCATAAGTTTGTGATGTAGGGTATGTTTATAGCTCTAGTCTTGCCATTCAACATCTTCTACCGCTCGAGTCGCATCTTCTTCCTCACATGCCTCTTTCACTGCTTTGCTGCTCCTCTTTACAAGGTACAAGTTACAACAGAAATCCCAAGGGCTCATTGATGATTACAGAGTATTTCAACATGTCTTTAAATCTTTATTTATGGCCTTTTTTTCTGTAGGTAACGTTACCAGATTTCTTGGTGGGTGATCAGCTAACAAGTCAGGTGCAAGCTCTTCGAAGTGTCCAGTTTTACATATGTTACTACGGTTGGGGAGACTTCAAACAAAGGAAAAACACTTGCGGTGAATCACATGCCTACAATGCTTTCTTTTTCATCGTTGCTGTCATCCCATACTTCTCTCGTTTACTTCAGGTACAAAAGAGTTCTCTTCATACAACATCCAACTTTCAATACTCTCAGTCATTCATATATTAAGTTGTTGCTAAGAACTCTGATATTTGTTTGTGCAGTGCTTGAGGAGGCTGTTTGAAGAGAAAAACGCAGAGCAAGGATACAATGGCCTCAAGTACTTCTTGACTATAGTGGCTGTTTGCTTGAGGACCATGTACAGTGTCCAAGAGGAGAATCAATTTATCTGGAGGATTTTAGCTGGCATCTTCTCAGCTATTGCTGCCATTTTCTGTACTTACTGGGACTTAGTCTTGGACTGGGGTCTCCTAAACAGGACATCTAAGAACCGCTGGCTCCGGGATAAACTCCTTGTGCCCCAGAAGAAAGTGTACTTCATCGCAATGGTGAGCAGAAGTTATATAGAATAAGCTCACTAATTTAAATCTCAGAGCAAAACTGATCTTAACAAATGTGCAGATCTTGAACATCTTGCTCCGATTCGCGTGGCTGCAGACCGTTCTGGATTTCAACTTTTCATTTATGCACAGACAGACGATGGTTGCTGTTGTAGCCAGTCTTGAGATTATCCGCCGTGGGATATGGAATTTCTTCAGGTAACAATAACACATATTACAGTCACACAACATATATAATATAACTTTCTTGGGTTGGTTTTTGACTTTTGATTCATTCAAACAGGTTGGAGAACGAGCATTTGAACAATGTGGGCAAGTACAGAGCATTTAAGACGGTTCCATTACCGTTTAACTACGACGAGGATGACGATAAAGACAACTAGTTGTTCGATCTAAAGACAGATTCCTCCACATCGAGTAGGAGGAAGATGAAGCCTGGATCAGACAAAGGAGATTGTACACTTCAGAGCTTTGTAAGAGTTCATTTCAACATTGTTGTTAACTCTACGAGTTACCATCTAATTGCTAGTTTAACTAAGAGTAATTAGGGTCACTGGTTTGGTGGAGATTAACTATTTGTAGAGAGACTCCATTAAGCAATGTTGTACTCTGAAATTTCTCGTTACACATAGCCAAAAAGGGTTAGCCCCAAATAAATCATAGTTTCATTCATGAGCATGTCATCAAGAAAGCAAAGGAGCTTTAAACCATATTCGTTTAACGCTAACAAAGGTTGATAATCAGAAACATTCAAAGTTGGAATTGCAACATTCAAATAACATAAATTTCAACAAATAAGTTGTGATCACTTTTCAATTTTCCTCAGTTTCTTCTGCTTCCTTCTTCTTCTTCGCCACAGCCATAGCCTCCTCGGCGATTTCCAACTCCTCTAACGCCGTCTTATAGGCCTGCGTTAACGCCTTTTTCTGAGCGACAAGATACGGTCCATAGTAATCGCTGTTGGTAAACATGCATGTCATAAGCTTCATACTTGCATCTCGACATTTGTTGACGTCATCTTCATCGTCCACACAGTTATCAACTTCTATGAATATATCCTTGCACTCGCCTTCTTTTATAAACCGACGAAGCGAACACTCTTCACAGTCTTCCTCCGCCTCCTTATTGGTTTGATTTAGATTATTTTCAGTGCTTACCGTTTTGGATATGTTTGGATCTTGCGAAGTGGCTGATGAATCTCCTCCTTGGTGAGTCGAAGGATCGTTACCGGTTTTAGCTTTGGTCTCGGAAGTCACAGCTTTTGGATTGGTAGAAGACATTGTGGTATGATTCTGACTGGTTGCAAAGCAAGAACACAAGCTGGAGGTTTTAAAATCTCTCTCTAAAACCCTTAATTGGTTATTCATAAATGTATATTTCCGCTTTAAAAGGAAATTTTACTAAACGAGAATGGGATAGTTGTAATTTTGGAAACCAATCTTTCTTTATATGGCATTTTAAGATACTAGGTAGAATAACAATTTAATGGTGTAAAATTGAGTGGATTGTCAAGAACTCAAGATAAAAACGTTTTTTGTTAGATTATGATACTTTTTACACTTTTGGGACAAGAAGTATAGTTCAGCAACTTTGCTTATATTGCTTTTAGTAGCAACTTTTGTTTTTCGTTCGTTTTTTCTTATAGTTTTCTTATATTTTGCTTGGATTTTGTTTACATTTTGCTCAAAATTTTCTCTTTTGTCTATTTTGCGGAGATAGATCTCTGCAAACTCACAGAGGAATTTGATCGCCGGTGAAATAAAACCACCTAGTGAGAAACTGGAAACGTTGATCGATACAACCCGATAGTTTCTCTAGTTTCACTCCACACCTTTCCACTTGCAATATGCAAAGGAAATCTGCATGGACCAGCGAGGAGGATGTGGCTGGAAGGCTCTTTAGATTTGGAGCATCGCAGCACTGTCGTCAGGAACTGTTGAATCAGAATGAGGAAAGGATGAAGAGACCATATAATCGGATTCGTACCTGCAAACAAAACATATATATTTTAGTTTTAATTAGGTTAAGTTTTTTTTTGTTTTTTTTGGGTAAAATGTTAAGTTTTTAGGTTCAGTTATTAAGTCTCAGCTCATCATCTCTTTGGATTTCTCTCTCAGGCTTGTGGACAATTTGGCTAAGTAGCTTTAGGGATGAAGATCCTCGATCTTTACTCGTGAAAACAAAACAAAACTTTCTGTAATAAGAAAACGTTTACATTTTGCCAGCTCTAAGAAATAACGACACTAGAAGTAGATGTGTTCCACCATCAGCATCTAACGGGAAATTGTAATTTTTATTCTAGTTTTTTTTTTGTCATACATTTCGTTTAAAAATAATAATTTATTCATTAAAAAACTTTAAAAGTAGACATTAGATATGCAGAAAAAGTATTGAACATCAGGTAATTTTTATAGATCTTTATTACATTATATATGTTTGAAAAAAAAATATGCTAATCTTTGAAAAATAATTTGTGTTGATAAAAAGACGAATTATACATTTTTAACCTTAGAACTATACATATTATGGAGTGATTTATCTTCATTGTAAAACGCTGAGAAAGTATGCAACGATTTTCTTGAAAAAAATACTAGGTTTTTTATACATATATGTTATGGAGTGATTTGGTGTTGAATGATAGATCATTTTTCCTATTCTTGATCATTTTTTAATATTCTATATATGCCAGTAGCAAACTGTTAATATGTAAACGTCTATAGTTCAAAAAATATGACAATGGAAGAAGCATGAAGAAAAGGAAGATGGATATAACATGAATACAATTAAAAACAAAAGACTCACAGATTATAGAGACACCTCATCAAATCAAGATAATGTTAGTTTACCGAGAGTACTGAAAATTTGGAGAACCAAGTATAACACTTAGACCTACAAAAAGAAAGAAAAATTAAATAAGTAATGATGCAAGATGGACTTAGTTAGCTATATTGAAGGCATGTGTTACGATAAGAGATGAATCAACAATACCTTTTCTGCAAATTATATACTTCTTCGTTTCTTTCGTGCTTTGTTCTTCATCTTCGCTCCTCATCTTCTTATTATTCAGCTTATTTTTGTCTATTTCAGTTTTTCTTTCTGTTTTTCAATTTTTTTTTCTCATTCATCTGCTTCATCTTTAGAGGTAATTTAAACATTCTCCAAGAATTGAAAAAATTAGAAAAAGCTTGCTATGAGCTGAGATCGCAGGCGACGAAGAAGAAATCAAAGCTACTTCTTATCTAGCTACATAATAGTTAGGGTTTATAATGTTTAGCTGACTCTAACTAATTTAAATTGAAATTTTTATTTTATAGAAATTTACATTTTACTTTTTTTCCTTTTTTGTTAACGTGTTATGGTTTTTATTTTTAAAGATTGAAATTAAAGAGTTTGTATCAAATAAAAAACATATAGGGATATATAGGAAAATTTTCAATTATACATTTTCTATCAAATTATTAATAGAAACATATATATACTTTTATCTACATTACCTTTTATCTATTTATATTACAATTTTAAAATTTGGATAATTTCTTTATTTTGCATATGCTTATGTGGATCAATAAGATTGATTTTTTTAATCTTAAGTGGACGCCCTCAATGGCTTATAGCCTCAACTTTTAAAATTTGGAAAATTACCTAATCTTGTAGATGCTTATTTGGACCAATAAAATTATGTTTTTAAATCATATGATGATGTGGATTGATACTATTGGTTGTCTAAAATTGGAAAATTTCTTAATATTAGATGATGATATGGAATGATACAATTAGTTGTTAAAATTTGGAAGATTTCTTAATCTTAAAAGTGCCTATGTGAACCAATAAGATTGCGTCTTAAAATCCTATGTGGATACTCTTAGAAGCTTATAGCCTCAACTTTTATATAGTATAGATTTAGTTTAAATTGATCTAAGAGAGGATTCGAATCGAAAGAATCCAAGCTTACAAGAATATAAAATTGTTACATAAGGGTCAAAATATAGCATCACAAAAGTTTGCAACTTAAAGAGTAAGAAAGTACAAGTGAGAGGACACTTAATTGAATTACTGTTTTTCGATATTAATTCACTCAGTCGTGTAATCATGTCTGAATAAATTAAGTAATGAAGTCGGTGACTGTCTTCTCTTCGCCAAGAGCAATCTATGGATCAGAATCCTTACAGGAGGAAATCGTCTCCGATCAGAGCCACCACCGGTGGTTCACAGTCCGAACTACTTCCTATGAAGTTTCTCAGCTCCGGCACGATGAAGCTCACGAGGACCTTCACTACTTGCTTGATACTCTTCTCTGTGCTACTTGCATTCTCAATGATCTTCCATCACCACCCCTCTGATCCAAATCGGACAATGGGTTTCGCCGAGGCAAGAGTTCTCGATGGCAGAAACTTCTCCAATGTTACTACCATCGGTACTGATTCTTTGTTTTTTTCTTACTTCAAAGTTTTGAACTTTACTGATTTAGATCTTTACTGCATTTCCTTATATATGACTCTACTTCTTTGTTGATCTCCATTTGGGAACTTAGACATGCTTCCTCGATTGAAACTACCATAAAAAATCGAGTCTTTATTTGTTGATTTTGGTTCATTTTGCCAATTTTGGTATGAGTTGTTTAGGTGAAAAAGTGCCGTTTTAGTTTTGGTCTTTAGCTCAAAATGTTTATTTTGCTCTTTTAGCTGTTTTAGATTCTGTTTTCTTTTGCAGATTCAAATGATTCTGATAAGCTTCTCGGAGGACTACTCGCTACAGGGTTTGATGAACATTCTTGCCTCAGTAGGTACCAATCATCTCTATACCGTAAACCATCGCCTTACAAGCCATCTCCTTATCTCCTCTCCAAGCTTAGAAGCTACGAAACGCTTCACAAGCGATGCGGTCCAGGCACAGAACCTTACAAGAAAGCTCTAAACCAACTCGATCAAGAACACATTGATGATGATAGCAACGGTGAATGCAAATACGTTGTGTGGGTTTCTTTCAGCGGCTTAGGGAACAGGATTCTCTCTCTAGCCTCGGTTTTCCTCTATGCCCTTCTAACGGATAGAGTCTTGCTCGTCGACAGAGGCAAAGACATGGATGATCTCTTCTGCGAACCGTTCCCTGAAATGTCTTGGCTTCTGCCTTTAGATTTCACAATGACGGATCAGTTTGATAAGTTGAATCAAGAGTCACCACGTTGCTACGGATACATGCTCAAGAACCAGGTGGTGAATACCGAGAATACTCTTTCTCATCTTTATCTTCATCTTGTTCATGACTATGGAGATGAAGATAAGATGTTCTTCTGCCAAGAAGACCAAGATTTTATCAAGAAAGTCCCTTGGTTGATTGTGAAAACAGACAACTACTTTGTTCCTTCTCTGTGGCTCATCCCGGGCTTCGACGACGAGCTAAACAAGCTCTTCCCGGAGAAAGAAACCGTCTTTCATCACTTGGGGAGATATCTTTTCCACCCAAGAAACCAAGTATGGGGCTTGGTCACTAGATACTACGAAGCTTACTTGTCGAATGCTGATGAGAAGATTGGGATTCAAGTACGAGTGTTCGATGTAGGAGCAGGTCCGTTTCAGCATGTGATGGATCAGATCTCAGCTTGTACAAGAAAAGAGAAGCTTCTACCTGAAGTAGACACAACACTAGTAGAAGAAAGATCTCACAAAGTCAGAGGCTTTAAGCACAAAGCTGTGCTTGTCACGTCTTTGAGCTCAGGCTACTCGGAGAATCTGAAGAGTATGTATTGGGAGTATCCGACATCGACCGGTGAGATCATCGGTGTTCACCAGCCGAGCCAAGAAGGCTATCAGCAGACGGAGAAGAAGATGCATAACGGGAAAGCTCTTGCGGAAATGTATCTTTTGAGTATGACGGATAGTCTTGTGACGAGTGCTTGGTCTACGTTTGGATATGTAGCTCAAGGTCTTGGAGGTTTGAAGCCTTGGATACTCTATAAACCGGAGAACCGCACAGCTCCTGATCCTGCTTGTGTTCGAGCTATGTCGATGGAGCCTTGTTTCCACGCGCCTCCTTTCTATGACTGTAAAGCCAAAACCGGAATCGACACAGGAAAATTAGTTCCTCATGTGACACATTGTGAGGATATGAGTTGGGGACTTAAGGTAGTATGAAGATTTTACTCTGTTTTTGATCATTTGATGTAACAAGTAACAACACAGCTCCCTCTTCTTGAACTAGAGCTTTTATAAAAGTAAAGTTTTGTGCTTTTTGACATTTTCTCAAATTAGATAAAAACAAGGTTGGGTCTTTATTACCAAAGTTTCTTTCTTCCTGTACTCCTCAATAAATTTTACAAGATCAAAATTTCCAGTCCACCACGGTCACTCTCTAGACGAAACCCTAACAATCAGCCGAACAACGCTGCTTCAATTTCTTCTTCTAATCTCGCCCTTCTCTCTACCGCCGCCGGATTCGACCGGTGATGATGAATTTCGTTGCGACATTTCCACCAGTGAAAGCATCGAGCAGGAGAAACTAGGTCTTCCTCTACCCCTAAGAGCTAGCGAGTTTCCATACCAATCTGAATCCAGACGGCTGCGATGCAATGGATATTGGAATGTGGATTGGAATTGCTTTCGCTCACCATGTGCGTGAACTGATACTCAATACTGAATCTGTGGCTCAGAAATGGTCGTTCAAGTTGCCTAGAAGCTTGTTTAACTCCCAAACACTAGAGACCTTGGTCCTAACCGGTTGGGTTCTTGTAGAAGTTCCTTCTCAGGCTCGTCTCAAGTCTCTTAAGACTTTGCATCTGTACTCTGTGGAATACAAAGACGACGCAACGGTTGTTAACCTTTTATCTGGCTGCCCTAAACTTGAAGATTTGGTAGTGCAGCGAGGCCTAGGTCTAGTGGATGTGGAGATTTTCTCTATCGTGGTTCCGTCTCTACAGAGGCTAACGATTTATGATGACAATGATTGGCAAGGGTTTGGGGGATATGTGATAAAAGCTCCATCTTTGAAATACTTGGAGATTAGATGGATGCATGGTCTTCAGTTATGTCTGATTGAGGATGCACCTGAGCTGGTGGAGGCCAAAATTATCAATGTCTCTAACGTAGTGAGCGAGAATAATCTGGGATCTCTCACTTCAGCCAAACGTCTTTCGTTGGATTTGTCACCCTTGGAGGTAAAGCTTCTCTTTGTAGTGACTAGTGACTAGTGACCTGTTGTTATTACATTTTTTTGTTTATGTACTGATATTTTACCTCATTTATATATAAGTGCAGATTACATTTCCTACGGGTCTTATCTTCTGTAGGCTGGTATATTTGGAGCTACTTACATGTAGAGCTGAGTGGTGGAATCTTCTTGTGCCCATGCTCAATGCTTCTCCTAAATTACAAGTCCTCAAGCTCATCGGTGTAAGCATTTCAGGTTCTGCAAATCAGTTTTTAGATTTAATGATCTAGTAAAATGTACATTAATTGTGTTTCTCCCTCGTTGGTCTTCAGCAATCTTGGTCAGAGGCTGAAAAAGATGGTGTGGAATGGAGTCAAGCCAAGAATGTTCCTGAATGTTTGTTGCTTCATCTTGAGACATTTGTGTGGAAAGGCTGTGAACAATTACTAGAAGAGGAGAAAGAGGTGGCCAAGTACATCCTAAGAAACAGTAATCGTTTGAAGAAAGCGATTTTCTCCACAGAAGGCTATGAAGGTACCAACTTCGATCAAGAGATGGTGAAGGAATTGGAAAGTGTGGTTAGAGCTTCGAATTCATGCCAGCTTGTGTTCAAATGAAAATGGTGATCAAAATGTACGAGTCTTACAATATTTTATATCTTCACCCGGGTTTGTGAAATTTTATTTTGGTTTCAGATGTTGAGTTACACTTTACAAGTATTGCGCTGTGTGTATCAAATATGTTGTCAAGGTGTTACAATCTTTGGGTTTGTGATTTTTTTTTTGTCTAGCCGTAACTTGTTGCCATTTTGAAGAATAGAAAAAACTTATGTAGGTGACAACTAAGAATGGTAAAAACAGAGAGGCAATCAAAATTTCTGACCAACTGGACCCAAGATCTCTGATTTAGCTAAGAGTTTGAGGTGGTAACCATGCAGGTATCTTGATCATTAGCCTAATATGTTTTCTTTAGCACAACATTAATTTATGGACTGACAAACAATATTTCCATGTACTCGTCTAATATTTAAGTTAAATCACTTTGATTTTTGATTTTTGATTCTGGTGATCTTTGATTCTTCACACACTCTTAAAGGGAGAGATCAGATTTGATTTTCCACTTTCCTTTTTTATGAATCTTAGGGTTTCTGAATGGATCTGTACCCCTCCAGAAGGAGATCATCTCATCCCAAAGCCATTGGTAAACAGCCTGAAGAACAAATCGGAGTCCAAGAAAAGAGATACAGATTGTTCGGAGCAATGAGGATCACTGAGATCTTAGTTTATTTCATGGTTACCATCCCTGTTTTGCTTGTACTCGTTGTCATCTTCGGACAAGACTCGTCTGATCAAGGAAATGGCTTTGCAAACGCAGCCAGAATCATCCAAATAAAACCAGAACCGAATGTGACAACATCCTTAGATGTATCAACAACAATGCAGAGAGATCAGAAACAAAACGGTAAAAACAATGATGATAATATTGTTGTAGTTTGCTTTTGCCTTTTGGGATTATGTTTTAAATCTTTCTTTGAAATGTTTTCATCAGATTTGTCTCTGCTTGGAGGATTACTTGTGTCTGGTTTCAAGAAAGACTCTTGCTTGAGTAGATACCAATCTCACCTCTACCGTAAAGCTTCACCGCATAAACCTTCTTTGCATCTACTTTCAAAGCTTAGAGCTTACGAAGAGCTTCACAAGCGATGCGGACCAGGAACCAGACCATACACCAACGCAGAAAGACTGCTTAAACCGAAACAAACCGGTGATGATGATGACTCGGAATCACAAGGATGCAAGTATGTTGTGTGGATGGAGTTTAGCGGATTAGGGAACAGGATCATCAGCATTGCCTCTGCGTTTCTGTATGCAATGTTGACTGATAGAGTCTTGCTCGTTGAAGGAGGAGAGCAACTGGATGATCTATTCTGCGAACCGTTCCTCGACACCACTTGGTTATTGCCTAAAGATTTCACTTTAACTCATCAGTTTAATGGCTTTGGTCAAGACTCGGCTCAATGCCATGGAGACATGCTGAAGAGGAAACTGATCAACGAGTCTTCCGTTTCGTCTCTGTCTCATCTCTATCTCCATCTAGCTCATGATTACAACGAACACGACAAGATGTTCTTCTGTGGAGAAGATCAGAGCTTGCTAAAGAACGTTCCTTGGTTGATCATGAGGACAAACAACTTCTTTGCACCGTCTCTCTTCTTGATCCCTTCTTTCCAAGAAGAGCTCGGCTCCATGTTTCCGGATAAAGGAACGGTTTTTCACCACTTGGGTCGTTATCTTTTCCATCCTTCGAACCATGTTTGGGGACTCATCACAAGATACTATCAGGCTTACTTGGCCAAAGCTGATGAGAGGATTGGTCTTCAGATAAGAGTCTTTGATGAGAAATCTGGCGTGTCTCCTCAAGTCACAAAGCAAATCGTTTCATGCGTTCAAAACGAGGAACTGTTACCAAAACTAAGCAAATCAAGAGAACAACAGAAGCAGCCATCAGAAGAAGAAGAGGTTAAACTCAAAGCTGTCTTGGTCACTTCTTTAACAACAGGATGCTTTGAGATCTTGAAAACAATGTATTGGGAAACTCCGACTGTGACAAGAGATGTTGTTGCAATACATCAGCCAAGTCATGAAGGACATCAACAAACAGAGAAGCTAATGCATAACAGGAAAGCTTGGGCAGAGATGTACTTACTGAGCTTAACGGATAAGTTGGTTATTAGTGCTTGGTCTACGTTTGGTTATGTAGCTCAGGGACTTGGAGGATCGAGAGCTTGGATTCTGTATAAGCAAGAGAATCAAACAGCCTTGAATCCACCTTGTGGTAGAGCTATGTCATCGGATCCTTGTTTCCATGCTCCTCCTTACTATGATTGCAAAGCAAAGCAAGGCACTGACACTGGTAATGTTGTTCCCCATGTTAGACATTGTGAAGATATTAGCTGGGGACTTAAGCTTGTTGACAGATCATAACAGCTTTGAAAAACAAAACAGTGTAAAGCATTATTCTTCACATGTTTAGACTAATCTGCCAGTAATTTTTCTTTTTTTTTGGGTGTGTCTAATAGATAGAAGAAGCAAGCCATATCTAATCTTCTTCATTTCTTTTCTTGACTTCTTTGCTTGCCTTGCAAGGAAACACAACATAAATCAGAAATCTTTGGTTTTGTTGACAAAGAGAAAATCTTTTGTAAAACAAGTTTGAGTGCTCTCCAAACAAAGTCGAAGTACCAGCTTAAACTTTGTCTCAAGAGATCGATAAGTAACCTAACGACTTATAATGGGCCTGTTTTAGTGGGCCTAACTAAAATGGGCCTAACTAAAATGGGCCTATATATTAACTTTCTTGTTGTTTTCAAACAGTTTTTTTGGATGAGAAAAAAAGTGTCCGTGACAAGAATTTCTCAACAAACGACGGAAGAATAGGGCTTGCTTGTTTGAATGGATCTCACAAACGGACTCTCCTCAATTTAAGCAGGGAAGTTACAAATGTCTATCTTCTTACACGCCTAACTTTGTTCTGTAACTCTTTTCTTTTTCGTGTCCTAAACTCTCTTTATATAAACACTAATTAACACTCCTCTAATCTCTCATCAAGATCCCACTCACACAAACACACACAAACCATGACTTCTTCTTCCTCCTCCTCCTCTTTGTTACTCCCTTTCTTTCTTATCATTTTCTCATCTTTAATCTTGGTTTCATCATCAAGAAGATCATTAATCGACCGTCCTCATCATCCTCCCACAAACCTTCCAAGATCCGGTTTTCGGTTTAGTCTAAAACACGTGGATTACGGGAAAAACCTCACAAAGATCCAAAAGATCCAAAGAGGGATTAACCGTGGGTTCCACCGGTTAAACCGGTTAGGAGCTGTGGCTGTTTTGGCTGTAGCATCTGGTCCTGATGACACTAACAACATCAGAGCACCGACTCATGGAGGAAGCGGAGAGTTTCTTATGGAGTTAGCTATAGGAAGCCCTCCGGTTAAATACTCGGCGATAGTCGATACCGGAAGTGACCTAATATGGACTCAATGCAAGCCTTGCACCGAATGTTTCGACCAACCAACTCCGATCTTCGACCCCAAAAAATCTTCCTCTTACTCAAAAGTCGGGTGCTCTTCTGGTCTTTGCGACGCGTTGCCAAGATCAGAATGTAACGAAGACACAAATTCTTGTGCGTATCTGTATACTTACGGTGATTACTCATCCACGAGAGGGACCTTGTCCAAGGAGACGTTCACTTTCGAGGACGAGAACTCGGTTTCGGGGATCGAGTTTGGGTGTGGTGACCAGAACCAAGGAGACGGGTTTTCTCAAGGCTCAGGTCTTGTAGGTCTTGGTCGTGGACCGCTCTCGCTTATCACTCAGGTCAAAGAGACTAAGTTCTCTTACTGCTTAACCTCTATTGAGGATAGCGAAGCATCTAGCTCGCTGTTCATTGGATCTATGGCCTCCAAAATCATCAACAAAACCAGCGCAAATTTAGAAGGTGTGGTCACCAAAACGATGCCGTTGCTACGGAACCCTAATCAGCCTTCGTTCTATTACCTTGACTTGCAAGGCATCACCGTTGGAGCAAAACGACTCTCTCTTGAAAAGTCTACTTTCGAACTAGCCGAAGATGGAACCGGAGGTATGATCATTGACTCGGGCACGACCATCACGTATCTCGAGGAAGGCGCGTTTAACGTCTTGAAGAAGGAGTTTTCTTCTCGGATGAGTTTGCCAGTCGACGATTCTGGATCGACAGGGCTTGACTTGTGCTTCACGTTACCTGATACCGAGAAGGAAATCGCTGTTCCTAAGCTCATTTTTCATTTTAAAGGCGCGGATTTGGAGCTTCCCGGAGAGAACTACATGGTGGCGGATTCGAGTACCGGCGTTTTGTGTTTGGCCATGGGGAGTTCTAAAGGAATGTCTATTTTCGGAAATGTTCAGCAACAGAATTTTAATGTGCTTCATGATCTTGAGAAGGATACGGTGTCGTTTATTCCTACTGAATGTGGAAAATTGTAGATTTTTAATTGTTTTCTTCTTTTATTATTAATAAACTTTTATGCTTTGTGACAATGTGTCAAGTGCCTCTCAATAGTTTAGACTAGTTAGAAAATAGAATATGTTATTTCATATTTTATTGGTATGCAAATAAGAATCATTTACTTTTCTTACTGACAAACCAGGAAACAATTATTTAAATCTATGCTAAAATTACGTACTAATGTAAAATATGTTCTAATGTGTTCGTGATGGATTTGAGCTGAAAAAAAATCTCTAGATATAGTACTATTGGAACAAACAAAGGCAAATTGAATTTGCATATTAAGATCTAAATCAGTATATCTTGTACCGTGGGTTAATTCAAATGTACATTACAATTCACGTAAAAGAGTGATAATTTGTTTTGGAAGGTCTAGTTCCATCATGAACAACTTGGAATTTGACAATAATGTGATGTTATGAGAATCATTGATAAGTAACAACAATAATTAGTCATCATATTTATAATTATTAATCTTGAAAGTAAAGGAAAGGGTTAGCTCAACTTCCAAGCAACTCAAGAGAGAAAAAGAGATGAAATCTATGCGTCATGCAACTTTTTTTTATCAATTTGGAATTATAAACACGTCTCCCAACAAACACAATTAAGCTTTAACTATCTTACCTATTTATTTGATTTATTAAAATGTTTAAAAACCACGAAAGTGATCGTGTATCTTATACAGATCTCCTAATTTTAGAATTTTGTCATCTCAGATTTGTTCCTTCCACAATCGTATATTAATTTCAAATTGTTCAATATATAAAAAAAAAACACATGTGGATCGGTCTGATGTTCTTTGGTAACTTGAATATATTGTAACTTGAATACATAACAGCGGCCTCCTTTATTAAAAAATATATAGATCAGTCTAAATGTCTAATGTATGATGATGGGTGAATATTAAAGGTAATATTACAAAACATTGTAGAAGCAAAAAAACATTGTACATGGCTCATAATTTGATCCTAAAGATAGTTAATGGCCTATAAAAGATAAATACTCTTAACATTGGAATATAATTATGCTCTACAAATGGCCCATAATAGTTTTGTTAATCAGCCCACTTTGATAATGTTCTTATCTATGCAATGACAGTGTTCAAACACAATGATGTTCCTGTAGAGTGATTCAGTCATGAGGTCGTCGATGATAACGGTAGGAATCTTAAGTACTACATCAGCAAAACTAATATAAAGTAAACAAGTGCTTGTCTCTCCTTGTATCCAAACCACGCAGCCATGTGGTGAGCACAAAGCGAACTATTCTTTCACCTTTTACTAAAGAATACCGTGTGCTCTCCACGCCAAGTGGCATACGCCTATTTTTGGAGGGTCCTGCTTTCGAGTGGGGCCAACAACATTAAGTTAAAATTTTCTGCTTTGGTTCGAGTAGTGTGTATTACATAAGCAAACGGTATATCATAATTTTTTATTTTATTTTTGGTATGAACGGTGTGGTATATCCGTATATCATCATATCATGGTGGGAACAGATACGCTAAGAATAGGCGCATAATAAGAACATATCAGTTCAAAATCGCATTCCAAATCCGAAATTTCGTTCTGATTTTTTCTTTCCACTTATTATTGGAAAATCAAACAAAACCACTAATCGAAGTTTTCCTAAATTTTACTTTTTGTTTGCCCAAAATTTTCATGGAGTTATCACATAATTGTTACTTTTTTACTAAATAAAATGTGTTCTTGTAGTTCGAAACTTTGGTCGGTTTAATTCGGCAACATTTTCCCCAATCCGAATAAACCGCCCATGTCTAACCGTACTGTTTCAGCTTTGTTCAACAATTATGTAAACCTTGGTCTAATTAAAATGAAATTCAATCTCAAATGTAAAAAAAAAAAAAACTAATAAGAATCTGAAATTATGGATCATGGGGATTTAAGAAACAAAACTAAATAATAATAAAAGTTTATAAATTTGAAAAATACAAAAATTAAAATGAGTTTTTGTAGGCATTTGTAGAGATCTCACTCTCTCATAGGAAGGGCATACTTATCAGGGGCTGAACTCACTGAATCCGATGTGAATTCCAAATACTTATATATCTGTTCTTGTTTTATTTGCTTCTCTTTTGTGTTTTGCCTTTTTGTACTGGCTAGTACGCTGCACAATTTGTACCGGGACAACAGACGTCCCAATCCGTCAAGACCCATATATTGAGCTCTAGCCGCAATAGATACTATGTTTGTATCTTTTCTTTCTTTGATTAAAAATGTTGTAAACTAATATTGTTTCAAACTAAGCTTGTGTTTTTACTAGACAGCTTTGTTCTTATATTCTTTTTTCTACAGTTGTACAGATTTTATAAACTACTACCTAGGATAGTCATTAATAACCCCAAAAAAGGGAGAGAAGATGAAGAAATAATAAGAAAAGGGAGAAATGGGGACACTTCACTACCTAGGACACTCTCATACGTGCATGTATCCACAGTTCCAAAACCTAAACTCAGATTTCACAAGAAAGGCAGATTGTAAGACCAATTGCCACTGTCTTAGGTCATCTACTATAATCCTTCAAGCTTCTTATTCCAATTAAATTTAAGTCAAAGCAAAAATCAAAAAATTTACCAATCTGAGTTTCAAATTAACCGACAGAATTATTAAAATGATTTAACAATATCTTCAAATTTTCAAGGAGTAATCAACTTCATAACGAGAACAAATCACTCTGCGGTATCTCTGTATCTATATGAATCATGCAATCTGTATTGCACTGTAGCAAAACTAGAAAGATACAACTTGTAAATAAAACCTCAAAAGTCTCAAACTCCATTGAAAAAGGTTGTTAAATACCACAAGTTGTGTAACGTTATGCTAAAACAATTCCTAAACGGTCGAGACCAGGAGGGAACCTGAAGTTAAAAGAATTGCTGAAGAAGAAAGCAAACGAAAACGTGACCGTGCTGATGCTTGTGTGGGACGATAAGACATCTCAAGAAGCGTTTAGAAGAGACGGGTTGATGATGACTCATGATCAAGAAACGTACGATTACTTCAAGAACACGAAAGTTCGTTGCGTTCTCTGTCCCCGGAATCCGGATAACGGTGAGAGCATTGTTCAAGGGTTTCGGATCGCTACGATGTTCACTCACCATCAGAGCCCGAAAACCAATCTGGTGGACGGTAAAGTGGAAGGTTCGAGAGCCAAGAGAGGGATTGGATAGCCTTATATACACACGACTCTAAAACTGTCAACAATTTAGCGGTTGGCAAATAGGCTGGCAGAGAACGTGATAGCGATGATTTCTGGAGTCATTCAGGTTAGGTATGTCTGATCTTATCACTGCCTTATGGCAGTGTGATGAGTCTCCATTGTATAACTCTCTACTGTTATGCACTTATGCGGAGAGTTCTTACTATTGTTATGAGAGTCTCATGTAGTAAACCTGTCACCTAAACATGTTGCATAAATACATTTTGAACAAAATCACAAAAGAATTCATTACCGTTTGCATAAATACATTTTGAATAATTTATGTATTCTTTTGTGAATTCAATAGTTTATTAAATTTTCCAGAGTTAAAGAACCCTAACTTATGTATTATAAATTTCGTTTGTTGCTTGTGAGAGAATATATATTGCCGTTCGGGATTGGAAATTCTTAATTTAATTATCGAGAGCGCATCGACTTTCCCAATGGGTCAGGCAATGTTTTAGTCTTCTAGGTTTGGGACTAGTTTAAGTTACAAGTTACAACTCATGTTGGTGTCCAGGTGCAACGGTATGGACAGAAGAACCCATTGCTTTGAGAACCAGTTGCTTTGCTATGGCCCATGCATGGATGGACGAAAATATTTTCTTCTCGAATGGTATGTTCTATATTGTCTCAACTCTCAAGACCTACGGTTACGGGCGGCTACTTCATATTTTTTGTTGCTTGAGAAGTTTTGACTCAAATTTAACCAAACTTCTTAGATTTAAGAAAAAAAAAACGAAAACAACCAAATTATCATTGAATTTTATTATAGTCATAGATCATGGAGAAGTTCAAGTTTATGAAGACTTCAATGAAGCTTAAAGGAGCTGAGTTTAGCTTGAGCATGTGTTTTTTTTGTGTGCTAAATTGTTAATATTCATTATAAAGGTTTGGTTTTACAGATTGTGTTAACAAAATGTTTAACCTTACAAATGGTCCCATACTCCCATGGCACAAAAAGATTAAAAAAAACATGGTAGCATAGACAATCAGTACTTTGTGTAGCTGGGATGAAGCTAAGAGTGACGAAATAGTGATAATGTGCTTGTAAACTCTAGTAGAAGCTGAATACAAAGTTTTCCCAAAGGAGGCTCAAGCAAGAGTTTTCTCAACGTCTATATATAACGACGCTCCACCAAAAAAATCCTGGCCACCCGAACTAGCAATTGAGCATGTTTTCGTCTCACCTTGAGATTTAAGCATAAGTTAGATCACTAGTAATACATGTGTCTCTATCTCATAGGTTGAAGTGTGTCATATCACATGTGCTTAATTGGGCTAAACATAAGCTGTTGTTTGGTTGTAGCTTAAGTGCTATTCTCGCCTTCTCCTGGGGAGAGTTGTAACAGAAAAGGATTCTCAAAGGGATTAGGTTAAAAAGAGAGAGAGTTGTAATTGGTGATGGCAAGTTAAAGCCAAATCTTGTGTGTGCTCTTTACTTTCTGCTTTTATCCTTCTCTTTTATATCATCTTCGTTTCGAGTGAGAGCTAGAGAGTTCTTGAGAGACCTAGGGTTAGATCGCACAATCATAAATCTATGCTAGATGACACGGGTAGATATTTCTTTATTACACCATAAAGATGATCTGTGGAGGAGAGATTAAAAAAAAAACAAAACAATTTGTCTTTCTTAAAGATTTTCGGATGCTCAAGTTAGAATGTGTTCAAGCAACTGGTTAGAGAGTTTGTTTGGACTGAAACTATGTGACAGTTTGGACTTTGGACCATGGACGAAATAATAATTTTTAATTTTTTATAAGTTTTAAAGGAAAGATTAAAGAAACCTTAGAAGGACACATATTATAAGGGTTTTGTGCAAAAAAACCAGGGAACTATAATAAATTTGCAAAATTAACCCTCACCTTTTTTCTGTGCAAGTCAACCCCACATCCTCAAAAGTCACCCGCTAAACGGGCCTTCTGTATATTGGCGACGTGGCCGCTTCTGGTCCTTGTAAAAAGAGCGAAATGCTGCGTTTTGGTTGATTAAACGGGACGCAGTTCGCTTATTCGCTGCCGTTTTCGGACAAAAAGAAAAACACGTTTAACTAAAAGTGTCGGGATTTGAGTTGCGAGAAACAGAAAAATCGAATTGGGGAAAAAACAATTTAAGGTTCTTGGCGATTGGCGATTTTCTGGGTTCACTCGTCGAAGCTGAAATCGAGTTTGCAATCGTTCTGCGTAAGCTTGTTTGTTATACATTGGATATGTTAGCGTAGTTGTTATACATTTTTGAATGCTAGTAAAGAGTTGTTAATCGATAATTTACAATACAGGAAGAAGATGAGTTTGAGCAATGGAAGTTGGACCTCAACAACGATGAGAAATGGTAGATACAGAGGTCTGAGTGATACAAAACCAGGGATTCCGAAGAAGTGTTGTTGTGGCTGTGAGGTTGAGCTTCGCACCTCTCTGATTGAACCAGGAAGAAAGTTTTACATATGCACCAGACCTGTATCGGTAAGTAATGAAGAATAATGTATTTTAACAAGTAGATGTAGTTTATTTTGCAAAGATTGACTTATTAGAAGAACCGCAATTGGTGTATGATGGAGAAACACATGTTTAACAAGAAGGTTACTATGAATGGTGTAGATTCCCGGACCACATGTTAATAAGTGGTGGGATGAAGCAGTTATGGAGGACTTACTGGAGATTAAGGGAAAAATGGAAGACCAGGACAAGCAGCTCTTCCAAATCGCTATGGATTGTGGACGTGTGGACAAGCTTGTTGATGAGGTTGAGATGCTTAAGGATTCAGGGGAAAAACATGAAAACAAAGCTGCCAATGAGTTCAAGATTGCTGTGGTGTTTGGTGTTGTGGTGATGATCATGGCTATGATCATCGCCTTCTTAAAGTAGAGAATATGTATGTCTTAAAACCCTTAATTTCTTTGAAAACATGACAAAGGGTTTATGATGTTTTGTAAGAAGTTTAGATCGGTTTCTACGACACTATGACTTCTAATCGGCTGTATGGGTAATGTTTTGTAACAAGTTTAGTTGGCCTTGTGACTTTTGAATTGTAAAACTTATGTGTGTTGTTATATATATGAAGTTATGTCTTGCTATAAATTTGTTATTGTGAAAGTCTGTTTGGTATTCAGCTTAGTTATGCGAGTGTGTGTTGTGTGGTGCTCTACGATTATTTGCCAAATAAAGAGGTATTACTGATTTTATAAGCAGGTGTATCGTAGATAGCATAATCTTGACAAAAAACATAAAGTTGACATTGAAATCTTACAAACTTACAGAGGATAAATTCTTAAAACATGCATATTTGAGACCAAACTTACTACTCATGCAAGAGCATTACAATAACAAAGTCAATGTCATGACTACAAACTCTCAAACAGAGTTTGAGTCTCCATTACCAAAAGCCGAAGTTGAACGAAATAAAGACAAGAACAACAAACAAACAACATTAGGCAAACTAAACCAGATCTACATTACCATAATTCCTTCGCTGACATGAACAACAAACAACATTAGGCAGTGTTGGAGGTCCACATTAGCATCATTACTCCAAAAACAGCACCAAATCCAACCGTTGAAGCAATGAGAACATTTTGGAGACCAATACACCTCTCAGTTAAAACCTGGACATCTCTCTTTAGAGCTTCACATCTGTTGCCTAGTTCCTTCGATTTGACATCATTCTCAGCATTCATGGAGAGCGTTGTCACCTCATTTGTCAACGCTGCAATCTGCATGCGCTGTTCTTCCATCATTTCCCGTGCCTCCAGCAATGCCAGAAATTGCCATCCGCTTGGATCTCCTTGATTGTACCATCTGAAGAACCCGCAGTCGATGTACCCATTCTCCACTCGACGGCCTTTGCAAGTGTGGAATCGGCGATCTGGGTTTCGGCGTGTCCAAGATCGTCTCACCGGAGATGGAAGGCCACAGTCGCAGACTACGCCATGGTTCTCCACTGATGCCGCTGAGACAAAACTTCCCGTCGACATGATGAACTTTGTGTTTTCAATTCGATTTCCCGTCGACCACGAACCCTAATTCCCAAATCAGTGAGAGAAATAAGTTAATGGGCCTGTTAAATATGGGCTTCATTAATTCGATATTTAGTGGGAGGCGATTTCTTGGAATCGAAATTACCCTTAAATTAAATTGAAGCAAAATAACAAAAGCAATACAAATCTTTCATTACAAAAGCAATTCAATACAAAAGCAATTCATATTGGTTGCTAAGTACTTAGATTTATAACAAAAGCAAGACAAAAGCAATTCATATTGGTTGCTAAGTACTTAGATTTATAACAAAAGCAATACAAAAGTACAGGAATGTTATCAATTCATTACAAAAGCCGAAGCAACACAAGTTTGTTGTGCAAAAGCAAGGTTAAACTGAGATACAAAGAGACCAAAAGCAGACAGAAGTTTGTTCTTCAAAACCAAACAGATTTTTGAAAAAAAAACTTCCCTCCTCGAGACCACAACACATGTTTGTTGTACAAAAGCAAGATTAAACTAAGAGAGAAAGACAAAAGTTTGTTCATCAAAACCAAACTGATTTTTGAAAAACAAACTTCCCTCCTCGAGACCACAACACATGTTTGTTGTACAAAAGCATAGCAACCTTAAAGTAGCACCAAGAGAGACCAAAAGCAGAAGTAACTTGTCCATAAAGTAGAGCAAAGAAGAGACAGACCTAAGGTTGCGAATGGGATAGCCAATTTTCTGCGAATCCGGCGCCGGAATTTTTAGCTTTTTTGGCATTTGTTTTGGCTTTCTTAGCGTCTCTTGCTTTGTAAAGACTGCTTGGTAAGATAGTGTTGTTGCGTGCATCCACCACAGACTTCCCAAGTTGGATGTAGTCATCTCCGGTATCTGGACTGGTGAAAACACCATAACCTTCCTACAAACCACATAAACCACAAGGCCAATAAGACATTTCCAGGCACATATATTCGGGTCACAAGAATTATAAAAGAATTATGCTTACTTGTGGAATAAGCCTTGGTCCTGTGTCATAAGCACGCTCTTTAGAACGAGATGTAAGTTCAGGTTTTGAGTAAGGCAGGTTCTCTGCCTCGTTCTTGCGTGGTCTACCACGCTTCCTCTTAGGGACTGCAGACGAGAGGCTTGGTACTTCAGGAATAGGCTGAGAGAGTGAGACCTTCTGTTTCTTGCGACCTTTACCAGATGGTTTGTTTGGCTGGGATGAGTTTCCAGCTCCATCTTCATTCCATGGCCTCCACTCGTTGTCAAGAAGCAGCTGTGTACTTTCTCTGTGACCTGCAGTCCAACCTGGAGCATCCGGAATCTCTCTTGTCCGTGGTCTACCAGGTGGCTTCTTAGGAGGTTTTGGCTTTGGCGTATTGGTGCATTTGGTCTTGTTATGCCCTGCTTCTCTACAATTTCCACAGTGCTACATGTGTGGACATGGTTTTGCATTTAGTCAAATAATCCATCGCATCAGAAAGACAAAAATAATAATGTATAGAAGACTTACCATTGTTATTCCTAGTTTTGGCATTTTTCCATTCTCTGGCTCCTTCTTTTTCTCACCCTTTTCCCTTGTTCTGTTTTTTCCAGGAGGTCTTCCACCAGGACTTCCAAATGGTGGCCTAGTGACCCTTAGTCCAGTTGTCACTTTCCACAAATTCATTCCATTCACTGGTCCTAGCGGTGTACAATAACACGCCCTAAGCTTATCTGCGGTAAACCATTGACTAATCCTAGTCTTAGGGTCTTGTTCTTCTCCTCTCTCCAGCCTTAGAGCTGATGCTATGTGGCAACAAGGAATGCCGCTAACAACAAACAGTCTGCAGGAGCAACTAGTTTTGTTTCGCAGATGCACTACAAACCTATCATGTACCTCATTTTTCACGTATGTAACCTCATACTTGCCTAAACCAAAACCCAATGGCCTACAATCCTTAGCTAGTTCGATTTGTTGATCAAGCAAAGCAACTGCTCTAGGAGTATAGACACCTTTAGCTTTCTCAGCTTCTAACCTCTTCTTGTCATTACTAACCACAACCCTGCGCCTTATCTCCTCAAGCATCTCCACTATGGGTTTCGTTCGAGCAATCCTTATAGCATTAAAGGACTCGCCCAAGTTATTCTCCACAGCATCACACTTTGAATACTCCGTAAAAAAGGCCCTTGATTAAAACATATAAAACACAGAGTAAGCGCTCTATAACATTGACATATATGGAACTAAGAAAAGACATGTGAAATAGTCAGGTTCCCGTCTTACCTTGACCAGGGACACCAAAGAGATATCCTCAAATCAGCATGTGCAACGGCATCATAGTCTTTTAATGCTTGCATCTTTCTCTCAAAATCTAGGGGATAATAGGAATCGGCTGCACTCCAGAACAAATCCTCCAAGTCTGCGCCACTGTGTCTCTTCTTCCAGTTCGCATACACATGTCGAGCACACATCCTGTGTTCAGCAAATGGTAAGAGCTCTTTAACGGCTGCAATCAATCCCTTTTGCTGATCACTTGCCAAGGTCAAACCATTGCCGGTTTCAAGGCCCAAATCACTAGCCAAATGCTCTAGAAACCACCTCCAGTTTGGCGTATTTTCCTTCTCGACTATTCCCCATGCAATGGGAAACATTTGATCATTAGGATCTCTCCCGTAAGCTACTAGAAGCATTTCCATTCATTCGCCACTTGAGAAAAGTCCCATCAAGATGAAGTATCTTCCTACACGCAGCTTTCCATCCCGTTTTCAATGCACCAAAACAGACATAAAACTTTTCGAACTCAGTTCCCTTCACCACCAGTTCCACTGTTGACCCAGGGTTTGCTTTTTTCAACTCATACACATAGTCAAACAGCCTAGAAAATTGCTCATCTTGCTCCCTATCAAATTTCCTCAAGCAATCCAATCTGCTCCTCTCGCATTTGGACCAAGGGACATTAATGTTTCTTGCCAAGAGCTTCTCTTGTAGCTGTTGAGCCGAGAAATTGGGATTCAGCCTGAATTCGCCAATGTAAATCTCACTTATTCTTGAGTAAGTGAGAAGTGACATTTACCTTGCCAAGTGCAGTTATGCTCTTCTTGTAGTGACCTGACAACTACCCTTGGAGAGCTGCTGTTTATGGTAGCACATATCCTCCAAGGACACTTTCCATTTGAGCAAATAGCTATCACTCGACTCTTTTCTGACTTCTTGTACTTAATATCCCTCCTCTTCTTGACTGCATATTTGTGAAGAGCACTCTTAAAGCTGTCTATAGTCATATACTCCTGACCTATTTCAAATCTCTTGTAACTCTTGTCATCCACATTAGTTCTTCTGCCATCACAACTGCTCTCATCTTCAGTAAAGTTTCCAGCTTCATCACTTGAATTTCCATCTCTGCTATCATCGCCATGTTCACCCACGTTACCATCATCTGGATTTTCTAGCCAAAGATTTTCATCATCCTCCAGTGAAGTGTTCCAACCTGTGCGCCGACCTATGTATGGATCATCTTCACGGACAACATACAGTGTCGCAGCCCCGAACCCAACACCATAGTGAGCAACTTTATTCATTGTCTCGATCCTCGATATCCACTTTCGTATTCGGAGTCTCTGATGGAAACCATGATAGCTTCTTCATGTTGTCCTCATACCCGAGCTGTTCAGTAATTATCAGCTGAACCCTACTCATCTTAAACTCTTCTACAGTGAAGGTACCCACACGACTTGACTCGCCGCCAAGATATCTATCATCTGGTGACCAGTAGCCTCCAGTCCACAAGAACAACTCGAAACTGCAATGTAAAAAGATAGAATTTATAAATTTCCAGTGTCATTACTTCTTTAAAGCCAAAATGGTTTTGGTTTTCGTACAGACTGCATTATAGAGTCAAAAACGAATTCAGACAACTTCTGCATAAAGGAGAAGCTACAAATAATCTAGCTTAAGCAAGCCTTCCTACATTCGTTACTTAAAAAAGACTTCCATAGTTATATACCTAAATTCACAAATGCTTCAGATTCACAATAAGCCACAAACAATTACTACCAATAGTATTCTAACTAAAATGACAAATGCTCCAACGTTAGGCAGATGAAACAGAACGAAACCAAAACTATTAGATTTCCAAAGCATAAGGTAAACTTTAGACATTGAGCCAACTTAACTACTGAGTAAATAACTAATTGAAACCCTATTGAAATCGTAAATTCAAACCACCTCATACCCCAGAAAGGATTTTCGAAGATTAGAAATCGATTTTCAATTACAGCAGAGAAAGGTAAACCATGTGACACAAACGAATTTACCTCATCTCGAGCCCAGAACGATCGTCGGTCACCGACGCCAATCTCGCAAAGTCGATTTCAGCTTCGACGAGTAAAACCCAGAAAATCGCAAATGGCCAAGAACCCTAAATTGTTTTTCCCCAATTCGATTTTTCTGTTTCTGGCAACTCAAATCCCGACACTTTTACTTAAACGTGTTTTGCTTTTTGTCCGAAAACGGCAGCGAATAAGTGAACTGCGTCCCGTTTAATTAACCAAAACGCAGCGTTTCACTCATTGTACAAGGACGAGAAACGGCCACGTCGCCAATATACAGAAGGTCCGTTTAGCGGGTGACTTTTGAGGTTGTGGGATTGACTTGCACAGAAAAAAAGTGAGGATTTATTTTGCAAATTTAATTTAGTTTCCTGGTTTTTTTGCACAAAAACTATATTATAAAGAAAAAAATCTCTTTTAGTGGTCCAGCAGGAAAGCGGCGGCGTCGCCTGTATGAACATAAACACGAACTCATAACTCCGAGCCGCCGGAGTTTTTTTGGTCGGGAATAAATTAGCAAACATTATTAAAACTGATTAAAGAGACCGTAGTCAATCACACGCCTTAAAAAAAAAATCAAAAAAGAAAGCGACAAACGAAACCTAAAAAGAAAACACTGAAAATCAGCAAAACCAGCAAATCATTCAAAGGCCCATTGATTCTCCTTTCGAACTTGTGCTTCTTCCTCGGGTGTAAAATCGTTCTCGATGTGAAAAATCTCGCGAATCTCCTCCGGTGATTTGTCCTTGATATGATCCGCAATCGTCTGGCAAGTGAGATCGAGAAGGCCCTTGACGTTGAGATAGTTAGCAGCGAGAACGAGTTTAAAAAGCTCGGCAGGCTCCTGTTTCACGAACTCGGCGTCCTGCTCCTTGAGCTTCTCCTGGAGCTTCGTCTGGGCCTCTTCGTTTCCTTCAGCCGAACCAGCTTCCACGTGCCTCGTGCAGTACTCGATCACTTGCGCCAGGATGTTTCCGGTGACGTTTTCAAGCGGTATTGGTTTATCGGCGCACCCGTCTTCCATCATGTGTGCTACGATCTGGAACTCGCGAGCCACTGCTTCGTCGACATCGAACATCTCGTTGTCGGAGCTCATCAAAGTAACAGTCACCTTCTTAGGTTCTTCGGAGGCAGACATTGTTCGTTCGTTTCTAGCTAGGTTTAACTGATGAGAAGGTTTTATTGAATGGAATTGAGGAATTGGTGAAAGGTATGCTTCTCTATTTATATATAATAAGATGTTTAAAGAGGGTCGGTGAATTTATGAAATATGAAAATTCCCGAATAATAAAATAAAGATATTGGAAACAAACCAATCCTAGTTTGATTAGGGTTTACATTTTTTTCTCAAATGTGTGAGAGTTGAGAGACCGTCCGACTAACAAAAAAAAGAAATTTGTGTTCATCTTAGATTTGGTTTCATAAAAGAAAGCTCAAGAAACTTTTGGAAAATAATCTCTCCAAAATAATTGGTAAATAGAAAGAAAGTAAGTTATCTTTATCTTTATAGTGTTTGTTTAGAGGAAATAATTTGTTTAGTAAATTAACTTTTAAAGATAAGCACAATAAGAATTGACGTATTACTTTATTCTAAAAAATATTCAAAGAAATTTTCTGTTGAGTTTCTTTTTTTTGTTTTTTTTTGTTTAGTTCTCATTGACTTTCTAGAATGATAAATGTAGTTATCGACTTTCTCTTTGGTAGGATCATGACATGTAAGAATTTAAAGGTCTTATCATAGCAGAATTCAACCATGGTAAGCTGCTTGTGTTTTTTTTTCAATACTGTATGTTCTACTCAATGATTTCCAATATTTGATTACGGAACCTTGACATTAACATGTAGAGTTCTTGGCCTCCCCTTTATGAATGTGATAGTGATACACTGATACAAGCTTCTATAAAAGCATTTTTAAACCTCTCAAAAATATTTCTTAGGGAAATAGGTAATAGACCATCATATTTTGTCCAAGCTATGAACTGCATATTCATGTTTTTATGTCCATAAAGAATAGCGTTGAGAGACTAAAGAATTTCTTACTATAGTTTTAGATTTAATTCGTGTCATGATAAATTTTCTTATTTTTATCAGTAAAATTCCCATAGGATTTTATTGGATTTGCGATTATTTATACACAAAATATATTGGTTTTCTCTTTGCAAGAGAGTTTAGCAAAATAATCAATTAACAAGAGAGTTTGCCATTCAAAGAAATAATCATTTTTATTAATTTGAGGTTATCTATGATGATTTTGCTAGCTTGAAAGCAAACAAACAAGGTCAACATGAGTAACATATACTAATAAATAATAATCAAAACAACCAATTGAACCAATCACGAAACCAAGAAAAATATGAATATAGTTTACAGGTTTCGGCTTCTTCACACATGCTTCTGTGTTATTCACATTTTCTCAGAATTGGAGAATGTGATGAAATGAGTGAACATTATGGGACGAGAGTTATAATCACGTCAGAGAATGACAATGCAATGACCAGAATTCTTTACATGAATGATTCAGGGAATCGCCAATGCGCTTCTCCAACCTGCATTGTCCAATATCACACCTCTCACTCACTCAACCCCTTAGAGTAAGCTATAATACCAATTGTTAAAATGAGATTGCAGGTTTCCGTGAATGTTTTTCAGATAACAGTAGAATGAGAAGAGATGGTTCGTTAAATAGCCTTACAACTGAACTGAAAGGAGAAAAAAAGCAGGAAACTAATCAGCTTTACTAGAAGTTCCTTAAAACTAATCAGCTTATTGACTATCAATACTCTGATCCAAATATTATGAATATATAATAACTAGTGAAAGGCAAATGCACAATGATGATTATAAGTCAATGCCTGGCCTCCTCTTCCTCGTTCTGGCTTCGTTGGATCAAATCCATCACCCTTTGCACAGAAGTCATTCTGGCAAAGATACTAAATCCAGACGCAAAATCCTCTGTACCTTTCTTCTCCATTCCATCAAAAACAGTCTGCGCACTCCTGAGATCTCCGCAGCATCCGTACATGTCAACTAGAGCAACTGCAATGGACCCCTCTAGAGGAAAACCCTTGCGGAGCAAATATCCGTGAGTTTCTCTCACTTTCTTCAGATCAGATAAGCTTCCTGCAGTGGACAGTCTGCTCAACAAATCCTCGGTTTCCTCAGTAGATACGCTCATGTATCGAACAATTGCCGAACTACCATCTCTTCGAAAGGACTCGCGACGCTTGATAGCAGTGTGATAAGCATGTGAATCAACCCTCTGAGCAGAGATCCCAACGGACTGAGAGCTCCAGCTCCGAGCATAGACACTCAAGCAATCGGAAATTATACTCCTCCTAACAATCGCTCTTGACGCCATTTTCTTACTACCCCGCCGATTTTAGGGTTTAGATTCGTGATTCTCGGAGATGACAAAAGAGAAAGTGAAGGAGAAAGTGGAGAAGAAAGAAAACACGCCGATTTTTAGGGTTTAGATTCGGCCTTCTCGCGGAGTGACCCACATTAATGGGCTTAAAGTAAAGTGGGCCTCCAGCCCATTTTCATTTTAAGTCCCAGAGTCGGAATCCGAACCCGGAGAGAAGTTTAGCCGGTGAACGGAATCAGAAGCGATTCACGAGTTACAACAGCTTTCAGAAGTCGGTTCGAACCTACCTACCGACATCAATCTGTTACCATCGTCGGCGTTGACACCTACGCCGGCAGTTTATCCAATGAGTTACGCTTCTTCCTTTTTTTTTTTTTTTACCGCCAATGTAACTATGTAATGAATAGCGTTCATGAGTTTCTGCTCTCGGTAATTTCTCTTGTGCTGGAAGTAAATCAGAGCAAGTTTTGGGGAGATTTGTTTTTTTTTTTTTGGATCAAATCGCTTGTTGCTTCTTTCAGCTGGAAACAACTAAAAATCAACTCTAGCAGGCATTAGAAAATGAAATCCAAACCCAAAATATGTAATGAATACCAAAACGTTCGAGTATCTTAGGAATATGTAATGAACAATAACCTCACTGTGTGCTTTGACAGGTACAACTCAAGATGCCTCATCCCTTACCATTTGGGGTGCTGATAATCATTGTTGCCGTTTTTATATAGAATGATAAAAAGAATACATGTTGAATTGAAAACACCCATGTTACACATCACATTTTCTTAGAATTGGATCATGTGATGAAATGATTATTATGATACCAAGGTGCATGTGACCAATTGCTAGTTTAAAAATAGTAGAAATAAATTGAGGAAAAAACAGCTGTTCAGGAAGTTCCGAAGAGTAGTAAAACACTAACAAAGAATACGAAACATTGTTGATTATTATCATCTTTCTATAAAGACAACCTAACAAGCTTATTGTATAAAATCCGATCATCTCTTCCTGTGTTGCTCTCCAACAAAGCACTTTGCACAAGTTCCTGCAAAAGATGCATCAACAGTTTTTTTATTAAATTCAATTCTGTGATTCTCTATGATCTTAGACAAACTTTACGTCTAAAGAAAAATAATAATCTATTTTACCTTGACTTCGCGGTGAGATAGGAATTTTCCCAAGCTGTGCATAGTTATTCTCATATCTTCAACCTGACAAAAAAAGAAAGAAAAAAAGAAAATTAAACGCACGGAATTATTATTGCAACTTCATTCTAAGAAACGATGAAGATGACAATCTGAGGAAGACAGAATACGCTTCTTCTTACCCTAACATAGCCTGCTTGGTTACGGTCAAAAAATCTGAAAGCCTGAATAGAAGAAACAGTGACCAAAGAAAGCTTTAGCACCCAAAGAAAAAGGAGAAAAGCTGAAGACATGATCAAATCAAAATGAGGTGTTTCTAGAGTTTCGTTGAGAATTTTACCTGCAACAACTCTTTATCAACTGTTTCTTCTCTTTTTGGTACATCAGAGGTTCCTCCCTCTTGCTTCCCGTGCTTGTCTGACTCAGACTTGGGTTCGATCTCAGCAGATTTGGAATCAGTCTTCTCGTCGATGGAACCTTTTTCTTCTTTTATATCAGTTGCGACTTCAGTTATAGGATCAGCAACAGTGCCACTAGTCTTCTCACTGTTTCCTTCATTCTTCTGCGGCTGGAGAAGAGACATAAAACAAAGGGAGACGACTTATGAACAGAATATCTTTTGGTCATTATATTACAACTTAGAGTCAACATAATTCAGTACAAAGTTGTCATATTAGGATTCAATTTGAAAGACTGTTAGGCAACTGATTTACATACCTCCTCAGCAGGGTTGTCTTCTTTCTCAGGGTTTGCATCTTCCATCTCCTCGCATTCTTCAGGATCTTCTTCAGGGTCTTCTTCAGGGTCCTCTTCAGGATCCTCCTCAGGATCTTCCTCTGGGTCATCGTCATCCTCCTCATTCTCTTTATCCGCCTCTTCCCGGTTATCCACTTCCATATTAGCAGCTTCATCACCAGTAGTTTGTTCAGTCTCTTCAGTCTTAACTACAGCTTCCTTATCCTGAGTACCGTCTGCAGTTTCCTTAACATCCTTCTCAGGAGCGGATTCAGTTACATTAGAGGTTTCCTTGTCGTTTTGTTCAACAGTCTTTTGGCGCTTGTTTTGTGCTTTTGCTTCGTTTTGCTTGGCAGATAACTCTTCCTGATGCCTCTTCCGTTGATTTCTTTGTCTCACAAATTTCACACGTAATTTCTTCAAAGAAAAAAAGAAGAGTGTAAACACAAGTATAAGAAGACAGTTCATCTGAAACTCGAAAACAAGAACGTCATAAATCAGTTACAAACCAACCTTGAGAAATTCTAAGATACGGGTACCCATTTGATACTGTAGCATCTCAAACAGCGATTCCGCAAACAATGAGAGCTGCAAGAACATAGATTGATGAAAACTTAACGAAAGCGGTACACTGAGCTCCATAAGAAAGAAACTGAAAGCAGACTAAGGAAAGCACAAGGGAAAAAACAAACCTCAAATGAGGACTCATCAATGTCCTTGTCAGTGTAATCCAAAAGCGAATCCAGGGAGAGGGAAAATGAACGCACCTGGTAAAACCAAAGAAAGTTACAACCATCATATATCCATTACCAAAAGTAACCTTAAACTTTCAACTTAAATTTGCACTTACCTTGGAGTCTTTGTTCCGTTTCGTTTGTAGAATAAATCCTGGCCGAGGAGGTTCCTCAGGCTTTTTCCGGTAAACTTGTATTTTGGACTCTTCTTTTCCACCTCTCTCATTAATCTTCTCTTTTGCCTTTTTCTCATCAACTTTTTTCCCCTCAGACTCTGTCTCTGAGTTGATTTTCTTTTCAGCCTTCTTGTCTTCGCCTGTCTCAGTGTCCTTCTTAGTTGAACTAGAGGCACCTACCTTTTTCTCAGTATCTGGGGATACAGCACTCTGTTTTATTTCCACAGTTTTTGAGGCACTCTCTTCTTTCTCTTTTTCTGGGGATTTCATCACCATACTACCATTGTCTCCATCTTTCTTAGAGTCACCGTCCATGGCATTGTCTGCTTCAGAAACCTTCCTTTTAGCCACTCTTTTAATGATTTTTTTCTGTACTATTGTCTTTGAAGGAGTCGGATCACTAGCCTTAGCACTGGGATCTGAGCTTGGCTTATCACCAGTTTCTGAGCCCTTCCCTTGATTTTGTGTGGTTGTTGCTACTACCTTTTTGCTAGAAGATGTACCGGTCGATTCTTCGTTTGGGACTGCGGTCTCGGATATGGCAACCTTTTCAGGGACATCCTTCTCGTCCGACTTCTCATCTTTCTTACCAGTTGCCTTTCCATCGTTGACAACAGGCCTTTTAACAACTCTTTTGATTATCTTTTTCACCATCTTCTTCGTCCCAGTTTTCGGGGCGGCGGAAGAGTCTCCTGCGGTCTTGTTCTCTGCATCCTTGGCTACGTCACCCTTATCATCACTGCTTTTTCCCACAATGCCATCTTTCTTAGCCTCCTCAGACAGTAGTCGATCTCTCTCAGTAAGAGCTTTCCTGTGTGCCAACCACTGGATTCTCCAAGCGTCAAATGAAGGAAGACATTCTGATAAATCGGGGACAAATAGTACAGTGATCTCTTTGTAGCTAGAAACTCCATCTGCGCCAACTCTGTCATAATGTATCTGTAAATGCCCAAAAACAACAGGCAAAACAAAGCTAGTTAGGTCTCCAGATGAAGTGGTAAGCATGAGTCAAGCGTGATAGCTTCACAGTCAGAAAAAAAATGAGAGGCAAGAGATCGTTCTTAAGGGGGAATTTTCTATTTCCTTGGCTTTGTTCTTTTATAAATCTATTATCCTTTTTGTCTATGGTTCTTAACTCTATCACAGTCGGAAAAAAAAACCTTAAGAAATAAAGCAATCCCTAAAAAGCTTCATATCATCTTCAACTGCCTTAATATAAGGAAAATAGGAGAGAGAGTATAAGCTGTAGTCTCTCTTAGCTATTATGATGTCCGCACTTGTCGAACATCTCAATGCAGTCTAAAATTAAGGAAGGAAAATCCTACCTCAAGAAATGGATTCCAGTGACGACAGTTGCTGAGATCAAGATGAAGCTTGTCCTTTGTGTGCCTGCAACGCAAAATTCATCTCATGTCTCAGACAATGAAAACAAGGCAGCGAAGAAAGACGAAAAGAAACGTACAAGGGAAGAAATAAACCTCAGTATTGTCTGAATTAAGGAAGACTGATCAACTGATGGGTCCATGCCATCTGTGGGATCCCAGGGACCACCAATCGCCATGAGAGAATGATCCTTTTTAAGAACAGCAAATTTTAAGATGTTGCATATATGAGGTAAACGGTCTTCAAATAATTTATCTGATGAAAGATCTTCCACAGCAGTCCTGCTGAGCCCGCTCATCAATATCATCTGAACAACAGAGGAAACCCATTACACATGAGCAAATTTCTTTCAATACACTTAGAAACAATAGCAGAGAGTAAACAATGAGAAAAATTAACGACAGCCCACCTTGGCGTGCCAAACGGTGTTTCCTTCAGTTTTCAGTGCTAAAGACTTCGTGGGAGTAGTTTTCACGTCAACTCCACCGTCTTCAATGTATTCATGCTCAAAACTGTCGTCCTCAATAAAAGATGGTTAGATTTACACACACTTTTAACTCGATATGATAAAAGCAAAAGTGAATCCACATTAACAAAATGTTTGTAACTCTAATATACTGACTCAGCAAGGAATACAAATATTCCAGAACTTCTGATCTATACAAATCGCTTGAGAATGATTAAAATCCACAGAAATGAAAATAAGAAAGCAGAATAATTCACCTCACAGCCGTACGCATAGAAAGCGTAAGCTTTTCTTTCGGCCAGTTTACTACAACCTGAAGTATAAATATATATAGTGAGATATACAATCGTTCTGCACTCCACTAAGGACTAGAAAAAGATTGGAAGATAGACAAACAGATACCTTAGAAAACTCAGAAGGCACAAAAAGCTTTGGATATCTTCTATCTAATGTCACGTAATCCCTCTCCATGTCAACCAATCTCGAGGATGAGACCTGCAAAAAAGTCACACAATCATCAAATAAAGAACAACGCACAATAACTCAGGATACAGAGGGCAGGAAACTCAGCCATCGATTCCAGTCAAGTATCTTATCAACAGAAAAGATGACAATAAACGTCCTCGATTTGAAAAAAGTGATAAGCATCCAGTGTCTTATCCTTGTGAACTTTCCAAGTTTCATTTAATCCAATGTCGAAAAGACAAAACTCGCAATCAGGAAAATGTACTGGAGACCACAAAAATGAGAGGCCATATATCAGGTTGCACAATTTCCCTCCAAAATACAGCTAAACTCAGGAAAACATCGCAGTTTGAACCAGGATAGGGCAACCGGATATTTGTCAGACTAATTTCAAAAAGCAGGAAAAATAATACCACAAGATGGCAAGACAGAAGTTTAACTAAGTAACAAAGAAACGCCACGTAGACTGGCCCCAAAATGAAAGAGAAAATATAACAACCCCAGGTACAGAAAGATACCCCATGGAGAGAAAAAGGAATGAGAAAGTTGAACTTGGCAGAATTTTAGATGGAAAAGGAGACAATGCTAGGGAATTAGGGATTATCATGATTTTTTTGGCAAGGATTATCTTGATCTTCAGAATTAAATGAGCAAGAAGAATGCAGGAATTGGAAAGTAAGATGAGGGCACCCTGAGGAGTAGGAAAAAACATCACTGTATGAGGAATCTCTTTAGAACACTTATTACCTTGCAGACATAATCTCTCCTTATTGGCTTAATCGGTGAAGGACGCCTTCAGGTATAACAGAAATAAGGTTAGTGACTGGTGCTGCAACATAAAATGCCCTGTATTCCAGATGAAGAGCGTGACAGAGATCAAAAACAAAACCTAATTGATGCTTCACGATGTTGAACATCCCGCCGCAAAGAGGAACTACGTGCCCTCGAAATAGCTTTTGGCACTGGAGTCCGCTCCTTTGGATCCTTGGACGTACCTCTTGCTGTTGGAGCCCGATCTAGTGGTTTTATGTCGAGAGCGCGTTTACGATCACGTTCTCTTTCTCCTTCTCTTTCCTTCTCCCGGCGCTCTAACATGCGTTCCCTTTCTCGGTCCTTGGCTCTTTGCCTTTCTCGTACCCTCTGCCGCTCTCGTTCTCTTTCACGTTCGCGTTCCCTCTCTCGTTCTCGGTCCTTGTCTCTGGAACGCAGATTCTCACGGCGACGCTCTTCTTCTCTTAGTTCGAACTCCCTGAGATAACTTGCCCGGTCATCTTTTCGAAGATCATCAACACGAGGACCACCACCACCACGAGCCAGCATACCACCAGGGTATTCCAAGTCAAGAGACGCTGCACTGTGGATTCCTTTCCCAGTGCCATAATCCCTGCCTGGAGGCAAGCTAACGCCATAACCAGGATTTGAAGAGCTCTCCGGATAAATATAGTCATCTAAGTTTCGTCGAGGAACAGCTCCTAATAACGATGGGGCATGTTGGCTGGCATAAGAAGATGTGCTGCGCGCTGACAAGCCGTGGGGATCAGACTCAAGCCTCCCTCCGTAATGCATAGCTTCTTGGTCAGAATGACGTACAGTAGAACTTCGTTCTGTAAGATAATCGGCTTGTCTGCCAGAAATGTTTGCTACTCAGTGCAATAAGATATAATTTGTTTTTCAAACGTTTTTGAAGTTTCTACAGGAAGGTGGAGTAGAGTATATAACAAAATCTTGGGAGAAACGTAAGCATAATACAGATCTCAGAGGTACCAGAAATGCAACTATTTGCGCAATAGTTCTACGCTAGGAACAACTTAAGCTGCACTCAAATAAATCATCGAAAAAAAATACCTGACACCTCCATCAACAGAAGAGGTATGGAGCGACTGAATTTTGAGTAATTGTTCTCCCCGGAGGAGTGATGCTTGATCAATGCGATCATACATATCAGTCTGCCAAATCATAATAATGAGTCTCATCGCAATTATAAAGCCATTGGAGAGAAATAAACCATATTCTACTAGCTGTGAGAGTGTTGCATACCTGACGACCAAAATTAGATGAATCAGCATATCGAGCCGTCGTTTCATTTGGCAACTCCCTACCAAGATAGGCGCTTGACCGTTCCCCATACTGCTGCCTTCTATCAACCGGGACATAGCCAGAGAGCTTATCTGAATACAAATCCTCTCCCTTTTGACCATAGCCATGGCTCGAGGGAGACATATAGCTTCCAGATGCATACTTTGGTGACTCTGGTAGAGTGGGGACATACCCCCCCGAGCGGCTATCCAAGACTGATGAGCCAACACCTTGAGTGCTTAACGGCTGAGAGCTGCTAAGAGAAGTCGAGCCATACACAGAGCCGTATTGCGTTCCGTAATGACTAGCTGTCGATAAATGAGATCTGTAGCCACCAATCTCAGTCTCCTGAGGAGCACCTGTAATCGATGGATGCCGAGAGCTCAAATTAACCTGAGAGCCCCTTTCTCCACCGCTGACTGAGCTTCCTGGATAACCAGTTCCAAGCTGCATAATAATAAGATAGCAATGAGTGCAATGTAATTATTGAATCCGCAACAATTCTACATAACAAACTCTAAAAAGCATCTTATACATCAGTAAAGCCGTCCTAAAAGACTAAAATCAAATCATAGATGGAACAATGATATCAAAATTTAACAGTGGAAAAGATATTGTAACAGAGACTTGAAGAGAATTTATCAACCATAAACCCCATCAAACACATTTGTAAACAAAAAAAAATGGATTTTTGATTCATTTTAGGAATTATGATCTTACATTCTGACCATATCCCGACTGGGAACCGTATTGCTGCTGTCCGTAGCCACTCCCTCTTGAAGAATACATATATTCTCAACGAATCTGGATTCAATTGTATTGAGTTAGTGCAAAATTTGAGAGATACAACACCAACATTTACAAAGACTATCATTAGCCACCATGAATCAAGGAAATTTCAAGACTTTAGAAGAATTCCGAGAAACTCTGACAAATCCAAATATATACGAAGAAAATACAGAAAATTAGATAGCGAGAGCGAAAATTGACGTCGTGTAACGGCTTACCTACCAGAAGATTGGTTTTTCTTCTTCTCGGCGAGTCACGTCCTGGCAGAAGAGAAGACCTTGAACAATTGGGAAATCGAAGAAAACTAACAAAACCCTAGAAATCCAGAAGAGGAAGCTGAGAATGGTTGAGGATGGTTGTTGTGGAAGATTGGGGGGAGCTAAAGAGTAAAGAAGAAGATTGTTGTTAATAAAAGGTTTTTTCTTTCAAGTTTGAAGAAGCATTACCTTTTAATGGGCTTAGATTTTATGCCATATTGGGCTTTTGTCAATACATGGTCTATGAAAATAATATGCTAGATTTGGTTCCCATTTAAGCATAACAAACTTTAATGTGGGGTTTGATTTTATATGAATACAAATTTTGCATTTATTATTCCATAATCTTTAATTTTGTAATCTTTGCCTTCCAATTTAATACTTTTGTTGTCATCCACAATTCCTTGCCACATCAACAACGAAGTACAAATCTCCATTCACTTAAATAATTCACGATGAACGGAACTGAGAATCTGAATTGTAAAACTTATCGATATTTATAACTTGAGCGGGGTACTATGGAATCTAACATAAAAGTTAAAAGTAAAAGGAGCTGTTGTAACTTATATAACTTACATAAGTCTTTGCACCAAAAGATGTTTGAAAATCTAAAAGAAAAAACGAAAACAAAAAGGAAGAACCATCTGAAGGGACTGATGATCAATGGAAACCAAAAATTGTTTTCCTTCTTTCTTTCCATATATAAAAACACATTTTATGTGTATAAAATATACTTCTCCTCTTCCCTTCTTTCATCCATTTTGTCTTCATTCATCATGAGCTTTGTTGCTAACCTCTGTTTTGTTGCTATCCTCCTCAGTAGTCTTGGATTCATCAAACGCCATCAACTGCAAAAGAAAACAAACAGAATAACCCATAAGCTCGCCTTATTAGTTTTGTATAAAAGCATTTCATTAGACATTTTAGTGTGTGTTTACATTGAACCCACAACCAAAAACAACATGTAATAAGATGGTTTTTTTACAGGATGAGAAAACGAACCGGTTTGATGTCACCATTCCAAAAACAGTGAGAACCCAAGAACCCAATGACGGCTGGAACAATGTATAACAAAGCCGGCTGAAAGATAAGCAAAAACACATCAGAGAAAATCCCAACAAAAAGAAAAACAAATGTTAGGTTGAAAATATGGACGACGGACAATTAGGACACAAGAAAACTGACCTGTGCTGCTTGGAACCAGTTCATGACTACGATAGTGAGGACAACTCCAGCAGTGTATCCCACGAATGCACTTGTAAAGTACTGTGGCTTACTGCGTCTCGACACATCAAATCTTAGAGCCAGTGCAACAAAAATACCTAAGACAACAAAAAAAAGTAATGTCTCAGTAATCATATGATATCCAAAAACATGATTCAAGAATATTGAGTTAAGTATCAATATTATGCATTGGTCACATACCAGGAATGACAATATCACCAAGCCCAAGCATGGAGTAGGGTCTTAGAGCATCGCCGGTAGGGAACAAAAGCTGGTGAAAAAAATTGAAACAATGAGTTAACTGACAAAATCGCTAAGACAAATCAAACTAATTCTATTTCATGAAATTTTCAAGACAATTTTACTAACCTTTATTGGGGCATCAAAGGATTTGGCAACGCTAACCATAACTGGAGTAAAGAACACCCAGAAAATGTCATAGAAAAATAGTCCCACCTGCAATTCAAGTATAAACAAAAACCAAATGATTGAGAAATTCTAAACAATATTTAAGAATGACATTGAAAAGAAAAGTTCCTTCTTACCAAAAGGATGGCACCAGTCTTGAATGATCCAAGAGAGAGCATCTCAATTCCCTGAAGTGGCAACATCGTTAGTTAGGAAAAGACAGCAGACAACAGCACTAATGACAGTGCCGCGTCATATATATTGTAATCTTATACTAATATATTCCCCAGAATGGAAAGAAAGTAACCTGAATGCAGAAGGAAAGGCCAAGGATATTGTTAGCCAGCCAATGTTTTTTCCAAGCATACCACGCGCAGAAGAAGGTTCCAGGGATTCCGGCAATGACTTGAGACTTTGTGAACTCCACCTCCAAAGCTGTTTAAGAAAATGTATCAGGAACAAACAAGAAAAAACAGTATCATGCATGACATGACAAAAGCAAATTTCTACCAAATGCATAACACAATGTCTAGAGAGACAGATTAGCGTAGGGAGTATCAGGAATGATTTGATAATCACTGCAGCAACTAAATTAGCAGTCTTAAGACTAACATCACGAAAAAAGGAACAGACAAAACCATAAAATCACATCCATACATAACCAGAGAAAAAAGCCTAGACTAGCAAAGTAAGTAAGTCTTAGTTACATACATCGGAAATAAGGAAAACGCCAGACGATAAGGTTGTCATTCCAAGGATCCGGCAGAAATCTTCTGATAGCAGGTAACAACGTCGCTCTACAAACACACACAAATTGTGTATATTAGGAAAAGGAAAATCAAAATTCACCACAGATACACACACTAACAAAAAAAAAAATCAAAAGCATAAGATAGATTGTACATACGAAAGAGCGACGATCCCAAGAACAAAGAAGTAAGCTGTTAGAACAGCATTGACCAAGTCCTTTGAGAGAAACTTGAACAATAAGAAAAGTGAGAGAAGCATAGCACTCCCAACCAATGGGAAACGCATGGCATGTTCTTTCGACATCGTCTCCTGCATAATTCGAATCATAGCGAAACAAAGATTATAGATCGAATTCGAAAAATGGTTTTCACTGAGAAGTAATTTCAAAAAAGATAATCTTGTTTGCGTCTTTTCTTACAGTCGGAGGAGTATCCTTCACCGAACGAAAGCAACCCACATAAACTGTGAGGCATGCCGTGAGAATCACATTTAAGTTTGGATTCACTCTCACCACGAGTGGTGCCAATGACAAACCTGTACCCAAACAAACCAAAAACACACTCAATTTCGAAGCCTTACAAACAACATTGAACGCAATTAATCACACCCACCAACCCTAAAACCCTAGACGAACCCAAATGATCTGAAACAGCTTATGACAATCCCAAAACACAACAAAATTGAGCAATTCCAGAAAATTTCAATAAGAACCCTAAGCAATTGATCACGTACATCCTTAATCATACCAAAAAAAAATCATCAAGTCGTAAAAACCGATCGAATTGAAACCCAGAAATAGTTAGAACAAGAGGAATTGTAACGATTATACGAGTGAAGAGAAGAGAACCTGCGAGAGCGAGATTAGCAATTCTCTCACAATTCTTCATGATTGATTTTGTGTTTTCGTTTTACTCTGTGAGCAGATAAATGTATAGAGAGGAGAGAGATCCAGTGGTGGGGTCAAGAGATAAATTCCACCAGATCTGTTAAAAAAGAAAAGTGGTGTGACCAAGAAGAAGAAGCAGAAGAAGAAAAAGAAGAGAGAGTTTGGAAATAAATTAAAGATACACGACTATTAAAATCACTGGCTGTGACCTAGTTATGTCACAGACTCATATCATTGGTAACGTCAACGTGTTTATTACAACACGCTCGTATTGTTATTGGTTGATTAATGCCATTCATCACCGAATCTCAAATGTGTACTGTTTTTTTCTAATGTGGGGTTAGTCAGTAAATATTGAATGGTAACGGATATTTTTCTAACTTCAACGGAAGACCATAATGTAAAACATAAATCAAACATAGTAACAAATAATGATAAACAAAAACAATGACAAAAATTGGAATCAACACAAGAACTTAAGAAGAGTCGAATATTATAAAACTAATCTCATTTTTGGAGTATAATGAGATTATCATAACCGTGACAAAACCTTGTCTGATTTATTGCGTCGTTTGTGAAGCAAAACTTTTACAAGGATTGGATTGAATAACATTCGATTTCAACTAGTGTTTAAAAATCATGTGTAACAAAAGATCCTTAAACCGATATTCTTCCTTTGAATCACACATTATATGCCAAAAATTGGCAAACTCTCTTGTGCTAAGTCTCACATGAAGTTTACAAAAATATTGTCATTCTTTCAAGAACTTACTGCGTTTATAGATTCTTGAGACTGAAAACAACCCAAAACTTCCTTCTCTTGGATCCCAAAAAACCGCCAAGTGTTTATAAAAATAGCCAGAGAATCTAAGTGTCTAAAACATAGTCTAAAACATAGAACAGTAGCCTTTTAAGATGGTCTTGATGATCAATAAACACGGTTTCTTCTAGGGGAATTTGAGCTCTGCAAAACAAGAAGAAATAAAAGAGCCGTTAAAAACTGAAATCCATATGCATTTTGTGATTAATTTTGTTAACCAGAATCATACCATTTGACTACCATAGTCTTCATCTCTAGCAACTTCACCATGAGAGTAATTCTCGCGTTTTCTGTGCTGCCTAGGCTTGCTCGAAGTCTCTCTTGTTTGAGAAACATAAGGAAAGAACGTCGGAAGCAAGACAAGACCACGATCCATGTCGAACACGTTAGCTCTTAACCGCAACATCACTTGCGTCAGAGCCTTGATTGCTGCATCAAGACTTCCTGTTATCTAAACCACAAGAAAAAAAAAAAGGTTCAAGTCTCTCTAAAACACACACAATCAAGAAGCATCAGACGATAAAAAAATGTCAAGATTGTCTTACTTGGACCATCTCCTCATCCTCACGAGCAATCCTCGGCACATGTTCGCCTTGAACAATGCGGATATTCGCTTTTGTGACACTCCTCATCTCGGATATAAGAGCTCCACCTTTTCCAATGAGACACCCAACTTGAGAACTAGGAACAAGTACACGAGTGGAGATTGCAGAGTCATTCGAATCTTTCCCCACTTTCTCACTGCACCGCGTTTGTAAGCGTAAGGCTGCGTTAACCGTTGGGGATTGATCTTCAAAGAACTGTACCAAACCAAGCCGGTTCAACATTTCACATACTGAAAAACCAGATTCTCATAAGAAGAAAGAGAGAAAGAAAGGTTAGTGTTACCTCCTTTGATGATATGAAAATCAAGCAATCATCATCTTCATCAGTCTCTGAGGTATTGACTTTAATGGTCGCACCAGATTCTTGCCTAATCTGGTTTATGAAACAGCCTCCTTTTCCTATCACACCTCCAACATTTTCAGCTGGACAGATGAAGCAGATCGAAAACTCTCTTGCATCAGCAGCATCTCTTGACGCAGAGTAGTTGTTGCGAGAGCTCGTTAGTGCAGGACTCATTAGCAATCCACCTGGCTGATGCAGGTTACTCGATGAAGACAGAAAGTAGCTTTGAAATCGAGACGGATTCTCATAAAGCAGAGAGGCAACGTGATAAAGAGCTTCTCTCACAGCCAAGGGCTCTCCAACAATCTGAAAGTTAAAACCAACAACATACATAAGCTAAAGCTTGAGAAGATTCTTAGAAGCGTTGTTGCATTACCTGAAGAAGCTCATCATGGCTAAAAGCCAAAGCACAAATGGGCAGATTATCATTTATAACACGAATCTGAGCATTGGTTTCAATACGGAGTTTTTGGATAACTTGTCCACCTTTCCCAATAAGGCAACCAATTTGATCAGACGGCACAAGCAGCCTCGCGGTGACTACTGTTTGTTTCTCGCTATACTCGTCGTCATCGTCATCGTAACCATCCTCATTGTCATGTTCAACAGCCACAACCATATCATGAACCTTGAAAAGTGCATCAAAGGCAGGACAAACAAACTCTCCATCATCCTCAATACCATTCGTCTCCTCGCTAGTCGAATATATGGTAACAACGCGCTCGTCACAACCGGGCAAAGCCTCGTTTATCCTCATGTTTGCTCCCGTCTCGGACCTTAGCTGTTTCGCAATCTCACCGCCTTTCCCAATTATGCTCCCTGCTTTTCTCGTAGGACACAGGTAACGATACACAGTAGAATCTTCTAATCCAACATCTGTAGCATCAGAAAAAGCCTCTTAGTCTCTCTTGCTTTCCTCCGTTTTCAATCACATCAGAATTTGAAAATGAACCTAAAATTATATCTCTTACCATAATTGTTCCTCGGATACGCCATTTTTAGCAACGATCTGGTGAGAGAGATACTCCAATCACAAAGCCAGAAGAAGCTGAAGAAAAAATGTACTTCCAAATTAGGGCTTTTCATTTTCCGAATAGCATAGAGTCTCTATGTATATTAGTAAGCTTGAAGTGACTAGCAACAAGTTCTCCATATTCTAGAGGTTTTTTCGTTTCTCTACAGCTAGATTCTGAAGCTCGCATCGAGAAACCGAATATATAAACGGAAAATCAGATTCTCACGCAACCGACCGATACAAATTTGATAGCAGTTTGAACATTGCCGAATCGGAAACTAGAAAAAAGCAGAAACTCTCACCGGAGAAAAAAGCGAGAGATGATCGGTCAATGCGTCCGTGGAGCTCGTCGTCTTGCCGGAAAATGCAACGGCCTCTCCGTCTTTTCTCTTCTGTGGGTTTTGGATTTTGAAATTGAAGAGAATGGAAAAATAGTATTTGGGCTAATTAACGTCTAAAGGCCTACCAAGTGTATGACGTGTGGGCTCTTTACTCTCCTTTCTCGCGTCGTGAAGACACGTAGCCATATTTCAATGAGCAATGATAATATGAAATTTCAAAACTTAAATATTTTAATGTGTCGGGCAAAATGAAATGAGTTGACAAAAAACAAATTGCTAGGACAGAAATAACAAAAACATGATTATTTTTTTGTTCCGGTTGTATATGGAGCTGTGTTCTAAAAATCGGCCGAGTTGCCGAGTATTCGGTCGTAAAACCGCCAGAAGGAAGGTTGCCGTTCCGACTTTTTAAAAATCGAGTAAAGATATGGTCAACCGTTGACCGTATTTTGACATTCACTTTTTTATAAAAACCAGTAAGTAAATGTTAAAATTTAGTGGCCAAAAGTTTGATTTTTGTTTACAATTAGCTCCAATTCGCCCAAAGTATGTAAAGACACTTTTCATTCAACATGAAACCTTAAAAATGTAGTACAGTAGAAACTCTATAAATTAATACTCGATAAATTAATAAACACGATAAATTAATAAATTTCTTCGATCCCAAGTTGGGCCGGTGTAAAATATGATACAATTCGATAAGATAATAAGATAATAACTTTTTTTAAATTCCTATGTAAAATATGGTCCCAATAATATCATAAATTAATAATTATCATATAAAAACTTATATATAAATATATTTACCTAGGATATCTAGCTACAAAAATATGAATCTCTCATACATCAAACAAATATGGAAACTAAAAGAAAAAAAGAAAATTTAAAACAATATGACAAGTATGAAAAATGTAACAAATAGAGTAAATATAGAAACATCAAAAAAAGTTAAGAAAATATACGTATAATGGAAAGTTTTTATTTAATTTGAAAGAAAATTTAAAAGATTATTATTATTGAATATTCTTTTTTTAAATAAATTTTAGTCAAAATTTATATATTAATAACTCTATAAATTAATAAAATATCAAAGTCCCGACATTATTAATTTATAGAGTTTCTATTGTATATGACTTTTATATTGATGTATTATATATATAAAAAAAATGTTATTTGGTAATAATTTAGTATATGATTTTCATGTTGATATATTATATATAAAAAAATTAAAAATGTTGGAAATATATAAAAATGTACTTAAAATTAATTTCCGAATACTCTCCGATTTATTTCCGACTTTTAAGAAAATCGCTAGAAGCAGACAGAGCGCCCTAGTACCGCCTAACGAGTTTTAGAACATAGATATGGAGTATAGAAGAATTACTGTATGAATCAAGATTCAAGATTATAATTAAACTACTTACAAGTTACAAGCACTAGGTTTGAAGCCCCGCGCAAGCGCGGGGTTGTTTGCGATAGTTTTTTATTTAATTTTATTTATACTCGTTGATTTGAATTATGATGGTTTTGTGTTAATTTTCATGTTTTTGTTATGTTTTGAGTTAACTCAACCACTAACACTAAAAAATATGAATAATTTGTTTTTTATTTATTTTAATTTATTAGGATATTAACACCAGCTTTATCTCGAGTTTTCTATTTCTAAAATTTTATCATGTTATAATTTTTTTTTTAACTTCTATTAGACTGTAAACATGTATATGTATTTGATTGAAGGTTAAAATTTATAAATATGTATATGCATTTGACTGAAGGTTAAAATTTGTAAACATATTCTTGTTTTTCACTACAATTAAATTTACATATAAAACTCCATTTCTATTTGTTTAGAAAAACAAACTCTAACTCTAATTTTTCATTAGTTTCTATTATCCTATAACATTTTTAGATAGGATAATCCTTTGAATAAAAAGGTAAATATATACTATTTGAAGTTAATATTTCTTTACTCTATCTCTATTTTATATTTTAACATCAAATTATCACATACTTTCTATTAATTAATTAATTTATTTGTATATTTTATTAAATATGAATAAATGTAAAGAAATATGAATAGTCATATATTTAATAAATATTTTAAATAATTTAATGTTTTTGTGCTGATGTGGACACTCTAGATGGAGAGAGCAACTAAACTTGTCATTTTAATCAATCATTGTTAAAAAACTAAACTTGTCATTTTTGTGTTTTGTGTAGAGTCGTTACAGTCCAGTTGGTTATTGGGCCGAGCCTTCTTCTACCTAACAACATTTTCTACGTGGTGTATGTAATCAGCTTTTTTGTAAGACTCTTTAGAGCATGTTTAACGCAGGTAGCTTAGAGAGGTGCTAAGGGAATTTTGCATTTAATTTAAATCAAAAATACATTTTTAACCAAGCTTTGAGGCCTATTTAGATGTTATAAGCGTCGGAGCTTTCGTCACACGTGTCATCACGAGATTATTCAGAAAAAAATTACGCGTCCTCTCTCTTCATTTCTCTGTTTCCCTTCTCTCTCTTGCAAACTTTCTCCGATGGCAATTCAAGTTTTGATGGTAACATCTATTCCAAAATCGGTTGTTTATCATGTTTAATTAGGGTGAAATTGGTGAAATTGATTGTTGCTACTGGTGTAGAACTAGGATCGGTGGTTCTGTTTACGACAATTCAAGGCGCTGTGAGGAGGAACATGGTGGAGAGTCTTGTGGTTCCTACTTTTAAAGTGGGATACACAATCAACACAGATGCTTTTGATGCTCTTTACAAGAAGGTGAGTTAAGTTTTGGAAAAATTAGAGTTAGTTTGGTGGAGATGATAGAAAAATTGGAGCTTGCATTGATTTTGATTGAAAACAGATAGAAAAGTAGTTAGTTAATGGGAATGGTAACGGGAAAGGTTTGAGCTTTGGGATTATTAGTAAAGTTGAAGAAGATTGGAGCTTAAGGGTTAGATTTTAATGTGATTTTATTACCTAGATGCTTAAGTAACAACGCAATTTGATTGCTAAGGAAACCTATTCAACGATTTTGGTGTCTCTGTTTGTAAACATGTAGTAATGTTTCGGTTGAATATAAGGTTTATGTAGTATGCTTTCATCTTATTGCATTGCTCTGTTACAGGTTGACATTTATTCATTGTCTAGAAAATGGAAAGAATTGGTTGACAAGGCAAAAACCTGATAAAAACCAAGCAGCTGCAACCTCAAGAGTACAACACTGATAAAAACCTGATACTAGATTATATAATCTTGTGGTTCTTCTATAGGTTTGATGATCAAATGTAAAGATCGTCTGAGTCTTGTTTTCAGGTACTTTCATTCTCTCTAACCTCAGAATGTTTGGTGTTGATCGGTTTGATGACATTCTGCCCCCTGGAACTGTAAGTGTTTATTATCTTTTAGCCTAATGATTTTGCTAAGGTGTGTATATATATAACTGATCATTGATTGTCTCTGTCTGTGATCAATGAAGGGAGCGATTATGGCTGTAGGAGCATCACAACCTACAGTGGTTGCTACTAAAGACGGTCGCATTGGCATGAAAAGCCAGATGCAGGTAACTCTTATTTATTAACCATCGCTACAACTTGTTCCTCTTCTCCTTTTGTCTCCTTGGTACTTGTTAATGATGACTTCATAATATTATTGTTTTGTGGAATGTATGTAGAGGAAATGTTACATGGACTTGGTCAGCTATCGTGGGAACGAGTATACATTAGCTTTCACAATAGCAAGCAACGATACGCCGCTCAGAGTACCATTCAGGCAAGTTTGATTACTAGGAGGAACCTTTAACTTCAGTTGTAATTTATAAGTGAGTTAACTTCGTGATGTTGCTCTTGATCGTGGGATCCCCATGGAAGAACTCTGGAAGTAAAGAAAAATCTCATCTTCTTCTTCTTCTTTTTCCATTTTCAACATTTTCATCTTGTAAAATCAAGACCCAAGAAGTATGATGATGTAATTTCATGAGAAAAATATGTTGGATTTCCTAAACTTTTTTTTAAGCACCCCTCATAAAATCTCCCATTTGAGCATACAAAACATGTAGTTTTAACAAAGGTGCTTAAAACACTTTTTATATTAAAATATTAGTTAAGCGTCCTTTTAAGCGTTCTTGCGTTATACATGCTCTTATCGTTGCGTACCTGCTTAACAAAGTTTTCCATGGAAAGTCTTAACCACTAACAAAACCAAACTAAACTAAACTTGTCAAAACTGATAAAAGTGTGTGAAACTCTCACGCCTGATTTATTTACCTTTCAACCAAAAAAAACAGAATTTGAAAATAAATTTGTATCCTTCACAAATAAACCAAATGATTCTTTTATTATGCATATAGTTAGGCATACAACAATTAAACTCTTCAATATTGGCCGAGGCTAAGTTCTGCTAGTCACTGCACAATATAGCGGCAGCACTAAGCACACACTTGCTACTTATATTATTGTTGAAATCTCTATTTCTTGAAATAAAATAAATCGAAAACTGAGTCTGGTGACTAAAATTTACTGTCGGTAGTGGGCTACTCGGTACTCACGACGGCCACGGACCTATATTACAGAATTTTATCAGTTTCTAATTACAGTTGTATTTCTGATTTTCATACTTTTTCATAATATTTTATTTTACTTTACGATTCCGAATATAGTAGATGGAAAGTGTGTCTGGGATCTTTACAATTAGGGATTCTTTAGACCATCCTTCTTTTGATAAGCTTTGATCACGGGAACGACGAACAAATTCAATTTTCAATTATTCAATAATAATAAGACAATAACATAAAGTGTAACTTGTATCAAAACCAAATCCTAATGTCTAAACAGAGTCAACTCGAGTATAAACTTCTACTCGAGGACAAACAAACCGTTCTAACACAGCGATTGCATTTTGCCGTTCAAAATTCACAATATGTACATTAATTTATATTTTATGTATTATTGTATAAATTTGTTTCTACGTTATATCAGTTTTTAGACATTCATAGCATATTCACGTAACCCATAAACTAAGTGTCTTCATCTTATTGCTGATTATACCGGTCAGGCACTTGTGCCACGAATCATATTTATATTATTGCCGACGATGGCCAGTATATTTTAAGTTATACTCTTCGATGATCAAATGTTTTACTACCTTATGTAAGCTGTTTTTTTTTCCTTTTCTTACTGTGGAAGATGTAACATATATATATATATACATATACTTTCATTTTTATAAAAACGTATACTACTTTCATTCTCAGATTAAAAAAAAAAGTTACATAATAATATAATAGAGTGAACGAGAATGATGTGCATGGTATCAAGAAAATGCTATAGCCTAATGTTAAAAGGTAAATTAAATGTTGGGTTTGGTAAACCCTTAGTTTTAAGACAAATCATATCTTAAGACGACCTTAAAGTCCCGTCGTATCTCTCCTGACCCCTACCTTGTCCCTTATCTTTTTTTGCGACCATGTACATACATACATATGTGCATGTCATACAGCAATTTTATCATAGTTGCAAAATAAAGGGGGAAAACAACAACTGCAATGACAGTTTAGAAGTCACTTAAACGATTTTACAAAAATGTGATTTCTAAATGGAATAAAACGCTTAAATACATCTGATCATCTGCTACCTAATTTACACTATTGTCATTGATTTGTCATACTCGATCCTCGAAATATTAGTATTACTTTGTTTTTTTTGTAATGAATGCATGGTCTTATAATTTGACCCCTCCGGTTTTCACGAGGAGTGAAACAAAAGTGATAGTCATGTGCTTAATCATGATTAGCGAAAGACCTTTACTTCAATTATTGAGCCTGGTTCAAGCCTCAAACGCTTGAGGGATTAGTTGCCTAACAATAATTGTCGGTAGCCTGAAGTTCTTCTAACTTTGATCATCTGCTACCTAATTTATACTGTTAATTAACTAAACCCATTATTACGTATTTACGTGTTCATACTCAAGTGCCAAATTCAATGTTGAAACTTAAAACTATATTTACAAATGTCGATATAAATGTTCTGTTACTTGCTTTTCTTAAGAATGAAAAGAGAATGTAAAATTTTTACAATGTTCATACAGAAACAAATTAACATTTGAAATGGTCTATATGACATTTTAAAGCAGTTTGACTTGAGTATGTATTTATGGCAAATTTTATCAAAAAGTAAAAAGAACATGTGTTGTATATCAAACTGAAAACGACCTCATATCAACTCTTGATTTAACAGGGAGGGAGGTATTGGGGTTCAATAAAATCTTAGGACCACCAGAATTGTTAACTTATAGGATTATAACATTTAAATGACATATTTTGTCATTACAAATACTCAATAATTGGGCATAAATCACAGTTTCGAGTATTTATATAATTAACAAACAATGGTTTGTACAAATGGCAATTTGGTAAATACGTGAACTGTTGTGCCACAAGACATCTGGTTTTAGGCACTGTGGCAGAGAGAGGATCGTCTGTGCTCGTGCAGCATGCGACCAATCCTGGCCGTTGAATTTAATACTTATCAACGGCGGAGATAAGATCTAAAAAAGTTGTCGACAATTACCTAAAAAGAAGAGTAACAGCAAAAGGCTGCCTTTGGAAATCTTGAATGCAGTTGAACGGTTAGTGGTCGTTAGACTCATAACATAATTAAACGCATTTATTTTAGTGATTAGTTACTTAATTATTACTGAATGTTGCAAAATCAGAGTTCAAATAACAAATTTGAAAAAACAAAGACAATCATATGAAACCTTGCTCGTGGTATTACAGCTTCACAGTCAAAGCATAGTCGGACCAATAGTAAAAAAACACAAATGTCAGAACAAAGATGGGTTGTATATACTGTATTATTTATTTATTCCTTAACACTTTTTGAAAAACAAAAGAATACAGATTTGAGAATTGAAGTCTTCTGCAAATACTGCAAACAGACATGAGAGCAAACGAATTTTCACAGCTTTTGAGGACAGCCAAATTTTACGAGAATAAAGACGATTATATTTTTCCGCAGTAAAATGTTTTGACCACATTGGTAGTAGTGATTATGGTTCTTATACTATTAGGGTTAGTCGGTTAGATCAATATTAATAGTATAGTTATAGTATAAACCTGATTTCTCCAAAATCACGGTGTTAATGACTAGGCTCCAGACAGCAAATCATAGTGGATATCGTAATTGTGACGCAGCATTGGAAAATACTGTATACGAATTGATATTATTTAAAAGTAATATGCATGCTTTTATGCAAATAGGTGTCAATTATTCTCGAAACCAACCTCGCTGGTTAAAACTTAGAACTAAAGACTGTTTTTTTCGAATCTACTGTGCTGGATAATGCATAAAAATGATTCGATTCCATATAGCCTACAGTACTATTCTTCGTCATTATATTTGATCCTATGGAGGATAAACTTTAAGAAATTAATATATAAAATACCAAAATTAAGTGAGCTTGTATATATATACTTAATACCCGTAGAAACTATATCTTAGAAAATACAACATTTTTTGTTTTTCGAAGTAGAGAAGAACTAGTAGTGTTTGTGGTGAAATGGATGAATAATACATGAACTCATACAAACCAAGAAATTGTGTGTCTTGAGCGATGTTTAACACAAAGAACCTTCATAAAATCATACATTGTTGTTTTCAAAATTTCACCCAATATAGCTAATATTGTAAATATTTGAAAAGAGAAGAAAAAAAGTGGAGATGGCCCATAAAGATACTAAAGGAAGAAAGGTGCAGAAGCAGAGTCACACGCTTCCAAAGTTCCAACCATCAAAACCGCCAGCAACACTCCCATGTGCTCTCTCTCTCTTCCTCTTCACAGACACTACCAAATTTTTATTAAGGCCCTAACTGGTGTAAGCATAATTGCAGAATGCTGAAGAATCCAGCTGAATATTTTTTCTTTGTTACCAGTTGAGCTTAAAGTTAATTCAGCTGGAAAAACAGAAAAGCCACTAAAAGACAAAAATTGCAGAATTGGTTTATTTTTGTTTCTTTAATTTTGTGACATTACATCTATTTTCATTACTATTTAATTTACTGTATGTTAATTTTAGAAATGAAAATCCACTTACATATAATAATATTACCATTTAAACTATACATAGAGGGATATTTTTGATTACTATGTTATAGACTTATAGTACAATATATATGAATACTAATATGATAAAAAACAATTTACATTCAAAATACTTTTTTAAAGTAATTCAATATAGATAGCATGTAAAATACATGTAATTAGGATGAATATCTTACTTTTTGAAAGAATATGACTCAAATTCGTATTATTATTTTTTGGATAACTGTACATAATTTTCAAAATTAGAAATAGTTTCCATTTAATATTTTAAATATAATTTGAAAAACCTTAAAAATTTCATAGGAACAATTTGTATATTTTCATTATTTCATATGATTAGTATTACTAGACTTGTTTAATTAAACAACAATTTTTATTTCTGAGTATAACAATTTAATTATAATAAAATTTTGTTGTTTTGTTAAGAGAAATTTTGTTTAGATTTAAAAGGTTAAATATATATATATATATATATATATATTCAGTTTGATACCACCATTTTTATTTGAATTTACAAGTTTAAAAATATTGTTGAACAAAAATCTGAAACAAATATTTTAGTTTTAGTTTACTTTTTTTTTATTCCGCATTCAGCAACATTCAACAGTTACCATTCACATTACAAACTATTCAGCCAGATTCTACAAAAAAACTTCATTTTATTCAGCCAGATTCCGCATTCAGCAACATTCCTCGGTTACCATTTAGACCCTAAGTGATGCTCGTGATTATTTCAAAAGTTTAGTTTCCAGCTTCTAGATTATTTATATAAAATTTTCCTTTTTTTTAAAGAAGATTTTTTAAACTTACATAGAAATCATCACACGAAAGAAAAGAATCCGAGCTTTTTTTGCTGCTTTGGTGGAGAATCGAACTTTTGTAAAATTCAAGCATTGGTACTTAAATTAAAGTTAAAATGTCAATATTTGAAAATTTAAGATTTAGGTAGAAAGTTTTAAAAACTTCAAAGGGTGCAAATGTGCAATGTGATTTTGGTATTTTTACGCAAAAAAATCAAAGCTCAAAGGAAAACAATGAACCAGCGTAACGCGTTTAACAGATGAACAAGCAAACAAATGTTATAAAACACGAAAAACAAACAACATTTTATGTTTGGATACAAAAAATGAAAAAAGACAAAGGTCCGCAAAACCTTGCGAATACCCCAAAACAATTTCTTCACAGTTTCTTCAGGCCACCGTTGAAATTTACACGTACAAAATATGAAATATTTTTAAAATAAAATAGTGCCGCAATGCAATATTTTTATTCAAATAGTTTTAAATATAAAATAGTGCCAACGAAATCACCTAACAATCCTTATGTTAAAATAACAATTTATTTTGCATGTCTTATGAAAAAAAAGTTAAAAGCAGTAAAACAGTAAATGAAAGGTCAAACATTCTATAAATTCCATCCAACCATCAACCTTCTTCTTCACTCCCATCAAAGCAAGCAACTGTCTCTCTCCTTCTCATTCCATTTTTCTCACTCTCCAAAAAGCTCTGCTCTTTCTCAAACAGAATTTTCATGTAAACATCTCTCTCTGTTTATGATTCCAGCCATGCATAACTTCTTATTTGTTTGTTTCTAGCTAATTTTCTCAAAAGTTATAATTTTGTTTCATATTTGCTCAATTGCAGGGGAAAAATGAGTCTTTTGGGGATTGTTCTGTTGGGTTTCGCTGCAATGGTGTGCTCTGTTCATGGCTACGACGCTGGGTGGGTCAATGCTCATGCCACATTCTACGGTGGAAGTGATGCTTCAGGAACAATGGGTATGTGCCAACAAACCTCTCTCTCTCTCTGTTTGATGAAATGCCTCAATGAAACTTTTCAAAAGCTAAATTTTTCAATTTTTGTTTCACTTGTCTCTAGGTGGGGCTTGTGGGTACGGAAATCTTTACAGCCAAGGATACGGAACCAACACGGCGGCGTTAAGCACCGCTCTGTTCAACAACGGGCTTAGCTGCGGCGCTTGTTTCGAGATCCGGTGCCAGAGCGACGGCGCGTGGTGTTTACCCGGTGCTATTGTTGTCACGGCCACCAATTTCTGCCCTCCGAACAATGCTCTGCCCAACAACGCCGGCGGTTGGTGTAACCCTCCTCTTCACCATTTCGATCTCTCTCAGCCTATTTTCCAACGCATTGCCCAGTACAAAGCCGGTGTTGTCCCTGTTTCTTACCGAAGGTAAACACACCTTTTTCAAATCTTTCTGTACAATTTCTTAACTTGTTGTCAAATTTCTTGTAATGGGTCTTAATAATTTTGAACATTTTTGTTTTTTTCGTTTGAAAGTTACAATCTTAATGTAATTTCATTTCCGGGTGTTGATTTTTCCGTGATGGGTGTTTTTGTTTGTTTGTAGGGTTCCGTGTCAGAGAAGGGGAGGCATAAGATTCACAATTAATGGCCACTCCTACTTCAACCTTGTGTTGGTGACCAACGTTGGCGGCGCCGGAGATGCTCACTCGGTGGCGGTGAAAGGTTCAAGAACGAGATGGCAGCAAATGTCAAGGAATTGGGGACAAAACTGGCAGAGCAACAGTCTTTTGAACGGTCAAGCATTGTCCTTTAAGGTTACTGCTAGTGATGGTCGAACCGTGGTCTCCAACAACATTGCTCCTGCCAGCTGGTCGTTCGGACAGACCTTCACCGGTCGTCAATTCCGTTGAGATTGTGTTTTGGTCCGTATTAAAATTCGGTTTATTATAGTTTAGGGTTTGTGTAGTAGTGAGGAAAGAAGGGAAAGAAACAGAGAGAAAGAGGGTTTAAGGCTTTTAAGGATTTTTAATTGGAGAGCCTTGAAACTTCTTCTTTTGACTCTCTGAGGGTAAAGTGGGTAAAAGGGCTTATTTTATAAGGGCTCTTTTAGTCATTTTAAAGGACTAGGGTTTTAGTAAGTGAGTATTGAGTAGAGTGGTGTGTTTGTGTTTCTTTTAGCAAAGGGACCTCTATGTTTCACCAATGGGTTTCTTTTGTTTTATCACTTTTGTTTGTTTTTACTTTTGTTAGCTTCTGCCTTTTGGTTTAAACCGGTTTAGAGGCAGAGATGGCCAGATGGGTAGGGGCTGAGGTGGATTTTCACCACCCGCCAAGTGTGTTTTTCTTTTTCTCATTTCTTTATAAAAAGTTGTCATGTAATGGTTAAAGCTGTTTATTATCAGCTTACCCATGGGTTTGAGAAGTGTTTGTTACGGTTCTATTGAGTATCAGTGTTATGTTTTTCGTGTGATATGAGTTTTTCTGTTTTACAAAATTTATAATTTCGACTATTAACTCTAAATTTCAATACTCATGAACATGATGAGATAATTGTCTAAGTGAAGTGCAAAATAATGTAACTATATCCCACTTTCATATAAACAAACTAACAGAGAGTGACCTACTTGTTTACACTTTTATGACCTTTTATTTGGTGGTCGGGCATTAGAAAATAAAACGACGAAAAATTACTATCTTAATAATATACTGTATCAAGCTTTTTTATAGTATGTTTTAGTGACTATTATGAGTGAAGTTTTGTGACTATAGATATTTAGTGACTATATATTATGAATTAATGAGTGTAGTCTTGCTTCGTAGCAAATGGTTTATGGAGGATGTAAAAGTTTGCAAACCCAATAGTTATTTTTTCTGCTGTTTTTGATTTATTTAATTTGTAACTGTATTTTTTAGTACATCTGTATAAATTTAAGTTAAATTTCTGTAAGTTTTTCTCCAATCATTTGTTTATGTAACTAAAGAAACAAAATATGTTTGGTATTTTTATCTAATCATGTTAAATAATATTTGTAGTGATTTTTCAAATAGATATTTGTAGGTAATAAACTGGTTCTTAAAATGTTGATCAATAGTCTCGAGAGGACAATAATTTAAAGTTGGTCATGCGCCAAAATCAAAATAATAATAGCATGTACTAAAAACCTTAGACAATTAATTTGTGTTGTTTTTATTCGCTCTGTTAGTCATACAACATTAGAATATGAGTTTTGAATATTTTGAAAAAAGACGATAATCAGTAAATTCATAATATGTTCAGAATATATAAGAAAACATATAAATGCCGGAAAAAAAAAATCTGAAAACCATGATTTCTTGTTTTTTTGATAACGTAAACAGGTGGAAAGGTTCATTGAATAAAGTTAATGTAGTATGATAAATGTGTCTTGTTATGGATGAAATGACGGTGGAGAAGAGGGAAATGCGAAGCTGTATTCCATATTCGATTTTAACATTTGAAGTTCAAAAAGAGACATTTCATTACTTCTGCTTTGTCTCCTTTATCTATCTGTCTGTTTCGTTTCCAAGCTTTTTAAGCTTTTTCTCTGTGTTGCATTTACTTCATGGCAATATAGTATTTCAGAGAAGCGAGACAAGAGAATCTGCACATCCCCCCATTTGTCAGAATCCTTACCGGAGACTTTCTTTTATTGTTAGCATTAAGTCATTAACTCCTTTTGGCTATCATCACATTATCATTGATAATTTCCTTTCTTTTTTAATAAAATAAAATACATAATACATAAAACTGAGATCGAAGACCATAGGCCAAACTAATTTGTAATCTATGGAAGAGGCATATATTATTATCATTTAAACTATCTTAGGCATTTACATTAGCTAATTAGTACTGAAATCACCGTAGGAACTAGGATGATTCAAACTTTTTCTCATTAGTTTACAATGAACTTTTCAACGATAATACCACAGCAAAATTGATTTGTAGGTTACCTTACTACTTGCTAGGTGTTGAATATTCAATTTCATCTTGATTTTTATCTATGAAATATGAATCGAATATAATTCGGTTTGATTTAATACAATAGTTATGCAAAATTCGTATCTAGCAAATATGATCAAAGGAATTCATGTTTTCGTTTATATTTCCACTAAAGAAAGTCAAAATCATAAAACTAAAGCGCAATTCAAACCCGAGTAATAAATTGAACTGTTATTTGCAGATAAATTAGTTGACAAGAAAAACACAAATTGTCAGAAAAATTAAATTACTTCCGAGTCGCGCAGAATTTGAGCCCTCTGTTTAAATTTAAGAAACAGGTAAACTTGATCGACACGTCGATGTCTCGAGTCCCGTGTACAACAGAAATGAACGCGTCTAAATTTTGTCTTGGTCCCATCAACGGCGTCGAGATGTCCACGTCAGTAGTACGTGTCGATCACCAGAGAGACTGTCAGTACTAAATCAATCCTCCATCGTCCGATCTATGCTTAACGTTTCAGACAGCACGTTGAACGAATAGAGTTGCAAAGTAGTAGTCAAGTACAGAACAAAAGAAACTTGGTCGGGTGTAACAAATGTTCATTGAAGCTGAGAATAAGCACAACACAAGTAGTAAAAATATAGGCCTGGGCGGGCCTAAAAGGTCTCCATTACAAGCCCAAAGTCATAAAAAGGGAGACTATTGAGGGTTTTGGTGTCTTTGTTGTGTATTATTCTGCAACATGTTAGGCTGTAGAGTCTGCTGATTTGTCTGCATATTTCCATACCCTCCTTGCTGTTGTTGTTGCTGCTGCTGCAGTTGCGGTTGCTGCAGTTGCGTTTGCTGCGTTTGCATCATTCCGCTGCTGTTAAACACTGCAAGAAACGGCAAGGGACAATAGTTAACGAATCAGTAGTCTTTGATGTTATAGAGAGTTTACAAGACTTATTAGCTTACTCTGGTCACCCAACATTTGAGAAGAATGGCTTCTTTGAGGATTTGTACCCGAAACTCCAAACTGCTGAGAACAATAAAACACAGAGAGATATCAGAATAGGGCAATGATCATCATTATGATATATAGGTTTTTAAAAAGAGGATAGGTTTTTAAAAAGAGGAGTTACCTGCTGCATTCGAGGAACAAGTGTCTGAGATTGCATAGATGACATGTTTGGTATCTAGAATCAAACATTAAGTCAACACCAAACCAAATAAGCAGCTAAAAAAAGAGATAGTAATGAATCATGGAGCTTTAAAGAGAAGTGTGACTGACCATCTGGCTACTTGGGGAGCCTTGAGCAGAGGTAAACAATGCACTATTGGCTCCACCTGAAAACTGGTTTAAGTGACGGTTCATCGCCGGGTTAAGCTGGCCTTGGGACATGCTATGCTGCATATGTCCACCTGCGAGCTGTCTAGCTTGGAATTGCTGGTGTGCCATTGGCTGAGAATATGACATTTGATGTTGCCCATGTGACTGCAAATTTATATACAGCCTAACTTAAACGACTACAGAGGAAACTACCAAGTAAAATAGTACTGTTGGAAACTAGATCTACCAAAATTTGTCTCGAGTATGAATCATTCATTTCGCTAAACGTGGATACATACGCCTAGTCATCTTCAATTCAATAACTACTGCATAATGATTCAAACAACTGACAAAAGATGGGTATAATCCTTTCCGCTTTCACAGTATGTATCTATCAAAGCCTAAATATGTTTAGTTCCATCTTTACTAGAGATGCCAACGCTTGAAAAGAAGAAAAGAAGCTAGAACAGGAATTTACCGCCTGAAACTTCTGCTGCCCTTGGCCATGCAAATCTTGAAGTGCTGATATCTGATTCTACACCAAGCGGAAAGTAACAAATAAGAGCCAGGCAAGTGAAGAATTATCAGTTGCTATCAAATGTACGATGGCCAAAAATGTTAAAGCCTACCTGACCCAGTCCTTGCATAGACGACTGCCTGAGCTGTTGTTGTTGTTGTTGTGCAAGTAGTTGCTGTTGATGCTGAGGCAATTGCATTAGTTTTGCTCTTTGCTGCTGTTGTTGAAGCTGTTGTTGCTGAGGCGAAGGCGCATTAACCATACCCGTGGATTGAGGAGAATTGGAATACTGCAAGGGAGATCTCGTGTTATCAAAGTTACCACCAGATGGAGATGCAGCTGATCTTCCCATAAATTGTGTTCCAGAAGCCTTAAAAAACCATTCAAAGACATGAACTTCCATAGGCAACGATTCTAACAGAAGCGACAATCATCGGATAAACTAGTAGCGTAGTTTTACCTGCAAGAGATTTCCTTGACTGTTGATGTTGTTTGATGGCATAGGTAATGCATTCTTGCCTAACCAAACATCATTTCAGACCCGTCAAAAAGAAAACAAAGAACAAGAAGAACAATCATTTACTTCTACCAGTCGGATAAATGAGACTGTTACCTGCGTCGTTAACGATTAGCACATCTGCCAGATGTGGTGGAAGTGCAGTGTTTAACAACTGCCTCTGGTCTGGAGGCAGTCTTGTTCCTTGAAACATCAAGATGGAATTTAGCAAAACTAAAAGACTGCACTTTCTTACCAAAATCAAAATCAAACGACTCGAAAAAATGTTAGAAGAAAAAGTGAAGTCTCTAACCTGTGCCGTCATTAAAAGCTGCACGTAGCATCCCATCCTGCTCCTTTGTCTTTGCAACTTGACCTTTGTCCATGGTAGGAAGCATAGATGGGCCTTGACGAGTGCCGAATCCATAGGCTTTACGCGTATCAGCTAACACTTTCTCTGCATTTTCACAAGCTGCTGCAATCATGTCCATTCTCGCCTGGAGAAAAGAAACCACAATTCTCCTCTCTCAAAGATCAGCCAAAAGCCTAAATGGAGAAATCACAACATAAAATGCATAACACTACTCAACCTTTAATCTCTCAATTTGCATTGGTATTGGCAAATTCTGAACGCCTTGAAGCAACTGCTCTCTCTTAATGTTGTCATCAGTTTCCATCTCCGGCAGCAACTTGGAAGACAACATAACCGGTAAAACTGGAGAATCACTGATAAACGTTAAGCTAAAACAAGTTCAACTACTTCATCCTCTAAAACCAAAAAGAAAGAAAAAGACCATACTTGCAGCATTCTCTGCATTGACGTTCTTGGGAAGCACAACAAACGCATTGGAGACTTTCTTCACCTCTTCCATAATGTTGAAGAGCTCGAGATTCACCATCGAATACTGCCCAAGAATATCTTGCCTGTTGTAAAGAATCAATCCCGTTAGAGAGAAATTCATAGATAATAACAAACCCTACTAAATATCAACTTTCTGGATTCGAGGATTGACCATTTAGGAGTAGTGTTGGTTCGACCATAAGCGTCGAAATCTTCAAGGATCCGAGTAACGGCCTTGAATAAGCTAATGGCTCGTGTCTTCACCGATTCCAGATTCAATTGATTCACCACTTGCTGATTCAGCTTCTCGGCCACCGGAGGCGGCTGGGCCTGTGGCTGCGCCGTCGTCAACCCGACTCCACCCTCCATTGGAGCTTCTCGACGATTTCTCTACACTAATTTCAATTCACGTAATTAGGGTTAGCGATCGAGGCATAACTAGGTTCCGATTACTGAATATCTGTCTCTAATATAGTAAATTTTCGATTCCTGAATCTATAGTTTAGCGATTATATACTGAGAATGCTAAAATTTCTACTTTCTACAATCAAACTCTTTACTTTGAGACTGACACAATCATTCGAGGATCGAGAATGCAGTATTCACTGGAAGAACAGAGAAAGACAACGAAAGGAACCTTACGATTATAAAAGCGGAAACAGCTTGACGAGGATTGCGAAAGCTGGATGAATTTGAAGCGCGAAATCGAACAAGCTTTGTTCTTCGAAGGAGTTATCGGAGAGGAAACGAGAGAATGAGAGTTTGAGAAAAAGAGAACCGGGAAGAAGAAAATATATAAAATTTCATATTAAATACGAAATGGGGGATTTTCAAAGATCAAACCTTTGTTTCTCAATTCTTGCTCATTTGATTATTGATCTGTAGTTTAGACTAATATCCGTGTATACGCATGAATTTTTCTATTATTAAAATTTTAAAAAATATTTGAAAACAATTTTAGATTTGCGATTAATATTATAAAATCAAATCCAAATGATATCCGCATTTTAATTCCAATTTGTTTGGTTAGCAATTAGCTTTCAAATATATATTTGTCTTTGAGCGTTGGATTGAATCATATATATAAATTAAGGTCAACTCTCTTCATATGATTGATATTTGGCAAATCTTTTAAAGAGAGCAGTCTCTTCGTATTCTTAGTTGTTGCAGTTATAATAAGTTTCGAAACTGTCAGTTGTTTCACCTTCCACTTTGTATCAATATTCCGTTAATTGATATTGTGGCATGACTTTTCCTCTTCTTTCCAGTCAATAACTCTAAATCTTATACATTTCAACTTATATCATAATAAAAATCACTCCAGCTTCCATCTTAAGTTATTATTAAATATCTAAATTCTCCTAATATATGGAAAAATGGATTTAGCAAAAATCGATGGCGGAAAATCAAAGTCCGTTCTATATGGTCTTGAGTAAACAAAGAGAGTTAATGGTTCATAGACATATGGTATGATAGAAAAATATATGTTGGAAAGTCATTCGCTAACTAACAAATAGAAATTAAATACGAATATTATTGGATTATACTTTATAATATTAATAGCAAATCTTATTTGCGAGCACTTTTTAAAAACTTTAAGAATAACAAAATTCGCGCGTATGCGCGGGCATTAATCTAGTAATAATGAAAGGGCAAAGTCATGCGATAAGATTAGTTTATGCTTACAAGAGAAATTTTATGGTTTGTTTTTTTGTGTGTCGACAAGTGTATAACTTTTGTAATATTCTTAATGTTCAGTCATGTGTTTGTTACATGAATAAAACATATTTATTCAAAATATTACATGATTTGTGGGTATTTATAAGAGTCACATATCGTATTTTAAAATGAAATATAAACTATTCAAAAAATAAATAGAAGAATACTTTAAAATACCTTTAAATAAAAAAGAAATTTTATTTAAAATATAGAAGTTCACAATAACATAGAAGCAGTTTATGGTTATTAAGAGATTATTAAAAACTTTGGAAATAACAAAACGATAACTGAACTATTACAATTTCATGACGTTTAGTCCATTCTTGGATTTGCTTTTCAAATCGAGAGTAGTTCTTTTTGAAGAGCTTTCCAATTTCTGGTACAAGAGAATCATCTGGATTTAGGTCTGCCAATAATGAAGATATAGATAAAAGCACCTGATATTACACAAAGTAGTAATACTAAATTTACGAAAAAATTGACTATAAATAATAAAAAGAACAATTGAATAATGAAAATGAACAATAAGAAACAAAATATTGGACACATGAGTCGATTTTAAAACCTTTTCAACCGTGAGAGAGGGACTCCACTTATCTTTCAGAATGTCAACGCAAATCGATCCTTGCGAATTGATATTTGGATGGTAAGTCGGTGTGGTGAACGTAAACTGCAATAATGATCAAAAGAAAAGAAAAACAGAAAATATGTTTAAATTGGTATATTTTTTTTTGTTAGTTTAATTTGGTATATAACACAAACAACCTCTTAAATTGTTAAAAACAAAAAAGTTTGTAAATTACCTTTGGTGGTTTAAAAGGATAATCTATAGAAAATTTAATGTCAATTCTAAATATGCCACCAACATACGGAGTTTTCTGTGGACCCTGAATCATCGCATTCCATTTGAACATATCGTTTGAGTCTGTAGCTATACATATCATCAACAAATAAAATTAAGTGAGAAAAAAATATGACGAAGATACTCATAATTTTCTCTATTATCTGAAAACAAAAGTACTTAACATGATATTGCGTAAAATATTTAGATATAGAAATGTAAATATACTAGTAGTAGCTAGAGAAAAACGAAATAAAGAAAGTGGAAGAAGAAGAACTACTAACCAACACTGTATAAAGAGTCTTTCGAATTCATATCCTTCAATTCCTTCACAATCCGCATCACTGCTCTTTTTTCCACAGACATGTTTACAATTAATGGCCAATATATTTTCCTTTTAATCAAATGAAATAACAAGAAGATTGTTGTTAGTATGATGGTTTTGTAATTTGTGAAGGATTAAATTCCAAAGATATTTGAAATAATTTGGAGGGAAAAGGAAATTAGATCAATCACTTACTTGAAAGATGTTGGTATGAAATGATTTATGAAACCTCATGCTTTATAGCTTCATAAAGTAGAGCTAATGAACGGCGTAATCCCTAATATATTAAAAGAGAAAACACTATAAAATAAACCTTTGTCTCATGTGTTATTAACAGAAATGTCATGCTGATGTGTCAACACCAGGTTCACTTTCAAGGTTAGTTTTAATTAAGACAAACATTACTAGACTAATTACATGTTATGCCATTCATATTTGGTTAGAGAATGAAATATATATGATTAATTTAGTCAGAAAAATAATTATTAATGAAAATTATTTTCTTTCAGTTTCCTTATTTGGTAATGACGAAAATTTATTTATTAGTCAATCAATCAGTAAAATATGGAAAGTTTTATTCAATTGTATTATATTAATTGTTTAAAAATTAATTTATTCATCTATCATTTTTGTTTAGCTTTACTTTCAAGAATAAATTATATCATCACATCAAAATATTTAAAAAAAGAAAATTAGTTTTTTTTACATATGCTATGGTTTGAATTTTTAAAAATGAAGCAAATCTCTAAAAATGTTAAATGTCCCACATGATTATATTTTGGGATAATAGTTCAAAAACCTATTATAAAATAGGATCCAAATAATGATCAACCATAATCACAAATAGGAAAGAAAAATTTACCATGTTTGGAAATCTTTAAAATTTCTTTTATTCGATTTAATTTGAATTAAATAATTAAATCGTATTTTTTAATATTTTGGTTTGATCAAAATTTTAAACGTAATAAATTCTAATAACTTATCATATAAGTTAAATTATTTTAGTTATTTAAAATTGATAAAAACATAAAATATATATGCCATTTTATATTTATCAAAATATAAAATTATTTTAAATGTATTAAAATTTAATATATATGTGGGTTCGGAAAGGGAGAAACTGTTGTTAAAGCAAATGTTAGATTACCACACTGTAAACGATGACAAAAATCAAACCAGGCTAAAAAAATATGCATCACTCAAAATTTCGTCTAATATAAATTGACATTTTTTTAATTGTCTAACACTCTATGTTCCTAAAATTGTATGTAAATAGACATCTTTTAATAAAATCAAATTGAGAAAATATCATCCCGTGCAAGGCGCGGGTCAAACTCTAGTGTGTTATTAACAAGATAACCATTGCTTAGGTGTCATCACTAGGTTCACTCTTAGAACAATCCCTAATATATTAAAAGAGAAAACACTTTAAAAATAACCTTTAGTTGATGTGTTATTAACAAGAATGCCATGCTGATGTGTCATCATTAGGGAGCTTCTCATGTTATTTATAAAATAAGGATTAGTTTACTAGACTAATTACAAACATTGCCATTCATATTTTTGGTTAGAGAATCAAATATGTATAGTTAGATTAATCATATATGAAATTATTAATAAAAGAATCATCATTCTCTTTCCTTAATTGGCAATTACGAAAATTAGTAAATAAGGAAAATATGAGATTCAATTTAATGCTATCATTATATTTTTTTTAAATCATTCTATATCTCCTTTCATCTTTGTTTAACTTTATTTTATAAAATAAAAAATTGACACAATACAAAAAATCTAATAAATAAAATCTAAAACTTTTTCTATATATGCTATGATTTGAATTTTTAAAAACAAAATAATCACTAAAACTATTAAAATTCCCAATATGTTGTTGTGTGTAGGTGTAAAAATATATTATAAAAAATAGATGATATGCAACCATGTAAGTAGGAGAGTAGGTATCTAAATGTAATTTAAAAAAATATTTTATATGATTTTTTAGTTAAACTGTATAATGAAATCAAATAAAATAATATTTTTTATAAATGTATTTAATTTTGATCAAAAATTTGAATATTGCTCCATTTGTTTCAATTTTTCAGTACAAAATTACTTATACTTTTGTTATTTTGACAATTTGGATTTTGCAAGATTGATCTTTTATTGGTTGGATTGTTTTGGAATTATAATAAAACATGTTTTAGTTTTAAAAGAAATAAAAAAAGTTAGTTCTAATCCGTGTAAACACCTAAAACTTCTTATCTTCTTATCTTATAAAATACACTCATTTGAGTTTTATGTATTTTGCTGAAGTCTAGCATATTTAATCTATAGTCTAGCATATTTAATCTATGATCAATGTTTTAATTTGTTTATAATTTTTAAAATGTTTAATTTCCACATTATAAACGAAGATAAAAACCTTAACAAGGTAAAAAAATCTGTCACATAAAATTTTGAAATAGTTAAATATACATTTTTAATTAA